TCTTCTTCTTCTTTGTATTATTAGAACGTGTATATGCGCGAGCATCTCTCTCTCTCTCTCTCTCTCTCTCGTCGGGTGTCTATCTCCGAAGCAGCAGCAGCAGCAGCAGCAGCCGGAAAAGCAACTCGCTGGCTGCCAGGAAGAGAGACGACTGCAGCTCAATGTCGAGCTTGCGCGCACCTATATATAATACACTACCGATCGGACACACACAGTTGCAGCGTATACAACAGCCGAGATGGCAGCTCTCGAGTGGAATGAATGCGACGAGCGCGCGCCTAGACGCGGATGCCGATTTTCCGAACAAACGAATCGTATTGTATATATAGTTAAAGTACGTCAGAGCAAGCTCTACACACATAATGCTATGACATTATAGAAGTTATTATCCGCGGCTGCTGCTGCTGCGCGTAGCAAAAATTGCCTCATCGGATTGCGCAACTGCGCGATGTGGTCTACTACTCTGGTCTCGCATGCGATTAACGTTATGTAGCGCCATTATATACACATTAAACGCGTCTTTTTTGACATACGGTTAAAGAGCTCGTATACAGGCAGGCACTTTAATTGTCTCGTGTCTGCCGTTGTCGGCTTATCGAAATATTGTAGTATACACAATCGACGGAGTGTAGAGCGAGAGGCTCGTCGCGTATAAATACATCATACACGAATTAAATGCCATGACGCGCATTCCGCGCACGAAAACTGCCTATTTCGCTCGATCCGTCCGAGTATACGTGTATTTTAATTCTTATCGTCCACATAATTGCGTTTAAAAGTCGAGAGCAGCAGCGCGTTATTGCCGCAACGAGGTACGGTGTGCATAGCTCATTTTTTTTTTTTCGTTTCCTCGAGTCAGCAGCTTTATAGATAATGTATGTAGTTTAAAGCACGAGACGCGCGCGAGACGACGACGACGACGAGACCCCTTCCAGCTCGGTGATCCGTCGGAGTGCGCACGAGTGCAGCGATTATCAGCGCGTGAAACTTGACTATGAACCAGTATAGATGCATTGTTTCGAATTTATCTCTCGTAATCTGGTTTTTTTTGCTTCTTAACCATATATTGATCGTCCGAAAATTGCAACGTCACGAGAGGTAGAGCATCGAGGTGGCGATCGAGATCACACACGCACGTATATACGTGTATTTATAAAAAAGAATTACACAGACATTAAATGCGCTGCGTTGCGTATACTATATAAGAGAGATTATTGCGCGACGCGGCCCGACCGCACGACTAAAGCTTATCGTTTAGCCGCGCGACTACTACTACCAACTACTACACTATGTAATTCCGATCTGCTTCTATCCGGCTCGCGACCCATTAAACTCGTAATATACGCAAAAAAAAAATAAAAAATCTCAGCTTACAACGCGTTAATGAAAGCAGTGTAGCAGTTCTTCGTGTGTGTGTGTGTGTCGCAAACTTCTCAAAAAGAGCATCGAGGGGATCTCTCTCGGTAAATCGTATGGCTATGCTTTGCTGTGCCGAGACTAAAAATACGCGAGAGAAAGAGAAAGAGAGAAAGAGAGGAGACAGTTCACCGCCTCACTCTCTGAAAGTTCTTTTACGAGAAAAGAACTTTGCAAGTTGATACTACTTTTTTTAATTACTGCCATGACGGAAAAACCGCGACGAATAATCGCGCGATTCGAAGCGCAGGTCGACGCTCTCTGCATAATGATATGTATACCGATCGCGACCTCGACACACACACTGGAGAAGGACGAATAATAAGTAGTTTACACGCCGATCCCGCCAATGTGTTAACGAAAAAAAGCTCGGTAATTCGCGAGCTTTCATTCAAGTTCCGAACAAAATTACTCCGGTATTCGCCCCCACGATGAAGTTGCATAAAAGCAACGGAAAAAAAAAAAAAAGAAAAGAAGTCGGAGTTGATTCTTAGTGCGCAATGTCCAAGAGAGACGGCGCCAGTGATCTCGCTTGAACGCGCCGGCAGTGCAGCAGCACACAGTCGTGTCGCAGACTACTATGCAAAAACGCACGTGCTCCGTTCTTCCTCTCTCTCGTTTCGTGCTCTGCTACTAAAAGCTGATCTTAGACCTATATAGCTACACGCGTACGGCGAGAGAGAGAGAGAGACCGATTCACGCTGCTGCTAGTCTGCCCCACACACGCAAATAATACGTGTGTGCGACTCTACCAACACACTAGCTCGCATTCAACGCATATACACAGACACATCGAGAGAGTCTCGGACGACTCGCAGCGAAGTCGAGATTGCGCGACGTTTTTGCGCGTGTGTCGGGGGCGACGGTCGCACTTTTACGATTATACATACAGAGGCACATAACTGATAGAGCGCACATTATGTATATACATGCTAAACGTTCTATATATTATGCGTGTATATTGAACGCGGACGTGTATAACGTATATTAAAGTTGGCTCGTTTTGTGCGAACACGACCGACCGACCGACCGTCTGCCGTTTCGCACATATAACATACACGCGCGCGCGACTATACACAGACACACACATCGATTGACCTTTATGTATACGTACACACACGTATATGCGGCTCTCGCACACACATCGAAAGGTTCGCGCGCTGCTGCTGCTGCTGCTGCTGGTATTCGCGCGTGTATATATAGCACGGCGTGCACACACACACACTCGCTTGCATATACATACACATTTACACAGAGGCAGCGAAGAAGCCGAGCACGAGACTACTATATACCGCACTCGGCAGCTCGGACCATCGAGTACGTTTCGCGCTGTGCGGCGCGTGTTGATGTGATCAGCAGTAGTCGTGCCGTAGCAGCCGCGGCTCTCGCAGTGTGTGCGTGTGATTGCCCATCACCGCCAGTCACCACCACCACCACCATCGTCGTCATCGGCATCGTCATCGCCGTCGCGATCGCCCTCTGCTCCGAAGCTGCTCCGAAGCTGCACAGTAGTCTGCGGTGCAGTGCAGCGGCAGCAAAGTGCAAAAAAAGCCGAAAAAGCGCGCGACATATTACGTAGACTACGCTACACTGTGTGCACCGAGCGCATCGCACGCGCGCGCCCGCGTGTTATACCTATATTATCGTACCTACCTTTAGACCGTTGTGTGATCAGTTTATATAGTTGAGTTGCAGTTCGACGACGACGACGACGACGACACACGACTGCAGCCGAATTATATACCTACACATCGCGCAATTTATTTCGTCGTCGTCTTCGCTCGCTCGTTCTCTTCCTGAATACATAGTCTCTCTCTCTCGGAGAGTCGTCGTCGTCGCGCGCGTGTGTATCCGTACTCATCCCCCGCAGCAGCAGCAGTTCGAGTAGTAGTTGGTCGGTGCGGCTCGACGGTGCTACTACACAAACTTAACTCCTCTCCTATTATTTATCGTCGCGCGTGCCTGATCGTCGTCGTCGTCGTCGTCGTCGTCGTCGCGGCAGACAGTGCGTGCGTGCGTCCGTCCGACCCGTCTATATATATATATACAACACACAGTGACCGCGACTACGCGCGTTAAAAGCTTATACACATATTTAATAAAACGGGCTTTCGACCATTGAGTTCGTTCGATCGAGTGCGCGAAAAAAAAAGAAACAAAAGAACCGAGAAAAGATGAGCCGCGACAAAAATGGCCACGTGCTCGTTTGGGAGCAGAGCGACTTGGACGACGCCGCCGCGGCCGAGCAACAAGTTAACAATCATAAAAATACTGCCGATCGCAGCAGAGGTATGCCGCATACACATATGCAAGTAGTTGTAGTAGTAGCATCATAAGTTTATAAACCGTATAGAGGAACGGGTCGAGCAAAAAAATTGTTGCTCCGAACTATATACACCACCGCTGCTTATATCTTTGCCATATAGACGTTGTAGCGTGTGTGTATATCTATGTAGAGCGATATGCGTGCGTGCCCCTCGGTATCAGTATCGAGAGAGAGAATATCATCCGCGGGACTCCTTTCTTTTCATTCTCTTCTGCTGCTTTTTCTTTTTTTTTGCGCTGATTTTTTTTTTTTTTTTTTTTTTTTTTTTTTTTTTTTTTTTTTTTTTTTTTTTNTTTTTTTGCTTTTTTTTTACGTAATCGTCGGTCGGTCGTGTGTGTGTGTGTGTGTCGAGAGCAGCTCTACTGCTATACACCACTCTCGCTATATACTGATTGCGTCGCGCACTGGCCGCCGCCGCGCGCTTAATACTCGTGATGTATTCGTGTATATGTGTAATATATATACTCGACTTTTCTTTAATACGATGCTGAAATGTGTCGTCGTCGTCGTTGTGTATCATCATAAGTTCAAGTACGAGGCTCTTTCGTTGTGATTTTATTATACCTTATAATACCTGTGTGCCGGATGACGATGAGATAATAATCATGCATAATCAGAGAGAGAGAGAGAGGAGAGAGAGACGGAGAACGAGAAGAGAGAGAGAGAGAGAAGGCGCGCAGGGGGGTGCAATTTTGTCTCCTCCTCATCAGTAGTTGGCCACGTGCTCGCCGGCTGGTGCCGCTCTCTCTCTCTCCTCTCTCTTTCCTCTTTCTCCTATCCTTTCTTATGTGACTCGGCTGCGCTATGCTCTGCGGCGCGATCGCCTCTCTGTACAGCTTGTTGCATTCGCTACCGCTGCTTTTATATATAGGCACGCGGCAGAGCACGTATGCACGTCGCGCGACTCGTATTTCGTTTATATATATTCCGCGCGTTTATTTACTCGCGCGCGCGAAAAAAAAAATGCCTCGAGGCGAGAATTACGATACGCGAAAATATTTCCGCGCGATCGCAACGATAATGATGATTGTTTCAAAGCTTGTATACGATCTTCGGATATATGTAACGAGTATGCATGTATACGCGAGAGTCTGGACCCTAGCCAGTATTTCAGAATAAAATATAATGCGCCAACCTTGGCACTTTCTTACGCGAGCTTTATAGAGAGCTTTCGTACGCGTACAGCGCGCTTATACACACGCTTATATTATTTTTTCTAAAACGATTCTATTTTTCTTCGTGTTTTTTTCTCCTACAGGATGGTTCGGTATACGCCACCTGATCTGCATCATGCTGTTCTCGGGCATGGCCAACGCCTACATCATGCGCACGAACATGTCCGTGGCCATAGTCGCCATGGTCAATCACACGGCCATCGAGCTGATGGACCAGGAGTCGAGCCACGAGGAGCCGATCAACGAGTGCCCCTACAACGAGCCCGACAACGTCACCCAGGTGGCGCGCGACGGCCCATACGAGTGGAGCTTCACCTATCAGGGCTACCTGCTCTCAGCCTTCTTCTACGGCTACGTGCTCACCCAGATACCGTTCGGCATACTGGCCAAGCGGTACGGCGCCAAGACCTATCTGGCCTACGGCATGCTCATCAATTCGGTCTTCGGACTGCTGGTGCCGGTCTCAGCCGACGTCGGCTACTGGGCCCTCATCGTCGTGCGCTTCATTCAAGGTTTAGGAGAGGTATAAACGAGACATTACGACGCGATCGACAATTGCGTTGGACGATTAGGTACGACGTATTTTCTTTACCCTATTTGCAGGGACCGATCGTTCCTTGTACGCATGCCATGTTAGCCAAATGGGCTCCCCCGGACGAGAGAAGCGTTCTGGGCGCTATCGTTTACGCCGGAGCTCAGTTCGGTACGGTCATATCGATGCCGCTAAGCGGCCTCCTGTCCGAGCATGGCTTTGCTGGTGGCTGGCCATCAATCTTCTATGTTTTTGGTACAATCGGAACAATATGGTGTTTTGCTTTTCTACTCCTTGTCCACGAAGATCCAGAAGTTCATCCTACCATTCCCGAGGAGGAAAAGAAATATATCATGAGTTCGCTTTACGGAACACATGGCACCCAGGTGAGAATCGATATAAATCTAATCGTTTAATTATTTCACGTTATTAATCGAAACAATGTTTTTTAGTCTCCACCAGTACCATGGAGAGAAATCTTTACGTCGATGCCATTCTGGTCTATCATGGTGGCTCACATGGGCCACAATTACGGTTACGAAACGCTCATGACAGAATTGCCTACGTACATGAAGCAGGTTTTGAAATTTGACATCAAACACGTAAGTATATCATCCCGTGTAACTTCATCGCATTTTTCAATTACCCCATTTCGCGTTAAAAACAGTTACACCTGAGTCATGAAAATATCGGTGCACGCTGTAGTTTGTGATCCTCGCTGTTGACACGCGCACGCGAGCATCAACAAGTGCTCATTTGATCAATGTTGAGAATCATTCTTGTGCCTTGCGGCTCGGCACAAAAATAATCCGCGGATTAATGTTTTTATATACCTCGAAGCAATAGCAGATGCGAGTCGTCGTCGACGCTAAGTGCTCATTACAGCACGATTGCGCAATTCGCTGTCGCAAATATACGTATCGCGATGACATGTCCGGTCGGAAATAAATCGTTTCTCTCGTGTACCCAGAGCGAGGTTCTCTATCGAAAAATAAATTGTTAATCTCAATTTTCTTTGTATTACCCGACAATTAACGACATCGATGACGGACGATGAAGTACCAAAATTAACGAGCAAATACCATAATTAAAGAATACGCAATGATTTATAGCATTATAATTGTTGTCAAAACTTTTATCGCGATTATTGTACTCTCAATTAGACAACAAGCAGAGATTAAAATATTTGCTTTCACTGACGATTTGTAAATACTCGAAATGAAAAAATCGTAGATTAAACCGATAAAGCCAAATTTCGACGCTTCGATCTCGCCGAACTTCAAAAAAAAAGAAACTAAAACGAACTAATTCCCTATATGCTTTCAGAACGGCGCCATATCGGCCTTGCCCTATCTGGCCATGTGGATCTTCTCCGTACTGATAGCCTACGTCGCCGACTGGATGATCCAGCGGAAGATCTTCGGCATCACGGCCACCCGCAAAATCGTCAACAGCATCGGCCAGTTCGGGCCGGCGGTCTGTCTCACGGCGGCCTCCTACACCGGCTGCAATCCCACCCTGACCATCGTGCTGCTGACCCTCGGGGTGGGCCTGAACGGCGGCATCTACTCCGGCTTCAAGGTCAATCACCTGGACATCTCGCCGCGCTACGCCGGCGTACTCATGTCCTTCACCAATTGCACGGCCAACATGGCCGGTCTGCTGGCCCCGATCACCGCCGGCTACCTCATCTCCGGAACTGTGAGTCGATATTGTTATTGATCGCGGAAGTGTCGCGCGATACGAATCGCGTTACGATAATTAAATGCCCCTCGCATCTCTCTCTCTCTCTCTCTCTCTGCGTTGGATTTGCCGAAAGATAAATATTTTCATAATTGCCTTTCGAGTAGGCGCGCAAACAAAATACATACGCAGTCGTGTCGGTACTTGTGGGTTCTTTCGCGAGATATATACTTACCACCGGACACGACTCGGCAGAGAGAAAGAGCCGACCGTACTTAAGATAAGATAGGCGAAGAAACGGAGCAATCGTGTCATTCCTATACTCTGTTTACACAATTTAGATTTATGTACAAATAATTCATGTATCGGTTTCGCGTACACATTGCTCAATTGCAGAAAATTAAAAATGAGAATATATAACGCGAGAACGGGAGGAATTAAAAATTATTACGCGTTTTTGTTTGTGTGTGTATATTAAAATTATGCAACTGCCCGAGAGAGGAGGTCGTATCGAAGACGGTTTTCAAAAATACACCAATGCGCTATTATGCGCTCTTATTTTGTCAATGTTTCAAGAAAAGCTCATTTTTTGAGAGGTGCCACTTTCAACGCGCTCACAATTGGCTCGCGCAAATGTCGCCGATGTACCGATGATGATCGTTTAAAATAGCCACGCGCGAGAAAGTAACGACGGGCATTTCGATGAAAATAACAATTTTTTTTTTGCGTTGATAATTTCTTGAATAACGCCGAAGCTTTTTTGGAGTAACTCCAAGCGCGATGTTGTCACCCGTATAGAAGCGGCCGTTCAAAGAAAAGCGACTTGCGTCACGTATCAAAATCTAAGAATCTATAGGTATACCAGTGAGAAAGATAAAGATCATAGATGAGCTCAGAACTGAATTGCGCGCGAATAATATCGTTTCAATGAAATTTTCCAACTAATCCTTTTCTTTTCTTTTTTTTAAAGCCTTCTCAAGCCAAGTGGAGATCGGTGTTCCTGGTCTCGGCGTGCATTTACGTTATATGCGGAACGTTCTACATCTGCTTCGGCTCGGGTGTCCGCCAGCCCTGGGACGATCCGGAGAACGACGCCAACGTCATGGACAGAATCAAGAAGCAAGAGGAGCAACAGGAGCGCGAGGATCTGGCCAAAAAGGTCCAGAAAACGGAGAAGAAGAGGATTCGCCAAGAGGCGAAGGAGGCCAAGATCGCTCGCAACGAGGCGAGGAAAGAGAGGAGGCAGTCGGCGTCGAAGGTCATCCCGGTAACAATAGAATCGCTGGAGATATCGGACACGTCGCCCAAAATGATGACCACATCTTTCCATGTGATCGACGAGACTCGACCATCGTCATGAAAGGAGACACGACGTCAAGGGCCCCGGCAACGCCCTTGAACGCCCGTGTCTCCTTTTAATTGTAAAAAATATATATATATAATATACATTATATATTGATATCATTATCATCATTATAATTTTAAGTAAAAAAAAAGAAGTTATTGCGTTTTTGCATGCAAAAAACCGTTTGTATATAAATTGTATATATATTTTTAAAATGACAATCATCGAGATCGTCTCATATGGATAGTGAGTGAGTGAATGATGTGAATGTTATAGTGAGTTATTATCGTGCTGCTACAGCTTGAATTGTAAGAGAAGAGTGTGAAAGAGGAAAAAAAATGTGCGAGTTGAGCGGTAATATCGGCGAAGTTTGAATCTAATTTTTTTTAGTTTTCTACTTGTACTGATGCATACTCTGCATTGCGCCCGAGTACCAAGTGTGTGTATGTATACATGGAAAAAAAGTCATTTATGTCTTTTGCCTCCACGTTTTTTCTTCTTGAAAAAAAAATTAAAATAAATGAATAAAAAAAATTGACGAGGATATTTAGCTCGAGATATTATTACAAACGCAACATTAAGAATAACTACAGATTATGCCATATAACAATAGTAATGTGCTCTCGTACTTTATATACGTGGATATTCTTTTCTGATAAAAGCTATTGACGTTACACTTTGTTTAATTGAAATTTGTTTATCTGTCTCAATAGAAAAGATGAGTGAAAGATTCTCAAAATTTTGCACAGTAATTTTTTACAATACTTTTTCAAAATAATAAGGGAAATTTTTTACACGAAAGGCCTATCTACTTTTAAACTTGAAACACTTGAAATAGTCGATTTGAAAAGTTATACTTTATGTGCGTTGCCGAACAAAGAGAACAATGATTTGATAAAAAATATTTTTCTGATTGTATTGAATGATCGATCGCTTAAAATCGCGCAATCGCACACCTATTATATGCATGTGAGGAAAAAGGAAGGTGAATGCAACGAAGAAACTAGTGCTTGCTGTGAGAATGTTACAAAGTGGTATATATACATATATACGGAATCATTGAAAGTGCATATTAATATCAACTTTATTTTATGCTTGTAAAACGAACGTTGATTATTATGAGCAACAGTATTAGGTAGAGCGCGCCTCACGTTCGCCATCCGTATCGATGTTATATACAGGTATATATAGAAGTTTTTTGAGAGAGAGAAAAAACAGGAGGAAGTGTCATCTTTATCTGAAACTGTCAGTACTCCGCTTAACAATCGACATTTAAGCTCCAAGAAAAATGCCGCGAACGAGCGTTCATATGACGTTGATAATTTTGTATACGTTTTGTTATTTTATATATTTTACCTTATAAGATTTACATGTTATACGTACATATCTATATATCAACTTCCTATTTAGCATATAAATAGTTCGTAAGTTCATTTTTTTTTCAATTATAAATATAAATAATTCAAAATAAGTTGTCATCCTATCATGATTTATTTTATTCGTACGAGTTGAATTCGTTATTTACAAAGTTCTGAAACACGTTGTTCTGTTTCGACGTTAACATAAGTGTACTTTACACTTATTTCCTCATTTTTTTAGAGCAGAAAATGCATTTTTAATTTTGAACTCGCTAAATCAGCACAAATCGATTTTTTAAACCGAAAAAGTCTTCAAAATAATTTTACAGTCTTCCAAAGTGTGACATTACACTCTTGTATCAGAAATGATAATTTTTATAAAACGAAAAAATTGTCGCATTGTATATTGAAATGCGGTTTTACATTAAAATTTGTCTTCGCTTTTGAAGACTCGTAAGATTTCTCAACAGTTGTACTTCATAGTTTGTTAATCTTGCCCAATGATGAGATCAATACTTAAATTTTAAATTATTTATAAAAATATATGTGCTTATTCCAAATGTTTTCAACAGGCAAGATGAGCCAGAGCACTTTTCAAGTTTATACGGAAACTAACTTCTCATCAAAGAATCGGATGATTTTATTGAAGGCTCATAAAAGTAGAACGTATTTCAACGAAAAGAGATGAAAAAAAGTGAATACTGTTGTGGAGACGATTTAATTTATTATAAAGTTTTGTCGTGCATCGCTGTAGCGTAGACGTAAGAAATTTTTCTTCGCTATTCGACAATGTTGTTCCTTGTGCCTTAACAGAGCGGTCGATTCTTTTTGCTAAGTTTTTGTAGAAGTACTATTTTTTGAAAAAAAAGATGCTTGTATAAATTTTTTTTACAAAAGATTATTATAATTGTTCAGTCATGTCGAGGTCTGTGATTTATTGATTGCTTAAATAAAATGAAAGCAACTCATGCGTACGTATATTTGTTATTTAATAGAGAATGCGTTTCAATATTCGTAAAATTTTCGTAATTATAAACTGCTCAAACTGTAACTACTTCAAAGGAAAATTATAAATACAATGTATGTGAAACTTCATTCAAAAAGATACTGCTCATGTGCTGCTTTGAAAATAGAATTGACAATACCGATGACTGTGAAATCGCTAGATTTAAACACTAGTCGACAATCTTGAGAATAGTAGTGATTGAAATTGAAATTCAATCAATAATATGAAAATTCTTTATTTAAATTATTCTATTAGTTACATCCTATTTTCATATCGCGATCATATCAGTTACAATAGTGAAATAAGCAGTTTTAAAAAGAAATAGATTATTGTTCGTAACAAACTGTTGACAAAATGTACTATATTTATTGTTAAAATTGCATCTTGTGATATAAATAATTTAATAGAGCGGTTGAATAAAAACATTCTCTACCTCGAATCACGTTTGATTTTTACTTGAGCAAGATTCATTTTACCAACTATCATGTAGAAATTGAAAGTGCTTTAATTCGTAATTTGATAAACCATCAAGGGGAAAGGAATAACTCAAATATTTTTTTTTTAAAAAGTCGTTTTTATTTATTGTATTTATTTTTTTTTTTCTGCAGTCAATTTAAATTATTGAAGTAGCCAAGATGTTTACCTGTAACACAAAAGAAAAATATGAAATTTTGGTTCAAAATAAAAATTGACTAATTTTTAATTTTTTTCAAATGCTACTTCAGATAGAGCTAATAGTGTCATTCACAAAAGATGATATGATATTATAAATTAAATCATCATTAGTAGAATGTCTTTTTTTACAAAGTTATGAAAGGATTTATATTTACCTTTTTAAAAGTGATTTCTCTTTTTCATCAGGATTTTTTTTTGGATACTTCAAACCAGGATTCTGTAAAAATAAATGATATTATTTCTGATGCTAGATTTTTTAGTTAAAAAAAAAATTTCTTTAATTATTTTTTCTCAGTGGTAGTGACGAATAGAATGTATGTATATCATTAACGTATTTCAAACCAAAGTCTCGTCATTGAAAAAATATAACTAATTCATAAGCAAATTTTTAAAAAAATGGTAACTTACAATAATATGCATTAGGTTGACCCGCAGTAATAAATTGGAAGAAGCAATTCGTAGATGTTTGGTTATTTAATCTGAAAATAAGAATATTAAATTAGTTCAAAGTTAAGATTATCTAAGAATGATTTAGTTAAAACTTTGAATATGATTCAGATAGGAGCGAAAGACATATGCTAGTTATACATCAAAGTGTTCAGTTGAACTATGAAATCATCATAAAAATTCAATTTAAAATATTTAGAATTAAAATATCTTGGATCATCATACTCACTTTTTATTTTTTTTCCTTCATCTTGTTAGTGACAATAGTGTGATAGCACATCCTCACTGCTCTGCAGAGTCCTTTGTTTGACTTGGTGCACTAGAATAAAATTTGGATGTTTAGTTGTTGTTTCAATTGAAAAGATTAATTTTTGTTGATTTTAATCATGATCAGATAGGAGCGAAAGACATATGCTAGTTATACATCAAAGTGTTCAGTTGAACTATGAAATCATCATTTTGAATAAAAAATGTATTAATAAAAGTAATGGTAATTTTTAGTGTTTTTACCTAGACTTTTCAGGCTTGACAAATTTAGCTTGGACAAAAATCCTAGGAACATCAATCTTTTCTTTCAAGTTGACTGTTCTTCTTTGGACGTAAGAACAACTCTTTGTTTTAAATCCAACAGATTCAAACAGCTCTTGCACTTCTTCAGTGGTGAAGTAGTAGCTTCTGTAAAATTAATGTTTTCATTAGTATATTTGATAAACATATTACAATCATAGAATTAATTATAAAAAATTGTCAGATAGGAGCGAAAGACATATGCTAGTTATACATCAAAGTGTTCAGTTGAACTATGAAATCATCATTACAAATAAACTATTTTGATAATAAGATATAATTTTATTGATCATTCAACTTGCCTTGTGCCATCCTGACGGACATATAAATTATCTGCAATTTTGCATCCAGGTTTGAATCTCATTTGAGCCATGTCGTAGCGCCCATAGTCGCGGAACAAAAGAACTCCCTCCTCATTCATTACATCAAATATGTTTTGAATGACTTGTTTAAATTTCAAAGGATGAATCGCAGATAGTACAAAGACCAAAGTAGCAATATCCACTGGATGAAATACTTTGTCAGAAATGGACTCTGTGACATCAGCTTGAAAAGCTTCTATGTATTCGGAATTGTACAGTGCATGACCCTTGACGAACTCAATCGCTCTTGGAGAGAGATCGCATGCAAACATTTTTTTAAACGGTACATTCTCCTCTATCAATGGATAGATCAAATTACCGACTCCGCAGCCAATCTCGAAGAAAACTCTTGGGCTCCTCTGTTCCTCTTTGGTGGTATCGTCACCGAGAAGCTCCGCGAATTCGCGGGTCGTCCAGTGTCGATCCTTGAAGAAGCGGGTGTCGTTTCGCTTGTAAAACAGATCCCAATTCTTTTTGGCGTTCTTTTCGATTTGCATGGCTTGGAAGTCGGATACCAAGCGCATATCTTGGGCCTTCATGCGATCAATCTCTTCCTGGGTCAACGTGGGCTTTGCCGCGTGGCCGGCGTAGGAAGCCGTCGTCGTGGCGTTCGCCGTATCTTTTTCATCGGCCATGTCTCTCGATCGAGAAATTTGTGCAGGTAACCTTAAAAATTCAACACGTGGCTGGTGCCAATTTCATCGAATCAAGACACCGGTCTCTCGCTCAAGACAATTTTTGCATCCTCCGTGCAAAATCTGTAATAAAAATCATTCTTATTTAATAATCGATCGATTAAACATAATAATAATTGATATGTTTTATGAGTGCGCTCAGAATAAGAGGTTGGCATCAATACGGACTCAGCCGGCAATTCCTATCAAGAACAAAGGTTCATCATTTAATGCGCTTAATTTTCTTTTTTCATTTTCAATAGTTTAAACGCTACAGAGAGCGTAAAAACTGAATTGAACTTTACAGTAGACTTACATTGATACTCGATTCGAATCAACGAACAGTTCAACGATTTCAAATAAATACGAATGAAACAATTCATTCGTTATTTATTACTCTATGCAACAAAGTTATTTTTCATAAAAATGATAGTAGAATTAAGTGTTAATACCTTTTACTTGTTGGGAAGCAGCGGATTCTCATCGCAGACACGTGTGACCAACCAACCTGTGTCGTGGTGGAGAGAGAAATGATCCAGTTGCTTCGCGCCTCGTGCAGGCAGCACACCAAAAATGATGATTCAGTCGCCACTGCTGCGCCGGAAAAGACGCCGACGAACAAGTGGCGGCACAGCGAACTTGGCGGCGTTGCGGAGTTTCCGTGGCGGGCGTCTTGAAATTTTATTCATTCGGTTGATCGATATGTAAAGTTTTAATTCTTTTATAGATACTTCCATTTTTTTACATTTTCTCGACTTTCAAAAATTTGAAAGAAATAATTCATTTATACAATCTAATGAAGCTGAGCGAAAATACCGCATTAACTCGAGCATAACGTTGTATTGACAAATTTTCAAGGATAATTGTAAATTACAAAAATATTGCACAAAGGATTTCAAATGTTGACAATTTTCTCACTAATTGATTTAACAACAAAAAAAAACCAAAAAAAGTAATTTCCAAAATAGCTCCGGTGTCCATTCGTTGCGCCCGCAAGTAGCAACTTTTTGAAACGAACAAGCTTTCGCTGAGGAAAAAATGTTTACGCTTCGCAAGCGCGCGACACGAGACGAAGAAAAAAAGGCAAGAAAGCTTCGTGAAAAGAGCTTTGGAAAACCAGGCTAACATGCCCGAGAAAAAAGAGATCCAAAGAGTCTCTAATTTTTGCGGGAGAGATATTTATAAATCGATCGACACCCCGGCGATATCGCGGCGCGCTCGGCCACAAGGCATAAAAATTCAGAAGGGGTCTTCTATGCCTCGGTTGTATAGTCCGCACACGACAGAAATATACGTTTATAACACATGTCGACGTCGTCGTCTCTCCGTAACTATTTACTTACATATATGGGCTATTCCACAACAGGTGTTGCAGACCCAAAAAATGAAGTTGAAACTAACCACTTACTCTTCAAGAACACAATAAAAAATGAAAATCCTGAAGAGCACAGCCCTTTAAGTTATTATTATTATTGATTTTTTCGGCCTGCAACATCTGTTGTAGAATAGCCCATATACCTAATGATACGATGACTCCTGGTGGCTGGTACTACTAATGACAGACAGTCATTACACGTTACGATACCGCCGCGTTAACAACTAAGAAGGACTTGCACATCGATCGCAGTGATTTTCGTGAAAAAAGTGAAAAATATCTTCAATAATAAACAACTTTGTGCTTCTGTATTTTGTGGACAAAACGATGCACATCGACAACAACGAATTCGGAAATGTCCATGGTGGCAACGAATCTTTCAAACTCGTAGACAACCATCTTAACCAACAAAACTTGGACAGATTGAGGAGTATACATGGAAAAGTTAATTACGAAAGGGAAGAAGATCAACATGAATTTCTCGGTCAACTCTACTGCTTATTCCGCGATTGGCAGGGCCAATATCCAGATTTTCGAGACATTTTTCAGACCGAAGAGATCGACTGGCTTCTTACGAAATCTATTAGTTTCCGGGTCAAAGAGGGGCACAATCGTCAGGGAGAACTAATCATTAAATTCGTGGCTAACAGCGGCTACAAATACCAGCCTAAAATTGAGCAAGACGGTAAGCCACTTGAGCGTCGAACTACGGCAGTGCACCATGCGGCAAGGAGCGGATTTCTCAATAAGGACATCATGGTCCGTGAGCTTTTTAAAATTTACAATAATTTCGACGTTAATTACACCGACTCGTCCGGCCTGACACATTTCCATGTGGCCTGCGCTCTCGGCTGCGATGACGTCGTCGAGAAATTTCTCGAGCTCGGCCAGGATCCCAATCTGCTTGTGCATGAGACAGGCTATTCTGCGCTACACTTGGCTTTGGTAAAAGGACACAAAGAAGTAGTACGGTCGCTGCTGAGAAGTAACGCTGACCCAAACTTGGCTAATCCAGAGGGATCGACTGCTTTGCACCTCATATGCAAGATGAATCGCCCTAATGCCTTAATGAATTGGATAATGGATAGGAAGATAGATCATCCTATTGCCTTAATGAAGCTGCTGTTCGAGATCAGCGATGAAAAAAGTCAACCGTTGCTGCTCGACGCTCGAGACAAGAAGGGTAAAACGGCGCTGCACTTGGCTCTGGAGAAAGGACACAGGGAAGTAGTACAGCTGCTGCTTGAAAGAGACGCCGACCCCAACTTGGCCAATCCAGAGGGATCGACTGCTTTGCACCTAATATGCAAGATGAATCGCCCTAATGCCTTAATGAAGTTACTTCTCAAAATTTGCCGCAAAAAACGTCGTCCGTTGCTGCTCGACGCCCAAGACAGGGAGGGTGAAACTGCGCTGCACTTGGCTCTGGAGGAAGAACATACGAATATCGCCAAACGGTTGCTGAGAAAAGGCGCCGATTCGAACTTGGCCGACAAAGAGGGATCGACAGCTCTGCATATCATTTGTCAGAAAGGATACAATGACTTGGCGGAGATGATGTTCGAGATCAGCGACGAAAAACATCGACATGTGCTAGTCGATGCACAGGACAATGAGGGTAACACGCCATTGCACTTGGCTGTGGAGAAAATGGACACAAATATGGTAAGATTGCTGCTGAGAAGAGGTGCCGATCCAACGGTAGCCAATGGGAAGGGAAAGGTACCCCTGCACATCGCTTGCGAGGTATTCAACGACGTTGAATCGCTAAGGATGTTTTTCGAGCTTAGCAACGACAAATACCATTCGGGACAGTTAAACGCCAAGGGCAAATCAAGTATGACACCGTTGCATTTGGTTCTGTTTAACAAAAACGAGGAAGCGGCTGAATTTCTGCTGAGACGAGGTGCGGATCCACATTTGACTGACGACTTAGGAAATACTGCTTTGCACGTGATGTCTTTTGATACCCACAACAAAGATTTGGTGGAGATGTTCTTCAAGGTTAACGACGAGTTAAATCAGCAGTTGCAGATCGATGCCCGAAACTCTTACGGTAAGACACCGTTGTACTTGGCTTTCAAGTGGAGCAACGAAGTAATGATCGAGCAGCTTATGAGACGCGGCGCTGACCCAAATCTGGCCAAGGATCATGATGAATCGACACCGCTGCACTTCATCTGCTCGGTGCCCTCCGACGTGGCGGGGTTATTCTTAAAGATAATGAAAGAAGATAGACGTGAAATGGTGCCGGTCGATGCGAGTGACAAGTACGGACGGACCCCACTGCAGTTTGCCGTAGCGAGTTTATCGCTGAATACCGTCGATGTTCTACTGGATCACGGCGTCGATTTGTCTAACTTCGTTTTCCCATCCGAGAATTTCTTCGACTTCGGCGATTATGATTATCAATTTGACACAAACATAAAAATAACGTCTGGCATTTTGGCCGTCCTCGAGAGCCTCGAGACCAGAGGATACGAGCTTAGCCGATCGGACGCCCTGATCGTCATGAAACTGTTTGCCAAGCACAAATTGTTCGTCAAGTCGGCGGATCTTGAAGTTCTCAATTGGCAGGACCACGAGGAGGTCACGAGAGAAGCCAAAGAGGCGATGATAAGTCCGAGTCTGTCGCTCTACGACCTGCTCCAGTTGCGACCCAAGGAGGTGAAAAAACGAATCACCTTCAAGGAATTCTTCGAGTTCGCCCGTAGCAAGAAAAAATCGCCGACGCTCCGCAAAAAAGTGTTTGAGGCGTGTGTCGTCGCGCATCTTTGCGAGAAATTATCCAGAAGATTTTTCCAGAGCCGGACGTTATATCCTGTCTGGGATCTGATACATAAGCGGCTGCCGCTTGAGTGCTGTGACATGATCCTCGACAATCTAACGAACGAAGACTTGTATCACATTTTCTTGGCAGCTGGCGAGCAAAGCTCGTGATGGGTACAAGCATAATAAAACAGAGAGTCCTTTCGTTGCTTGCGGCAATTGGGATTTGAAATTCATGCTCTGCAACAATGTGAACTGGAAAATATTCCTGTACCTGAATATATGAAAGAGTGGATTTATATAAAAAGAACTTTTTATGCTGCCACCAATTACTATCCTCGAAGTTTGAAGGACATGTTAAGGCATTTTAACATGGAATTTCAAGGACGGAGTCACTGTGGAATAGATGATACACACAATTTGGTTAGAATTATACAAATGCTCGCTATAAAGCATAAAGCTTCATTTGTAATACCAGAAAAACTTGAATGGGATTTCAGTGAATAAACTTGACACTAAAAATAAAAATATTCAGTATTTTATATCTAGATATTATAAAAAAAATATAGATAGTATAAAAACTATTACTATGTTTACATAAAAAAATTCATTTAAATCTTTATAAATCTATAAAAAATACTTCATTTTGTACAAAATTTCATCCTTGTACTTTACACACATGGTTTAATAATTATGTGCATCAGAATCGGACTTATTCAAGTCCATAATAACAATTATTCAGGCATAAAACTTTCCCCTCCTAAATGAGATTCATCATCATCGCATAAAAGGGTGAAATATTTGTGAATCATCCATATTGTCTTGCAATATTGAAATTGTTTCATCAGATTGTAATTCACTTGTCAGCTTAATTTCACTTTGATCAATTCCTTTACATAAATCTCCAAGATTTTGCTAGAATGTAAAATTACTCGGTTAAGTTGATTTAAATTTTTAGACATTCTTAGACATTTTTTAAAGAAATTCACAAACTCTTACAACGGAATCACCAATATATCTAAAGTTTGAAGAAAGTAATTCTCCTGGAAATGCTTTTGAAATTTGATCTATAACATCCTTAAAATCATCTGAATATTCATCAACTTTGTCACCAAGTTCCTCGGAGTCTTTTAATTTCTTATAAAGTCTAAAAAATTACAATAAAATTAAATTTTACTATATTAACTACTTTTTAATCAATTTATTTAAAAAAATGAATCATGCTTTGACATAAAGACGTACATGAGAACATGAAAATAATGAATCTAATACTGACCCTCTAATACGCAATCTGGTTGGTTCATCACCATGGGTTATTACTAATGTTCCAACATGAATTACTCCAGTTTGATGAATATTTACAAGATCATCTCTTTAAGGACGATACTCAAGGGTTATTCATTGAGTTTCATGAGGATCCAGCAAAATTTCAGTAGGACTTATTTGCCATATTTGATATAAACTAATTTTAAATTAGTAATTAAAAGTTACTCGAGCATAACGTTGTATTGACAAATTTTCAAGGATAATTGTAAATTACAAAAATATTGCACAAAGGATTTCAAATGTTGACAATTTTCTCACTAATTGATTTAAAAAAAAAATTAAAAAAAGTAATTAAACAAGCTCCGGTGTCCATTCGTTGCGCCCGCAAGTAGCAACTTTTGGAAACGAACAAGCTTTCGAAAGCGAGCGAAAGCTCTCTCTTTCGCTGGGGAAAAAATGTTTACGCTTCGCAAGCGCGACACGAGACGAAGAAAAAAAGGCAAGAAAGCTTCGTGAAAAGAGCTTTGGAAAACCAGGCTAACATGCCCGAGAAAAAAGAGATCCAAAGAGTCTCTAATTTGTGCGGGAGAGATATTTATAAATCGATCGACACCCCGGCGATATCGCGCGCTCGGTCACACAGCATAAAAATTCAGAAGGGGTCTTCTGTGCCTCGGTTATATAGTCCGCACACGACGAAAATATACGTTTATAACACATGTCGTCTCTCCGTAACTATTTACTTACATAATGATACGATGGCTCCTGGTAAAAAGAGCTATAATAGTTACGTGTGCGGCTCCGATTTAAATATACAGACGTTTCGATAATAAAAATGTTGGATAATACAGGGCTTTCATTGTGTACGACTATACTCCCTAACGTTTCCCAAGTTCCATAGCGTTTTAATGATACGCTTTAGACAGTGAATTATTGATAGGGTATACCTTTAATGTACTATTATTTATTTATTGTTCAATTTTTTTTTCAGTTAAATAGGATGATTACCTGCCGAATTACGGTACCTACTCAATTTTTTTTCCATTATGAATCATAATAATTCAAAATTTTAACGAAAACGTATTTTTTTGTCACATTATTCTATCGTGATATTTTTAATGTGATTTATTAGTATTTATCGTCGTGAGAATTAAAAAAAAATTTTAAAAAATAAAACCATAAATCAATTCGATGAATCCTAATAGAGTTCGAAATTTACCGTTATAAATGCATTTAACTAAACCCCCCATTACGATTGTCTTCAAAAGTTTTCTCGTTTACTTATGATATGCGCGAAAAGAGCATCAACCAGGCAATCGCCACCCACGCCCTGAAAAATAATTGCCGTGGTGCAGGTTTAATACTCCGAACTATGCCTAATGTCTTGCCTATAGGACATGGCTACATCTCGTTTCGTAAGTGTATATACGTATATAGGTGTATGTATATAGTGTACCACTCGTAAAGGTTATCGCTGCGGTGCACTCGTAACGGGAGGACGATATATATACAGCCAAGCAATTCGCGTACGTGCGTATACCTATACATGCGTGATATGTAGTGTGCTCTATCATTGCGCCTCGCTCATACTACAACACTGCACACCGCACACGCATCTCTCGCGAGACTTTTTAAAGGGAAAAAACAACGCTCTTTAACAAGTTGAAATTTGGAAATTCGAGTGACAATCGTGACCACGTGGATGCGTTGCCTACGCGCCCAAGGCGGCCCCCCGACAACAGCAACGCAGTCGTCGTCGAGGCATCGTCCGGTAACGTGCAGTGGTAGTAGCTGCGCCAAAAGTCAACTTGTTTTTTCCCATTGAAAAACCTAACCTTCCACCTTGCTATCGTTGACGTTTGTGTCACACAAGGGAGTTACGCTGCTCTGCTCTGCTGCTCTGCCTGTCTGTTATGAGTGTGTCTGCGTGCGCGTTCAGCAAAGTACATACGTGTGTGCACACGATTATCGAGCCGCTTATTATACACCGAATTTTCAGTAATTAATGGTCTTGCGTGAGAAATTAACAACGAGACTACTATTGCTCTCGCTTACACGTGGCATTGAGAAAAACGCGTGACTTTGGGTTGCAGCATGAATTGTTGTTGTTTTTCGGAATTCGCTTTCGAAAGGTCACTTGTTATTCGCCGCTCGTCCTCACAAGCTCGCAACAATCGTCGTTCGTCATTTTATACAGTTGCAATGTGAAGATAGTGTATATATTTTTATATATAGCCCAACTACCTGCAAGCACATTTTTTTCTATTTTGAGCTGGGCTCTCTGACAGATCAATATTTTTCTAACTGTACAGTTGCAAAGATGAGTGTTCTTAATTTGAAAAAGGAGAAGCGCAGCAAGTTGGAAGACATTGTGGAAAATTTGTCACATGGCGAGCTCAAGAACACCAGCACGATCAGTGACAATATTTTTGGCAAAGTCGAATCGCAGCTTGAAAATATGTTTGCTGGGATCGTTGAGAATCACAATGCATTGGAGGCTCCTATATATCTTGGCAACGACCCAAAGTTCATGGAAGCGAATAAACCAGTTGTTGCCACAGAAAATCATACTGTAAAGACTGAAATTAATGAAATAAGTAGCCCGATTGTAGCAGCTAATAATGTTCCTAAAGAAACAGTCGGTCTAACAAATGGAAACCAAACATCTGTTGCTGAAACTGAAAAGAAGAAGAAACCCAGTAAAGCAAAGAAAAAAACTGCAAAGAGAAAAGTTGAATCAGACGATGAATCAAAAAATAAAAGTGTCAGTGTATCAGTACCAGAAGTTAAAAAAATTAGAGGACCTGTGATAAAAATGAAAAAAGGCAACGATAAGCCAATTTTTGTTGAAGTATTAAATACATTTAGAGAAGATGATGATGATAAGCCAAAAGAAAAAAAATCTTCAAGAAAGTCTCACGGTCAAAATTATGATTTTATGAAAGATACTCTGAATAATAGATCTTTAAATTCATCAGCACTAAATGCAGAAAGTAACAACTTATGGATATGCATATTTTGTAAACAAGGACCACATCACAGAATAGCAATGTCTTCATTTAGTACGCAATTGAAAGCCCCAGAAGCTCTTGGTGATTTATTCGGACCATATTTCATAAAAGAAGATAATCAAAGCATATCCAACGACAACGATACTTCAAAATTATTTGATAATCAAACAACACCCAAAGGAATAAAACATGAAAAACCAGATTACAGTGGCTCTTCAGAAAAACATAAAAAGAAATTCTATAACAATATGAATGGTGAATCTTCAAATGTGACAATGGAGCCCAGAGAGATTTGGGTGCACGAACCTTGCACTTTATGGACAAACGGAGTTTATATGGTTGGTGGACGTATAAAAGGATTGCAAAGTGCTGTACATAACACATCTAAACTTATTTGCAATCAATGTGGCTTGGATGGAGCTAATATTCAATGCATAAAAAGAAAATGTAAATCTTATACACATTATCCTTGTGCAGTTGCTGCTAATTGGGAGTTAAACAGTGATCAGTTTTTGGCCAAGTGCTGTGCTCACAAGGATCAACAATAAATTAATTGTAGACTGTATTTTTTTCCAGAATAATTTTCTACATGTATAAATGAAATCGCGACTTTTGTATTAATAAAATAAAAACGATTACAAATATATTTCAACTATAGTTACATGTTTATTATTTCGTTATTTATCCTAATTAACGTATTCTAAATTATTTTTAAACGATGAAAACAAATACTTCAAATGAAATCGAAATTGGCAGACCTGACTCGCATATCTCGGTTTAGCGAGTAGAGTGCAAATTTCTGTATATGTTATTGACTCCGAAAGTCTGATGACATGTCAATCACCGCACTGTTGGTAAACCTGGCCGTACAGTACACGATAACATATCGTCGTCTCTTTCTCGCTCGCTGAAGTCGCGCAAACACCTGTGCGCAATATTCAGCGTATGATATGCTTGTGACTATATTTATTACCCCAGTGGGTACTGTTGAATATACGGTTTGACAATTACGTGTCAGTGAATGTATGTGAGCGAGTCCCAGCAGCAGCCAAGTGGGTGTGTTTGAGTTTCAGCACACACAGCAGCAGTCTCGCATCGCGTTCGTCGATGAGCAATATTTTTTTTTTTTGAATATTTATCAGTCCCCGTAGAAGCGATCTGACAATTTCGTTGCTAGTTCAGCGGTACTGGTTAGAAGCAAATTTTTCGACTTGGTGTCACTGCAAGGTAAACAGAGCTTTTGCGAAACTTTTCGCGATCATAACCTGCTCCGTGATAAGATTAATGTACCGAATTAATGGCAATTGTATCGTAGGTTTTTGCGAGATAAGTTAAAATATGGATGCCTTTGGTGATAATTTCGTGAACGAGCCCGAAGTCGATCCAGCTGCTGAATTTTTAGCCAGAGAGCAAGACCAATTGGCTGGCTTGGAAGTTGAAATTCCTTCGAGCACTTCAGTCTTGCAAAATGCAGCAGGTTTGCATAAAGTTATTATGATGAAATCATTGATACAAACTATACTGATTTATTAAACTTGCTGTAAAATTTGCTCTAGACGATTTGACTGAAACTGGAAAAGCAAGTAGTGACGATGGTGGCAGTTTTGAAATGATTAACAATATTGACAAACCTGATCCAGTTATTGGTAATTATAGTGACTTACCCTTACTTATTGTTCAGTTTACCCAATTTTATTTTCATTTTTCCTTTTTTATTTTATTCACAATGATATAGAAAATAATCATTTTCAACCGCCACCAGTAAAAGAAGAACCAGAGAAAATCAAGAAATGGAGAGAAGAACAAAAAGCTAGACTAGAGCAGAAAGGTAGTTGTCCTTTTTTTTGCACTGATCATTGAATGTTTTCTGAGAATTAACGTATATGATTTTAAATTCCAATGGAAATTTAGATGCTGAAGAAGAAAAGAAGAAGGAAGAATGGAAGATAGCTGCTAAAAAAGAGCTTGATGACTGGTATAAACATCATGCAGAGACCATTAGCAAAACTAAAGCCACAAACAGGTAATTATCATAAGTCCTTTAGAATAATTAAGAAGTATCAAAGAGTCATGACACTCTAATGTACATATATAACAAAAGAACCAATTCTCAAGTATATCATTTTGGTTTTGCCTCTTAGGGAATCTGCCAAGTAAGTTACAAAGATACAGTTAAATGCATGTAGACTAAAGTTATTGCAACAAAAATTAATCATTGCATCAGTATTACATCTATTTTTCATTTGCTCTTTTATATTTATAAAATTCCACCTAAAAGTTAAATTATACTCAGATATTTTATTAAAGTTTGATAAATAAGACCGCATAAACAAAAATCACAAGTACTCTAATAGTTTGTTCTGCATGGTATCAGTATTTTATGCGTAATATTAATTTTAGCTTCTTGCCTGCAAATGCCTTTTTCAGCCTAGTACTTGTTATTTTGGTTTGAACATAGAAAAATTAATTTTATCAAAATCAATATGATTTAATTTAAAATATTGCTGAAATATTAAATGAGCTGAAGCAACACAATATTTAATAATTCTTAATGCAATTGACGAAAAAAAAAATATAATGCAAAAAAAGTCAGTAGATAATCAGGATAGAATTTTTGTTTGTCTGAATAAAAATGGTCTTAATCTTAATTAGAGAATGAAGTACATTGAAAAATTTTAATTTATTTCTAAAAGAATAAATATTAAGTAACTCTAAATTAAATTTTTTATAAGCTTTTTATTATTAAGGATAATTAGAATTTGAAAAAATTTTAGAAGTATTTTATATTCTTACAAATATTGTTTTAGAAATGATAGATTACGAGTTGAAATTTGATTTGTGGTAAATATAGTATTTTTGCATTTGACTTGAAAAAAACTTTACAGCGTTCGACAAAAGCTTAATTTTCAAATTATTTATAGATAATGGAATGCATTTTTTAAAAAGCAAGCGCAGCATAGTTGAATTTTTTTATTTAATAAGCACGTCTTATAGCTAAATTATAAAAAAAATTCTGATCAAAGCACGCTGCTGTATAAATCCAAATGTTGCGTATTTATTTCATAATATAATATTTTGTTTCCTATTTGTACAGAAACGCTGAAAAACAATTTGTCGCCGAAGCGGACGAGATCGAGCCTGGCACTGAATGGGAACGCATCGCCAAGCTTTGCGATTTCAACCCCAAGTCATCGCGAACGTCCAAGGATGTGTCTAGGATGAGATCGATCATACTCCAACTCAAGCAGAATCCACCTCCACCAGTCAAAGTTTGAATGAATTCTGAATTTGTCGATAAACTGAGATATAACAGAAAAACCGTAAACTATCACATTAAATTATAGCTATCATTATTTTACACCTATACACGATTATGTTATTATAAATATTTATTATTGAGAAACATATTTGTAAGATATAATAAATGTATAACATTGATAATCATGAAATAGTTCTTTATTTTGACTATTCGAGCTTACACATATTAAAACAATTCTGAATAAAAACGTTAGAAAATGCATTGAAAAATGCTATTGTTTAAATGATCTTCTTAATTGTATTAAACATTAATACACAAATAATTACACGTAAAACGCATTTATAGAAACATTTTTAAATAATTTTAAATCTAATAATAAAATATATACTTCATCTCTTGGTACAAGCAATACGAAAATATATTATTTACGTATACTGTTTATATCATCATTAAGTATAAAGTAATCCATTTAACTTTTTACATCAACCTACTGCTCATTAGAGCTTATCACAAGTAAATTTTTTTTGTATAAAATCTTTTTCTCAGAAAATGGCAGAGTTTGACAAGTAGTAAACAGTCACTAGTATTTTTTTTTTTTTTTTGATTCCAAACAGGCGATTAAAACTTATCGCATTATGTTCCTCAACACCAATAGTATTTATCATGCAACAAAGAAGCACTTGTAGACTTTTTGATTATACATCATGTAAGAACAATCTTCTTTTGGAAGGTAAGTATTTCGATGAACTAAAAAAGAAAGAAATTGATAATTACTGCAATCCAACATAAAATAATTTATCACATTATTTTAATTTAATACCTCATATTTGTTCCAGTACTGTTCTTTATAAGTAGTTGCATATCATGTCGCCACAGATATATAGCAGGGAATTTACTTACATCTATATAGGGTGGAATAGCACGAAATACTGCATAGTCGGTTTTTGTGGGATTTTTTCTACAATAAAAAATAAAGTAATTTATGCTGTTAATAATTAAAGTATTGAATATAAAAAGTTGAATATGTACCCTTCTAGAAAAACTTCATCTCCCATCCTCTCATCTGCACAATCCATATCTTCCTCCGAAGACCTGCTTGTCTCTAATTTTAGAGGTGAAGATGGAGGAGTCACAAATTCTGAGTCATCTAAAATATTTAAAAAACACTTTAACAAAATGATTTTATTTCGATTAGTTCTATTTTTATTCATTTTGTAACTACCTTGGCTTTCGTCGTCCGAATCTGCATTAGTTTGTAAAACAAGACTCTCTAATTGAGAACACAGATCATTTATGTTATTTTCATTTGCTTTTACCTAGAAAATAAAACGAATCCAATGTGAAATAAATTCATAAAATAATTTTAAGAGAAACTTACCGTTTCAATAGTATTACTAGACTTTTTATCAATATTAAAACTAAATTTCATTTTATTTCGATGTTGTTTCCTCAAAAATTCTTCTAGTTTTTTTAGTCCATCTTCAGATCTCAAATCAGCAAAATCTTTCAAAAATGGCCAATATTCTTTCCATAATACTTGACACTCTGATGCTAATTCCCTAATGTGGAATAGTTCAAATGTATTTCAGATCTTACAAGTGTTTATTCTTCAAATTGGAGAGAAATAATATATGTACCTTCCAACCATTTCAAGTCCTTTATCAGTATCTTGAAAACGGAAAGATGAATTTAAATTTTCAAGTTTTTCCCAAGCTGGAGGATTGAATGGTGAACCTATGATAGGGCTTCTAAAAGGGGAATTTAAACTTGAATTGCGGAAAGATGAATTGAAACCAGGACTTTTCAATCCATTGCTTTCACTATAGCCTTTACTATTTGGAGTTAAAAGTATTCTGGGGGGAGTTTTCCATTTTTTCCTGAAATCTAGAGCTTGTGCTTTAGTCATTGGGCCAGCGATGGCTCTTACTTCTATACGAGGAGAAAAAGGATCAGTATTCAATTGCTGGAAAAATATCATCGAAATTATTATAATTTTAACTTTGATTGATTACAAAAAATTGTATACTCACAGGAGGACTAGCTGGAGAAAAAGGATCTCCAATTTTTGGTTGTACGCTATTATCTTCTGCACGGAGAACTGGTACATAATATTGTTCATCCATTATTAAAGATCGTATCTCACTTTTTAACTTTGCATCGTCCATAAACTTTCTACTGCAAATAATCTAATTCAAAGGATATTAATTTATATTATTGCATTACTTCTGAATCATGAAATTCTTTAGCACATTACTTACATCAATGGGAGTTTCATGGTGCTTATTCAGTGGTGATTTCAAACATTGTGGGTAAGATAAAAGTACTTTCACACATTCTTTTAAACCAAACTTTGTTGCGAAATGCAATGGAGTTTCGTTTAAACCTTTGTCTGGCGTGTTCAAGTACAAATCTTGCAAAATATGACTTCTATTTACATAATTCTTCTTCTCATCTGTATTACCATAAAATAGTTTCACAAATTCTGGATCACCCACAGTATTTAAAATCAATTCACACATTGCTGGACTTTGAGCACTTTTCACAGCCACATGTAAAGCGTTATATCTGCTACCTTCCTGTAAAGTCATCGCATACGCATAAATTTTACAGCCAATTTAAAGCCAATATTTCAATGGTAATATTTCAAACTTACATGTAAAATCGAAGGAGTATCTCCGCTACTGACAAGATACCTAGGATTCTCCCATATCTGAGTCCTGACTGCGTTAATGTCATTTTTCTCAATCAGCTTTCTCAGCTGCGTGAGATTCTGCGGTCTGGGAGCTTTAAAAACGTTACCCTTGTCCTCGGCCGCCGCATTGGCTATGCCACAATTCGCCAGAGGATTCGCCAGTATCGCTTCGAGACCGTTCCTGGCGAACGCCACCGCATCCTCGTAAGCTCTGAAGGTCTTGAGACGCGCACGTTTGAATTTCTTGATGACCTTCAGTGCTTCCGTCTTGTCTCTGAAGACGTAAGGCTGCTCGTCTGCAAAAAACAAACATACACAGACACGGGGGAGTTATTGGTTATGGAAAAAGTTTGTTTTGGTGCTGCTGATTTTTTGCCCACCGTCCGATTCCATATTGTCACCAATTGGCACGTAAACGGCGTGAAAATCCCGCACGGGAGAAATCGCAGGGACCGGCTCTTCCATTGCGCTTCTTGACACATCTGCCTGTGCGAGAACCCGGAAAATTTCCCGAAAGTCGCTGTGCCTGCGGGCGGCCTTGGACTCTCTCGACGCTTGGGCAGGGTGAGAAAATTTCTCGTCTCTCTCTCTCACGTCTTCCGTACGAAAAAATGTCCCGCACCAAATATCACAATTTTTCGTATATGTATAATACCACTGCGAGCGACGAGCACACAATACACGACGGTCAATGTGGGGTACTAAGACTATACACAACGCCGAAAGCGAGATGTGTTTATATCGAATTCGCTTCAAAGTTCATAACACACGGCAGAGAAGCGAGAGCTGAGCAGCAGCAGCAACGAGCGACGACGACGTGTTAGTATGTATGCCTACAGGCAGGATAACACAAATGCGAAGTGCGTATCGAGAATCCGCGCGCGCGAACGCGTGTGCAGTCGAGGGTTGGCCGACTGCGCTGACTTTTCTTCTGTTTTTCAGCTTACGCTATCTCTCTCGGGCTATTATTATTGAGAGAGCCAATTTTGGCATTATAAGAGGCAACTTCCGGAGTTGCATGGGAATCTTGACTTGGATTACGGAATTATTAATACAAATGTCGGACGGAAATAGCAACGAACGGGGCGAGACGATAAAAATTTCGCGCGAGGGACGCGCGCGCCTATTTTTCGACGACCAATCGCGGCTTTTTTTTGGCACGCAGCTGTCCTTACGACTGAGAACGCCCCTGCATTAGGGTGCATTGCGTTCAGTGTGTCATGTGTGTTCAGAGATAATTTTCAGAGCAGAGTTGAAATTTGGATGCGTTCATAAGTTTGAAATTCGATTTTATAGTCACTCGAACGAAATTGCGTATACTATTTTAAGACGGAGTCAAAGCAATACCGTGAATTTCTTTTAATTTTGACGATCTTCGTTTCTCTCTACGGGTCAATTCTAAAGATAAAAATTGCGCAACAAAGGCGCCTCGATAATCAGGAGCGCACGACCGAATAAAAAGGTGTTGTTTTTTTTGTTGTATTTTTCGTATTCGCGCACGTCCGACCGAGAAAAAAATGTTCAAGGTCTTCGCGTAGAGCTATTAATATCACTGAAAAAAGCTTTCTACGATCAGGAGCGCATGACAAAAAAAGAGATAAGCCGCGTAGGTGCCTCGCGCTGCGAATATTTATAAATCCGTATACGCAGGCATACACCTACCTACCTACCTTTCCCCCCTGATTTTTGATGTATTGCTATCTCGAAAAATTTCGAGGGGGACACACGATCGCGCGACATTTGGTATATATTGGTATAGGTGCGCAGCGCGCGGCGGAAGTCGGAGTCGTGTTCAGCGAGGTTAAAAATGTTATTACGCTCATTATCGTAAATTGATTATCCTATAGACATTTTGAAACAATTGTCAAAATTGATATCGGTACAGTTGATGCGGATATAATCGAGAGACATCGTGTTATTAGATCTCGACTCGTTCATCACGGGTAATAAATAAATGATGAGATAAAAACTTAATTAATTAACATTTATTTATTTGATTTGTCAAATTTACATTTACTCTAAATTGAAATTATACGATGACATGAATGAAAATTACCCATGATAAATCTGAATCATGCAGTAGAATCCGGAAGATCACACCATTCACACGGACGATCATGCCATTAGCAACTACACATTTATCGAACGTAGCATATGTAATTTTTGTTTAAAATTTCGATGGACTTTATGTTTCCTTTTTTTTCAGTATAAAAAATTAATTTTTTAGCAAATTGAAAAGAAAAAACGATTCAAAGTTTTTTTTAAAATAGAGTCAATTAGTAGATGTTTAGTTATTAGGAAGTTCCAGGGTTGAAATCGTAGTAGATGATACGAAAGAATTTTCACACATATTTCACGAGGGTCGCATGTCCCCACGAGGGTTCCAACATCAATCATATTTGTACATATGGCTTTCGTATTCCAAAAATATCTAATTCATCGCCCTATCCCTTTTTTCCTCATGATTTCTTGGTTTGCGAAAGCTTTTATTTCAGATAAAAGTACTTATGAACGAGCTTTTATAAAAAAAAAAAAATAATAATAATAATAATAAATTTCGAGCTTGAAGATCGTTTTTGAAAAAAAAAAAATACCTTTTCCACCGTTCATGTTCTCCTGAACGTCGCACTGTCATTTCGACTATTTTGCGCGTATGTATCGCGCGATAAAAATACATGTGTACCGGATACAAGCTGTCAAACGAATAAAATAGCCAATGAGATAGCGAAAACGTGTTTACTCTCAAGCCGCTCTTCGACAATTATCTTCGTTCAACTATCGATTTCGAAAGCGGATCGATTGTTTTCTGCGTAAAACGCCGATGATTTTTGCTCGTGAAAAACCCAAAATTTATAAATCGTTCGAATCGCGTGACGCGTGCATCAACAAGTGTGTGCCGCCGCTGCGCAAAAAGGTGTCGCGTCCATTCGTTGCAGAAAGAGCCGAAACAGCAGACGTCACGACAAAAGTCACACAACCAGTCGGCGTATGTGTGCGAGAATAGATAACAAGCGCGGCGGATACAACGAGTCGTATGCTGATCGGACGAGTAGTAGGGGGCAGTAGTCGGAGTCGCGACGCACACAGTCGCACGCACACAAACCGTCCAACGCCGAACAGAGTGGTGTCACGGCAATAACACAACAATCAACACGCAGAAGCTACTCTACACGGAGCGCGTAGCATAGCAGCGAGCAGTAGACCAGAACTCGTACTGCAGTTAAGACGTAGAAATATAACTCAGCTCCGCGCGCTCGCGATATACATTATACAATTGCAGCTGACTATTTTTGTAATTTATTTGTTAGTCGATTCAACGCACAGCTGTTTGATCAATCGTACACGTATTTATAATAAAAGTTTTAACAAAGACCGAACGAGAGTTGGAAAAGAAGAGCATCAGTTTATAGAGAGAGAGAGGAAGCGGCTGCCGCTCGTCTATTATCCAGGATGAATCTGTCGTTCGCTGGCTGCGGCTTCCTCGGCATCTATCACGTCGGCGTGGCCGTGTGCTTCAAGAGGTACGCGCCGCATCTGCTGCTGGACAAGATCAGCGGTGCCTCGGCCGGGGCCATAGCCGCCTGCTGCCTGCTCTGCGATTTGCCAATTGGTTCGTATACCACTACTACATCAAACACTCCAGTATCTACAAAATATCGGCTATTAATTTTCGTTAAATTCGCGTACATCGCTCGATATCGATACGAAGATAGTGCCGTGGTATTGTTTTGTTTACGCACGCTGTCGTCAGCGGCGGCGGGGAAAAAAACACACGGAACGCGCGACTTTTTTCCTCGGCTGTCATTGGTCGGAAGTCGAGCTTCTCCACGTGTGAATGTCATCCGTATAGTTCGTTCGTTATATAGCGAGTGTGTTTTCAAGCTATATTATAAGAGAGAGAAAATACGTGCGTTCCGTCCGTCCGTCCGCTCGTCTCTCTTTCTTTCTCTCTCTCTCTCTCTCTGCTTTGCTCTGCTATAATACGAGCATTTAAATATGTAGGTCAACGAACGTGTGTGTACACTTATAACTCGTGTTTACAAGAGCAGCATCGCGTTATAAAATATCGTATATTTTCTCCTTTTAATAACGTTTTATAATGTAGAGACTCGCGAGCAACATGTATACCAGAGCACGTCGATGTGCCGATTCTGCATAATGCGAGATGACGGATTATATACGCATGTGTAAAAAGTGTCGCGTGTCGCGTCGTATGTAATTGCGCGTATCTTTCGCGCGCCTCTTTTATTTTTCTTCGAAACTCTCATTTTTTTTTTACCTACTCTCGTCTCGTTCTGTTTATTTATTTCATCGACTCACGCGGTAAATATTTCAGGAAAAAAAAGTGCGAGCTCGCGCGCGAAAGAAACACGGGGGGTAGATAATAAACTGCGCGCGTTACAGAACGCGGCAAAAACTCGCGCGCGCGAGCGCTCTTGAAACAAAGACATCTGCAATCGGCAACACATTTGTGTTTTATAATAAATATACGCTGGAATAGATTTTTAATGAGCCTCTAGTCCCTTATCTATGCGTTATTATACTGCCGATTGAAGCGACGATACATCTCTATGTGTAAAAAAAAAGTATAGTTGAAAAACGACGCAGCTGCATACGATACGTGAATCACTCGACGCGAGATAGATTCGATGAAAATTACGCGTTTTATATGCCTCTACATTATGAATCGCATGCCTTCCGCGCGTTTCAATTGTGATGCGCCAATATATGTATTATCCTATACTTGTTTACCCGAAACGCGATCAACGAGCGAGTTCATTATTAATATACGCGCGCGTAGTAGTATTGTTTACCGATAAGCCCGCGCGCGACGAGTTGTGCGTTGTTACGACACGTTTTTCTCTCTCTCTAGGCGTAATAAACGTGCCTGCGCGGCGATGCACACGACGACGTCGACGATGTTGACGATATTTACTGCGATCGAAACGAGGCGCGCGAGTGAATTTCGGCTTATCGACGACACTTTTTTACAATTGTATTAAATCTAAACTGCACATAAGCGGCGAGAAGTTCAGGGCCAGCGCGAGCCAGTGCGACAGATTGATAAGGCCGCAGCAGCGCAAGCGAGCAAAGAAACATGTGACGACTTGATCGTCGGCGTGTCTGCTGCTGCATTATATTATACAAATGCTAAACTCGTGCCGCAGATTTAAACGTTTAAAGACCGCGAGAATCGAGCGCAAAAACGAGTTTCGTCCGTTTAAGACTCGCTAAATGTTGGCGATAAAACGCGAACTGGTATTATTAGTATGTCATTCTCGCACAATGTACATAGAAACGGCTGATAATAGGTAGTGTATTGGTTTTAATATCGAGAGACCACCAGCCGGTGGTTTTCCTTTTCGCGCATTTTTACGCATCTATATTTAGACTACTCTTTCGCATTCACGAACTTGTTGCTCTAAACTCGCGTTGACGCACGTACTTTAATATCGTATATATATACGAGGATAGAGAGAGAGTGAAAGAGCTTAGGAATATAGACACACACAAAGCTATGCAAAAAGATAAAAGCCTCGAGAGATAGATAACGCTGCGCCGAGAGCTGCATTTGTATACATATAAAAATAATACAAATAAATTCTTGTTTTGTTACGAAAAAAAAGAGGGAAAGGAGCGAGAGAAAGAGGAAAACATCGTGCATAATAGAGTCAGTGGTTGTTACGATGGCAAAATACGAAAGCGCAATCGATGTATCAATAAAGCACGTGCGAGCTTTGTCGATTCGTCGCCGCTCGACGTTTATAATTGTGATGCGTGTGTATGTGATAATTAGCTTCTCTCCGCAACGATCCGTGAACTATTTCAGTTCTGCGCTTCGACATTATTTATAATTTATATTATTATTTCACTCTCTCGCTCGTGCTAATGCTATGCTACTGTATTATACCGCTTGCTCCACACAGCACACATACACACGCGCATATGACGTACGAAAAGCTCATTTATAAAAGCGTTATACAACTATCCTCCCCGCGATATAATTATTATTAACTGCCTGCGCGCGCGCGCGAGCCGCTGATATTTCTTGGAATGCGATTTTTAGCTCGAAAAAGAGATGCGGCTCGCGGCACGATTTAAAAGGACCCCGAGAGCAGCGATTGACATCAATCACGCACACTATAGTTGCAATATTTAAAAGAATCGCGCAATGCGATAAGTATCGTTATTACCACACACATACACGGACGAACGATTTATAATATAATATATATTTTATTTTATACATCGGTGTATACCGATTTTATTATGCAGTTGAAAACCTCCGATCGATTTCGCGGCGAAAAATCGATCGCGACGCCGGATAAAACTCCGCGTGCTTCTTCTTCTTGTCAAAATTTATAACGTATGCGAAAGAAAAAAAGAAATTGACGTTTCGCGGGCGCAATTAAGCGCTCAATGAACGATAACGCGGCGCGCGCGCAAGCAAGATATACGATGCACATTTTAACTTTATAATAATGTATGTGTGTATTTTTTATGATAATGGACGATGATGATGATGCCAATTATTGCTACCGAGCTGCTATCGGATTTAATACGATCGGCAAAACGATATTATAATATTAATATTCATAAAAAAAATTAGAGAGAGAAGAAAATGAATTTTTGATAGATTATGTAAAACCAAGGACAGTTGGGGCACATACATAACGACACTATCGTTCGTTATTGTATTATTGTCAACGCGATTCAGCAGATATATTCTCTCTCGGGCGCGCTCGCGTGCACGCGATCGTGACGCTGTTTTTTTTCTTCTTCTATCTAGATTAAAAATTTGCTGCTTTTATTTAACGCGAGAAACATTGACATTATAACCGATCCGCTCGTTGTTATTTATTGTTATTATTATTATTGTTGTTAAGCGCGTCGTTATAATGCGGCTTTGATGATACGTTCGATATGTACTTTAACATTGCCAAGTTTCGGAAAAATTCGTATATTATAACTTTATATAATTTTATCGGAAGATACAGTCTTTATCCGATTTTTTTTCTCCTTCGCTTTTCTCGTTCTTCTATACGTACGTACCGATCTCTATTCGCAACATGCAGTAACGAGCTAATATCGATCGACGATGATGATGCCAATGTCTAATACGCGCGCACACGACCGTGATGCTTTCGACGGGCTTTTGAAGGGAGTATATAAGCCGCGCGCGAGCGCGGAAAAAAAGCTCAAAACAATCTTGCGCGTTATCGCACGACCTCCTGTAGACTCGAATGAAAATATTCGAAAGAAAGAAAAGAAAAATGCGTAAACATGTATAGGCTCGCGTGCGCGAGCGCAATGAAAAATCGGCAACAGCGGATGAAATGAATTTTTTTTCTTTTGACTCTTTCAGCCGACATGACGAGTCAGCTGCTGCGTCTGGCCAAGGAGGCGAGGACGCGCACCCTGGGCCCGTTCAGTCCGTCCTTGAACGTGCAGCACTTTCTCCTCGACAGTCTACAGAAGGTATGCAGACACATTATTCATTTCTTTTTTGTCGTATTGTAATAATTATAATAAATGCACATGTACATCGATATCGCGAATGAAAAAGCGTGCAATAATAATATATTCCAGCGAGATAAACTCGCGCTTAATAATACCCGCCTTTATCCGAGTTTATATTATATATACTTGGCACATATATAGCGCGAATACAGATCGCTGCTGCGCGAGAGTTCAATGACCTCGAGCGGAGAGCTCGACTCGGGCTTAATAACGTATACATCGTTATTATACATTTTTATTATAAAAAAAAATTGATTATTTTTCGCTACAGCTGCTACCGGACGACGCTCACCTGCGTGTCAGCGGCAAGCTCCACATCTCCCTGACCCGCGTCTACGACGGCAAGAACGTCATCGTCTCGCAGTACAACTCGCGCGAGGACGTCCTCCAGGCCCTCCTCGCCAGCTCCTTCATTCCGCTGTTCTGCGGCCTCCTGCCGCCCCGCTTCCACGGCATACGCTACATGGACGGCGGCTTCTCCGACAATCTGCCCACCCTCGACGAGAACACCATCACCGTCTCGCCCTTCTGCGGCGAGAGCGACATATGTCCGCGCGACCTCAGCAGTCAGCTGTTTCACGTGAATCTGGCCAACACCAGTATCGAGCTGTCGCGCCAGAACATGTATCGCTTCGCGCGCATCCTCTTTCCGCCCGACGCCGAGATACTCTCCAACATGTGCAAGCAGGGCTTCGACGACGCGCTGCGCTTTCTCACGCGCAACAATCTCATCAATTGCAATCGCTGCCTGGCCGTGCAGTCGACCTTCGTCATACCCGAGAGCGTCGATCTCAGCGAGGACAGCACAACGGGCAACAACAAAGACAATAGTAACAACAAATACAGCAACGAACGGGACTGCGACGACTGCAGGATGCATCGGCAGGAGGCACTGGTGGCGAATCTGCCCGAGACCGTGCTCATGCTGTTCCAGGAGGCCATCGACTCGGCCAACAAGGGCCTCGTCAATTGGCTCTTCAAGCATCGCAGCGTCCGGCTGCTGAGCTTGCTCAGTCTGCCCTACACCCTGCCCGCGGACGTCGTCTACGCCACTTTCACCAAGTGAGTTTTGGCGAGCTGCGCAAGCGAGAATACGAGTTTACACGATCGAATAAGATCGGCGCGAACAAAAGATTTAGGCCTCGCGCGCGCGCGCGCGCTTGGGTCAAATAGAAACTCTAATTCTCTTTCTCTCTGGCTCTATCGCTGCTTCTTCGCGTCAGATTAGAAGCTCGCTCGTTCGATATGTATAACGCTCGTTTTATATTTTTCGCAATCTATGTCGATACCGATAACCGGATTGGGGATTGACCATGCGCGCAATTGGTAATATAATGCGTGTAACGAATAATCACGATATAAAGCTCGCTTCAGAAGCTGCTTTCGCGCCTACGCGTATTATATATATTTACGCGAGCGATGTTTTGCCATTCGTGTCAATGTCATTATTATAAAACGTTACACATTTACCCCGAGAGATCTATCTCTCGCGTGTATCATCCTTTATACACGAGATGCTTACGTCTATGACGACGATGATGCCGATGCTGATGATGATGTCTTTGTGTAATGTGGCCGCAGATTCGTGCTGAACGCGCCGAAGCTACAAAAGAGCTTGATGGACATGACGAGATACTTCCTGGAGCAGCTCAGCCTCATCTTTCCGAAGATCAACGTCTATTATCAGCCCATGCCGCAAACTATCAAGTGCCATGTCAACATAATGGATTACGGATCGAGTGAGTTGAGACGATGCCTGCTTTTTTTTTGCTTTCGTATATCATCATCTCCTTCCTCTAGAGCAATATCGAAGATCAGAGATTTCCATATACGCGGTTGACGTTTCGTTATTTTTATTGAGAAAAAGTTTTATTCACGCAAAAATTCTGCGCTGTTTGTTTCCTCAGATATGTACAGCGACGACGAGCCCTTGTTATACAAGCCGCACAAAGCCAATGTTAACGTGACACTGGAATACGACGACAACGCGTGAGTATTTCATCGATAATCTTCTGCTTTTTTTCGCATACTTCCATTTGTTTTTTTGCTCTCGCTGAATATATACGTTGGATATATTGTCATTTGTATCGAACGATTTCTCTCTCTCTCTCTCTCGTTGCGCATACTAAAATAGAAACTCTGCACTATTTTGTTGTACGACAGTAAAACGTGGACGGATTGCGGACAATCGACCAATTGCGTGATCAACGTGTCGAATCTGACGCCCAGCGGCATTGACAATCGTCAAACTGCCAGCGATAACTTTGAAAATATGCTTCAAGTGAGCAATAATAACGATAATTTTCTCGCACTCGATGATTCGAGAAAATGAGTCTTTCTATACTTCGATGGATTATCTTTACCTCTTTCTCGCAGGCGACCGCGGACCGAGAGGCCCTGATGGCCTACTACTACGTCGAGGACGGCAGCAAGGTTCATTTTTCGGAAATCATCGATATCAACGATGACGACGACAACGACAATCGAGACAACCAACAGTTTTCCAGCGAGTCGGAAACGTGGAAAGTTCAAAATAACGGTGAGCGTCGAACGGGGATGGCGTATGATAAAAACACATATTTCCACTCGGAGATTTTCATGCGTCGTCGTTGTTGTTTTTTTCTTTCGCAGATGAGGAACTGAACCGCCTGAACTCGGAAATGTCGTCGACACCGAATTCGATGATCAACAACGAAACCGACGTCTCCACGGAATCCAATCACCAGTGGTATTTCAGTCAACAACAGCCACAATCGTATCAGCAGCAACAGAAACAACAACAGCAAAGCACGCCAGAGTAGTAGATATCAAGCAAATGATTATTGAAATATTTTTCTTACACAATTGTTATTACGCTATTAGAGAGTAAAAAATAAGCGAGCGAGCGATTAGAAGAATCCGCGCGAAGAAGCGATAATATCAAATTTTTTTATTTTTTCGATGCGTCGTCACGCGAAAATGATCGTAGATCATACAGAGCTGGCAAAATACCTAGTTAATTTTTTTTTCTTCCTATTCGCAAGATTTCTCGAGCCTCTGTTCGAGGCAATTTATACACGTAGCAATTTTTCGTTACTCTTAGGCAGTATTTATATTTATTTTTCCGATGTTGATGATAACAACTCGCAGACGTTTAATTTTACGTTTTATTCTAGGTGCGTAAGTTTAGTTTTACTTGATGATTTTTAATTACTTTGCCATGTAGATTGTTTATTCTCGGTACTATCGGCATTTCTCTAGCAAAAATTGATAATAATTAGATGACATTTTTTTTTAATCACATTTTTTTAGTGCAATATATTTTTTTCTCTTCTATGATAATGAAATTTTGGTGCTACTATAGTAAGATGCTCGGCTGCATATGAGTGCATTTCTGATGCGTGACTCATAGCGGCGAAAAATAATTTTATTCTGTTTATAAATTATATATACTAGTCGGTACGAATTGGAGAACCGTCGGTGTTCATCTCTCTTTTCGCGACCCTCACGATTGAAACGACACATTCCAATTAACATTAAGTTGAATGAGATTCACTTAAACGATTGTAACGAAATTGTATATTTTTGATACTGATGAAATTAGTACTTAAACTATTTGAATCGATTCGATATGAAGCTCATCGAAAAAAAGTGAAAACAGAAAGCTTCAGCAAGCAATTCACGTTGCGTTGGAGCGTCCATGTAAATTATTCGCGAAGTGTATCGTTATTTTTTTATAAATCATATTTTTGTACAGTAATCTTGTAGCTAACAAGACAATCTTACAAATAATGAAAACAGTCTGAAACTAGTAAACTCAGTCAGTGATTTAATTTTTCACCTTTACCTTTTTGATAAAGTCATTTATATATAGAATAAAACAACAGCAATTTTAAAAATGGAATATTTATTACGCATTCTTCTCTCCTGAACTTTTTAAATATAAAACAAATTTGTATACGAATTATTTATAATATATGCAAGTAAGTCAGTTTTTGCACTCTTTATCTACAATTAATGAAGAATATCATTTTTCGATCGACCGATCATAATCGTATTTCCTCTTTTTCAAATCATAATTCTTTTATCTTTCTTATACTGTATATATTTATATTCAACGAGAATGACAGAGAAAAAATTCATCCGCCGTCGGTTTTTAATGATTACACACATTCACATGCACTTACAAGAATTTTTACACTTATGAAGTAGTTCACAATATATACTCTCACTTTACACACGCAACATTATATTCAATGTATTTGCTATCTCTTTCTTTGTATCTATCTATCTATTATACATAATCGACATGAAAGAGTTAACTTACAAGTTTTACAAGTTTTACGTATATTTATAATATATTTATATATCATGATACATGCGGAGGAGGACCACTCTCAGACGAGAGTTCATTTTTTTTTAAATATGTGGTTGTTAGTTACTCAATAAACAACGACATATTGAGAGTAAATCTACGAAAAAAATACTTTTTACAAATATCTCAATTCACTTATTCATTTGTGTTCATTCTTTTCTTATAATAGAAGTATTAATCTCGAGGCCATACAGTAACGATGATTAGAAGTCGATGAAGTTGCTACCGATGCAGTAAATGGAATCGACCCTTGGTCAATAGTCTGAGTATCAGCGTGTGCTCAAAGTACATCTTCGGGACCACCGCGCGGTTGTAGCTGAGTACGGGCAGCGTTCGTGATGTTCGCCCCAGCGGCGTTGGCGGCCTTTTGCTGCGCTGCCAAGCATTGCTGTAACTGTTGGAGCTGAAAGTAATGAAAAATAAAGGATAAAAATGTTGAACAACCAATCTAGATCATGGGTAACGAAAGTCAGGCTCAAAAAATTAAACTACCTGCTGTGGCGAGAAACCGGCAACCGCATTTAGCGCCTGCGCCTGTGAATTACATGGATTGATCGATGAAGCTTGTACAGTCCGCGCTTGCAACGATTTTGCAAGTAACGTTTGTTTGGCTGCATTGGCTAATGTCGTTTGAACGGTTGTCGCTGCCCCAACGTTTGCTTGATTCGCCATTACCATTGGTTTCGAGGCCGCCACTACGAGTAAAAATTAAATTAAATTGGATCGTTGAGAAAAATTTTACAAGAGCTTTCGTGCAAAATCAATTTTTCATTATTTTCATCTACATACCCATTATTGGAGTAAGTACTTGTTTGTTGCGAGACAACAGAAGCTGATTCGTCACACCTTTCGACGCGGCAGCTGCAGCCATCGAAATCGGCAGAGTCTTGACTTGATTGACTTGTACTTGACGTCCCATTTGATTGATTCTAGATCTTTGGGCCCCTACAAGTTGTATTGCTTGGCCACCCTGCACATACTTGTAGTATAAGTAAAGTTATTAGCTCATCAAGTGCAAAGTGATCTTGTGATTGTGAAGTAAAAACTTACCTGCGCTAATGCAACCCCGGCATTATTGGTTCGTATAGTCTGTTGGGTTAATCCTTTTACTCCGGAAGGTATAAGTTGTGCTAAAATAGTAAAATTTGTACTTCATACTTTACATTTTGGCCATAAAAAATATCAAGAGTTTACATACCAATTGGTAACGATAAATGAGCATTGGCAGGATTAGCTACGACTATAGTAGGTGCAGCAGCCACAGACGTTGTAGGAACTGAACCAGGCATCTTTAAGAAAAAATTTACAATTCACAATCGCACCGGCAAAAACGTTGTATACCAGTTGAAAAGTGTCGAAACTTACGCTGGACACCGTCGAACATGTGTTGGTGCCGGAAGATATAGGTAACGAAACGATCACACCGGAGGGTGTAACTACGTTACCGGTCGCCGCGGACACATTGAGCGACATGGTGATGGGCTGCGACAACCCAGGAATTGACACTTGCACGTTCTGAAGGCCGTTTATGGAATTCGGTAGACTAGCTAGATTGACGCCTTGCAAATTCACATTAGCCGTTTGCTGCTGCTGGGGCGACGGGCTCTGATGGTGCGTCAGCTGCGGCGACTGCTGGGGCGGCAGCGTGGGCGGCGTCACCGGCGGCGGACTCGTCATCGAGCTCGTCGGCTGGCTCGCCTGGTTTGTGGGCGCAGTGAGGCGCTCGAACAGCGACGACGCGGCAGTGATTCCGGGCACGGACGTGTCGTCGGTTGGCGTGCCGGCCAGCAGCGCCGACAGACCGGGCATCGACAGTCCCAGAGACGAACCCGAGCCGTCCTGCACTCGGGCCAGTCTAACGGCCGATGCCTTTACCGGCTGCTTGACTATTTGATTTGTCGTCAGGGCTGGGCTAAAGCTGACTCGAACCTGCTGTCCAGAGCTGTTTGGCACCGTGATGATATTGCCGTGACTCAGTACCCTCTGGGGTAATGCAGCGGCATTTAGGGCTATCCTCCTTTGCTGCTGTAGTTTTTGATGAGTCAAATTAGCAGGACTGCTGTTTAATAGACTTAAAATTGCTGCGTTGTTGTTAGCTTTCGGCGTTACTTGCGGTGCAACGGTATTCAACGACGCGGCAGCGGCAGCATTCGCTAAAGAATGAAAGCGAGTTCAGTAAAAAAATTACAGAAAGTTTTCAAGCTTTATTACTGATCATAATTACTCACCCGCAGCTTGTTGCTGCTGTTGCTGTTGCTGCTGTTGCTGCTGTTGTTGCTGCTGCTGCTGTTGCTGAGTAAACTGTTGCGCCGAATTCATTAAAGAATTAGCAAGTGCACTGATAGCTAAGTTTGTGGAATTTCTTTGCAGCACGTCATTCGTGTGATTCGAATTGTCAGTCAAGCTGCTCAACGTTCCCGCTTGCAATTGCGCTTGCTAAAATGTAAAAAAAATCGTTGTAAAGACTCGCCGAAAAGTATCGTTTAAATGCTCAACTTACCAAAACAGGTACATTGGTTGTATTATTAGATATTTGTGGCTGTTGCTGAACAGGTTTTTGTTGAAACACAAGAATACCCGGCTGTCCATTACAAACTTGTTGCTGCTGGGCAGCGGCAACTTGCAACTCAGTTTGAACAACGTTAGAAACGTCCAATTGTTGTTGTTGGAGTATGGGTGCAACCCGAGGCACCAATGTCGTTTGTTCTACGATCATTTGCTCCGGTGGTTGTTGTTGCTGTTGCTGTTGGGGGACTATGTTTGCTGTACCCTCTAGAACGTTGATTAGTTGATTTGTTGTTTGTTGCTGTTGCTGTTGTTGTTGCTGCTGCTGCTGTTGCTGTAGTTGCTGCTGAATTTGCTGCTGAACAAGTTGTGTTTGGGGTTGAGCTTGCGGCACTGGTTGTTGCTGCTGTTGCGGCTGCTGCTGCTGTTGCTGTTGCTGAATCTGTTGTTGTTGCTGTGCTTGTACTTGCTGACGAGCAGCCGTTTCCACTGCGACTTTTAGTGAATTAGCTACCTGGCCCGCCAGGTTATTTGGTATTTGACCCGTGAGTTGAGCCCTTTGTAATAACTGCAAACACAACGATCGTAAGTTATCTCAACGAGGTAGTAAATTTTATAGCAAGTTAATAAACCATTAAACTTACTTGCTGCGTCAATCGTTGACTTTGCAATTGTTGAACAAGTTGAGCCTGAAATTTGAATTGATTCAATGATTGGGTTTCTCTCTTAAAAATCTGCAATAATTTTTTGCATACCTTGACTTGCTGCTGAACACGAGCATTCGATGCTTGCTGTTGAGCGAGTTGTGCCTGTGCTCTCTGCATACCGAGGGTACACGAGACGCGAGGCGCTTGACCAGGTACAATGTGCATGATTTTCACTTGCTTTCTTCCTTCTTCCGTGAAGATTTCCGTAAATTGATTTATATACTGATTAGCCTGTGTTCTGGTTCCCAGATGGAATCTGCGAAAAGAAGAAAAACAGCGATGAAGCGAGATGTACTAAAAAAAGCTCGAGCGAGCTTTACAAGCAACGAAAAAAAAAGCACACGCACCTGCACGACGAGCCCTTCTTTTCTCCTTCTCGATAATCAATATCTACGTAGAGTTCGCCAAGGTACTCGGATGTCGAAGGTCTCTGTAGTATGGATAGCTTAATGTGATAAGTACGACCGTTACCTCTGTCCGTCTCGAGGATGTACTCTTCCATGAGCGCGGGCAGACAGTCTCTCGTTTCTTTGGGTGCCTCGTAGGCTTTGGCGTACTTCAGGACGTCCGGCGTCTCGCTGGGCGGCAGAAGCGGCGGCGCCAGCAGCCTCGGCGCCGGACACGCGATGCTCGAGGGCATGATGTGGCCGCGCTTGCTGCGCAGCTTCTGCATGAGATCGGCTATCGTCACGCCCTCGGGCTGCGCGAGCTGCTCGAGTTTCCTCTTGCGATTCACCGAGACCTGGGAGAACTTTCTCGCCTGCCTGACGAGCCTCTGATCGGCGACCAGCGCTTTCGACTGCTTTATCCTGAGGCAGGCCAGCGTCGGTATGGGATTGGGATCCAGAAAGAGGGGTCCCTGCGTGGCGGCCAGCAGTTTGGACTCGAGCTGGAGCCGCTCCTCGTGGCTCCAGTCACCGTCGCTCGTCAGCGCCGCGACGTCGGCGAGCAGGCTCTGCGTGTTGGGCTTGAGCAGCACGTGATGTATCTCCGGCTTCGTGTGCGGATGGACCTTGCGAAAGTCTCGCACCTCGGCGATCACGCAGCCCTCGTAGAAGAGGTGGCCGTGCGATCTCTCGAGCGTCTCCGCCAGCGACGGCGGCAGCTGGCGCGAGTCCAGACAATTCAGTAATTCGCCCTGTTCGTAGCCCATCAGCTGCGTTTCTGCGATGGAGCCCGCGCCGCTGTGACTATTGACACCACCACTGCCGTTCTTGTCGCAGTGATAAGCATTTTTGCTGCAAAAAAACGTTTGTCAATTACTGTTATATCAAGTGTTTACTAGTTGAATGAAAGATGATCGATTACGAGTCAGAGCTTTGATCATTTGTTTTTCTGATTGTAATCAAAAAGTTTATGTACTACATACAATCTAAGACATTAAGTTGCTGATTATTTGATAGAATTGTATAGCAAAACAATGGTTTACCTATTACTCACTGCCAACGAGTAACCCTTATTACCAACATACAGATTTACAATGAGTGTGTGTAAATTTTCATTTTTTACTAATTTTCCTAACAAATTACTGTCATGGTCAAGATTATTCTGAAAAGTGAGAAAGTGATCGATGAAGCTTATATTGTCTCAGGATTCGCTGTTGCTTTCATGAATAATATATATTTTAACCAACCATTATGGAATCCGTCCCATCACCAGATGAGGTCTTTTTTTGTTCTTCCAAAAATAAATTCATGAGCTTCTTATGGATACTCATTTGTTGCTTTTTGGAACTGTGATGACTATTACTACTATGTGTTTTATGCCTACTTATTGAATCTGTAGTTTTACCACCTCCGCTGGCTCCTCCACCAGCATCCACACTCAGAGAGTGCTTTGATATTTGATTTATCATTTCCTAAGAAATAAAAGTTCTCAGATTAAGTACTATCCATCGAATGAAGTTGAAACAAATTGTATCGACTTACTGCTGCTTTATGAAAAGCTTTTTCTAAAGTAATTGCTGGTTCCATCATCACGAATGAACGCACCAGCTTTGTTGACCACTGAGTCTTTTCTGAAGCACTACGGATAGCACAAGCTTCATATTATATTATAGAGTCTTGCAATTTGGGTAAAATTGCCTGCTTATTCACTAAATTCACTACATAATTGCAGATGTGCCTGGTCTCTGGTCATCCAAGAAACAAACAGACTCTGAATCGCTCGCTCCAGTTATGAAGAACTCGCAACGTGCGTACTGCATGAACATCAGATCAGATTCTTGCCAGATGATAAAAGAAAATCACAACACACATCGAATTAAAAAACTTGACGTTTAAAACTCTGGGGTAATTAGCTTGTATCACAATTTGCGAGAACCAAGCACGAAACTCTCAGTGAAGCAAGAACGAACGAACGAACGAACGACGCAGCAGCGAGAGAAGTACCGATACGACGATAACAACAACAACAACAACATCGGAGGGTGACGACTACGACGACGACGACGACGACGACGACGATGGTGTGCTGATGTGGTGGTGGAGGTGGTGGTGCGTATGTAAAAGGCGAGCAAAAAAACGCAGCGCCTGCACTGATTGCGCGTGTTTATTTATTGCAACGCTGCTCTCTGCCGATGATCGCTGAGAAGCAGCAGAAGCAGAAGAACTCGCGGCGATAGGCTTGTAACACTCCTCCGTCGTCGGGCACTACTTCCAATATAGTAGTTAGGTACTGGCAGCAGCGCATATATAACCCTTCTTTGTTGACGTGCACGTTATGTTATGTGTTATGTGCAGCAGTGGCTGCGCTGCTGCTGCTGCTGCTGTGCTTCGTCGTTCGTCGTCGGCTTCGCACGCGAGATAATAACTCGATGACTCTCGCCACGCTTCACATGTACACGTACTCGATCGACTTGCCGCCGACCGCGAACACAGCACCGCGCGACGACGATGGGATAATTGTTGCTCTTCTTCTTCTTCTTCGGCTCAATGGACCGCGGCGACGGCGGGGCCGCAACAATTCTGCATGGTCCGCGCGCGCGAGGCCACTATTATACACACTTGCAAGCGAGAGAGCCCAAGGGTGTGTTGTTGTTGTATATATACAGTCGAGAGAGAGAGAGAGAGAGAGATCCAGCAGCAGAGTCTCGTCAGCGCGAACAGCACGGAGTACTCGAGCCAATGTATAAAGCAGGCAGCAGTAGCAGCAGCAGAGTAGCAGCAGCCAGCAGCAGCGCACAACAGTAGTATATTTACAAATGTGTATACAACACAAGAGTCGGAGAGAGAGAGAGAGAGAGAGAGAGATCACATAAGTCTCTTTTCGAAAAAAGAAAAAAATAAATAACAATATAACTGTCTAGCCGCAACCCGCGCAGTTACGCGGCTATCGATGCGATTCTTGCACTCGATATACGCGCACGGAGCACTAGCAGTAGTAGCACTGGCACACGCACGAATAATTGATGTTTTTATCACTCTGCTTCACGCGCACTCGCACGCACCACGATGTTTAATAATCATACACACAACATCAAACTCGTACTGCTGCAGCAGCAGCAGCAGCAGCCTGAGAGCAGCACTCTTTACACGCGCGGAGGAACATTTCGAGCTCGCGAGCATAACATAGCAGCAGCAAGCAGCAGCTTCAGGCTTCTCTCGCTCGACGACGACGATAGTATAGAACACTCGCTACTATCACTGGGGCACTTGGCTCTGCTGCTCGGCGTAGTTACATTTGCATCGTATAAACTGCACTCCGTGCGATATCGTCCTTTAGCAGCAGCACAGTTGCGTATGTACAGCTGCAGAGCGCGTATTTACGGCAGAAATTCGCGAGAGAGTAACCACGCAAGATATACAGTGTGTAACTTTACTACTCTGCACACAGCTAGCCAAAGCAGAGCAGAGAGCACGAGAGGCTGCTCTGACTCTGTCTCTATACAGTACGATGTAGTAGGTAGTAGTACTGTGATGTGACGGTCGCACCGTCGCGCGGCTGTGCAATGCAGGCACACGACGAATTATTACGTGCGCTTTATAACCTGCAAAAACCCGACTGACTGACTGACTGCTGCTGCTGCCTACTACTACTACTACGACATATATCACTGTATGTAAACTACCTATGTGTATGCTGTATGTACTATAAACTGTACGGGGGCACTCTCTTTTGCGTGGCGCGAGCAGCAGCAGCATACATACCATGTATACCTATCGCTAAACCACGCACGCACTTGCGGGTATAAAGCGCTATCTGTTATGGCTGTTATGCGAATTTCAAAATACGCGCGCGCGGCCGCTTATACGTCTTTATCGCCTATAAGTACGCAATGGAAACGACTGACATCGAGTGCAGCCGTATTCATTTTTTAATCGACGTTTTACACAATTAACGGTATCGATACGTCGTCGCGAGCACAACCCTATGCAGGTTTTTATTTTGACAGTTTGCATCCGCCACCGCCGAACACTTTCAATGATGAGTACAGCAACGCGCGTTCGAGCGATCCAAAATATTCGATCGCACCGCGCAACGATCGCAAGAGAGATCGTATCGTATCGATTATGTAACTGAAAAAACGAACGAATTATAAAACGAGCTCGATATACAACTGCGAACCGCACGAGACGATCCCGTTATATACCGTATATGATCGTTCTCGTAATAATCCAAGTATCCGTTTACGTTGCATTGCCGAGCTTTTCGCGTATTATGCGCCAGCTGCAGCTTCAACGTTACAATATTTATAATACGCGATCCGGGACATTTAAAAGTTTCCGAGAAAATCCGCGCGCGCGTCTCGGAGATCTTTTAAATCTTCTGCGTCAGTAATATTATGATTATTATAAAATGCGCCGCTTGTATCGCAGCCACGCAGTAGGCAGCTTGTTTATTAACGGCCGCTGCTGCTGTTGCGCTACCAGTGCTGCGCTGCGAGTAAACCAGGGCACTGCTTCACCCTCCGTTCGTTCGATAATATACGCGTTTCAGTATCCGAAAGCTCCGAATAGTCGTCATCGTATGTTATAATTGTCAGTCTGAACCGACCAGTCAGTGCCGCCGCATCGCTCCATCCATCGCGCGGGGCCTAGCACCGTGTATATACAAGGCACGTTATAATACATGTAGCGCGATTATATTTCATACGCGCGCCGCGTTGTGGATGTGTGTGTGTGTTGCATCGTCGTTTTTTGATACATACTGGCACGGCATCGAGGCTGCGACGACGACAGTGCAGATTGCAGCAGCAGCAGCAGCAGCAGCTGCCTGTGCATGTGCATGTGCATGTGTAGACAGGCACCGACCAGTATATTACAAGGCGTCGAATTAGTGTGCTTATATATATACGCGGGTGCCGTGCACAGTGCACAGCAGCAACAGCAGCAGTCCATGCGTCGTCGTGACTCTACTCGTTCGTTCCTTCGTGAATAGTTATACACATGTGTATGTGTGTGTGAGTGAGTGAGTGAGTGACATGCGGAGTGAGAGTTCGCGACTCCGCAGCAGTTGTCTGTTGTTGTGTTGTCTGCGTGCACATTGAAATAAGAAGAGTTATAATACGCCGAGAGGATCGTGCATCGCGGCTACCGCTGCTATATACTCGCAGGGCGTTGACGATTATTTAATTCTTTTTTCATTATCTCTCTTCTCTCCCTCTTTTTTTATGTGTGTGCCTCTCGAGTCGCGAAACCTCGCGTCGCCGTCGTAGATGTGTGTTGTTTTACAAGTACATACATACAAGTATATAAGTAGTAGAGGCCCAATACAATACCGCACGCACACGGTTATGATATATATTTTTGTGTCGAGATTGTGTTGACCACAGAGCGAGAGACAGAGAGAGAGAGATACGTATCTGCTGCTTTGGTGTGTTAGTCAGTGCCCGCGACAACGACGACGACGACGACTTCGTACATACATATATACGTGCTCGGCGATTATGGATCAGTGTGAGAAATTCATTTGTACAATCAATCGTCGTCGCGCCTACATTGCAGATTGTGCGAGCACCGATGAGTGTCTGTAAGCTCGGTGCGACGCAGCTTATAGAACGCTAGACATATATAATAGTAAATAATAAAACAAGTGCAATTATTACGCGTGGTACCTCTCATCTCGCTGGATATGTCGACTCGACTCATCGACGACTTTTTTTTACGGCTAGGAACGAGCGACCATCACCGTCAGCGCGAGTGCAAGTGCAACAACCACGACAACAACAACCCCGACGTCGCCGTCGCCGACGATGGCTACGAAAAATCTGACGACTCCAACAAGCACGCAGACGACCAACAACAACGCCGCTTCTTCAACGGATTCACAGACGACGACTACTACTGCTGCTCGTACGCGCTTGAGGGTGCTCTATGATTTCGAGTACGAGACCAAAGGCAGTCGCGTGCACATCGTCAAGAACGAGCGTCTCCTGCTGCTGAACAAGACCAACAACGACTGGTGGCAGGTAGTGCGGCCGGACGACTGCACTCCCAATTACGCCGGTTTTTACGTGCCGGAGAACAGCACCTTCTACGTGCCCAGTGGCTACGTCGTCGAGGAGCCACAGCTACCGGATACCACGAGATTCTATGTTGACAAGGACAAGATGTTCAAGCAGGAATCCAGCCAGGACAGCAAGGATCAGTCTGCTGCCAAGGAGGACGCCAAGGAAGGCTCCAAGGACGGTAGCGGATCCAGAAAAGGACACGACTCTTTCAGGAGCGTCATGAGGAAGTTATCCGGTACCTCGAGTACCAGCAACAGCGACAAAGATTCCTTAGGTAGCAATACCAATAAACCTGCCAAGCCTGCCAAACCACCCAAGGGTGTCAAGAGTGCCAGAAAAAATTCTGCAGACGCCACAGATGACTCTAAGAGCGTACAGAGCAAGAGCGGTGGCTCTGTCAGTGGTAAGAGCAAAGATTTGTGGGAGGGCTCTGCCTTTGGCATGTGTTTTGGCAGAGATTCCAAAAATGTAGACGCTCAAATGTTAAATCCTTTCCAAGAGGAATTGGAAAATGCCTTGTCCAATAGACAATCACAAAAAAGGACCATAATCAATACTAAATCAACTATAAGTAAAAGTGAGGACCAAGCCAACGATGAACGCGAGGATTCATCCAAATTTGAAAATATTCAAAGCAAGTGGGAGAAAGTATCCGCTTCTTTGTTGAAAAAGCCAGAGGGCCATAGTTTTTTAAGTAAAATTAAGGAAGACAAAGTTCAAAAGGTCCAAAGCGAAGCTTCTTCTAGCGTAGAGAATAAAGTTGTACAAAAAACTGAAACAAAAGAAAAAACTATAGAAATTAAGAGATTATCTGAAGGTACAATTGATAAGTTATACAGCAAAGTTGATAAAATTTCTAAAAATGTAGTTCAAACGCAACCTCCAGAAGTGCCTCCTAGACCCATAGAGACTCTTATTCCAGTGGTGACAGCTGTCGACAATAGTGAGACAGTTCCATCCGTTAAATCCGAACCAAGATGTAAAACTCCAGAGCCGATATCCAAAATCCTGCCGGAGCCTGAATCGCCAAACACCAAAAAAGAGGCGGAGAGGCTGATAAACGACAAAAGAAAAATGTGGGCCATAGAGACCCTCATGTCGGAACTGCTGCAATCCTCGAGCAACTCCAGCTCGACGACCAAAGCGACGGAGTCGAGCAACTCCGACGTATCCGGGCCGAATCAGTTGGCGCAGGAGCTGCACGAGATGAACGCGACGAAGCGCTACGAGAACGCCGAGATCCAGGTGAATCTGCTGGACGACGACGATACCAAAGAAAACGAACTGATCAGCGGCATGACCAAGGTCCAGCTGAACTCGTGGAAGAGACGCACGAAGATCTTCGACTTTCCGCTGGTCACGAGCAAACCCCCGATAAGTCCCACGGCGAAATCGCCCAAACTGCTGGACGAGTACAACGAGGCGAACATACTGAACGACAACAACGCGGCGGCGGGTAATAATAAAGCAACGATGGATCATCATCATCACGTGGACGTGCGCGAGAAGCCGTCGTACTCGAACGTCTCGACGAGACTGAAGAGGGACAAAGTGCCATGCAAGCTGAAGATGCCCACCAAGGACTTTCGCGAGGAGCTGCAGCTGACGCCGTCGCTGGAGAAGTTGGCCAGCGAGATCAAGTTTTTGCCCGCCAATTTCAACGAGGCGTACGACGACGCGAGCGGCGACGACGATGACCACAACGACAAATCCTCGCCCGATTCAGGTATAATATATAAATTTTCGACCATTCACCGCAATAAAAAACGAGAGCGCGTGTTGCGATTATCAATTCGTATATCATAACAAAACCGACGACGAATTTACCGATCTTTTTTTTTCTTCGAAACTAACCGATAACGAACCACTACCGCATGAACGACTTATCACGAAGTGAGAAAGAAATAAAAAAAAAATCTGTCGAACTCGTGGCGTTTCTCCAATACTCTCAACCACCGCTCGAGTATATATCCATTCGAGTACTTCCTTTTCGTCGTCGTCTCTTTCGCGGCAGATAAGCCTCTTCTTTTTTTTTACACCTGCCATGGTAAATAAATACCATGCCTTTAAGCTCTCCGAAACATGCTATATGTACAGCATATATACACATAACAAGAGGAGTATAAAAAAGATCGTTCGCATGTAGGTATCCATATCTCACTCTGCGTCGTCGTGTGTACCGAGTATTGAATGTTTGTTTTCGCACACACTCACCGAGAGACTCGTCCGTGTGTATACGTAATAATATTCTAGTGGTTTACGCGGAGGCACATACACACATAGTATGTGTCACATACGTACACGCGTATTAAAGTACACCATGTACTTATTTAACACACAGCCCGCGGGCGTGAGGCCTCGTGCGCGTCTCGCGAAAGACAGAGAGAGAGAGAGAGAGATAAAAATCTGCGTGAGTCACGATAATCGTAAAAAAAAAGAAGAAGACGAATGGAAAAACGAAAATATATACGTTCTCACGCATCGCGAATCCGAGCGCGCGCGCATCCGATACTAAACGTAAATTAGCCGCGACGCGAACGAATAGTTTTTTTTTTTAATATATATTTTCTGCATTATGCAGACATGTGCGGCTCTTTAATGGGGCTCATCTCAAAACTCTTTATAATTCGACTTTCACTGCGCCTCGCGCGCCAACAACACGCATGCTGCAACAGACAGCGCACTTGTGTGTGATACAAGTGAACGTACACACAGACAATTATCATTGGTGCACCACATGCCTCGATACATATTATAAAATCTAGACTCTCGATTCCCGATCTCGAGAGAGATCGTTAATTATTCGCTAAACAAATTGGCCCGCGCGAGCGAGCGCGCGAATTTCGAAAAACGATCTCTCTCTCTCTTGGACTCGGATATGGCTGCTGGTGGCCAGCTGTAATAGACGTTTTTGATATATATCGTCAGTAAGTTACATACACCTCGTGCTCGATCGTAATATGCGTTTATTACATGAGTCACTGCTGCCGCTACCGCCGAGAGTAATCGAGAGCGCGCCGAGGCTGAATAGATATTGCACACACGGTACATGTGTGTGCGTTATCCTAGATGTATACTTAGTCGGTCGGCGGCGTTACGTTATAATGCTGTATATATATAGCTCGCAACATAGAGGTACCTTTTTATTCATTCGCTCTCGATCGAGAGGGAGAGAGCCAAAGTGTTATACAGATATCGGCTTTATATTATATTTTCGTCGATACCTAAATTTGCTTTTATCGTTTTTGACAGTTCGAGCCGTGTCTCTCTCTGTACTTCCGGTTGCTTCGCTCGCTCGCGCGGCTAATGTTTATTTTAAAACCCCCGGCGTGCGCTCGATATACACATCACATCTCTCTCTCTCTCTGCATTATATAGATGATAGTAATAGGTACACGCGTATATAGACTAACTAGAGACGCGGCGATGACAGGCGCAAAGGAAATGAAGAAAAAAAAACAACGACGATGGTAGCTGCTGCCGATGTTGCTACTATGCGTCCATTACGTAGTATAATGGCTTTTCGATGTGCGCGCATATATTGTATACTACTGTACATCGGTGAAAGCAACGAATGATACCGACTCTTTTCCCTTTTTTTATTTTTTTTTTGCTTCTTCCTCATTTTGGAGATTTCTTATACATATACTTTTCTATATACACGGGCGCACGTAGTACTAGAATAAATGAGACACGTTGACGTTTTACAAATGTCTTCGTAACAGTTTGCGCGCGTGTAAGCGATGAATCGCGTTGTTTCGACTCAACACTTTCGAGAGATGTATATAATAATAATATAATCGACGGGAAAGTCGTTTCCGCGTAAAAGAAGTATAATGGGTAGTAAGCGGCTTCCATTTATACGCACCGCTTGAGACCTTATTAGAAACCACTTTAGGGGGAATCGATCCTCCAACGGTTATATACTACTTGATACAATATAGAAAGCTCGTCTACGTATTTGAATTAATTGATAAAGGGCTACGTCGATGCTTTTTGTTTCAGAGTATCCAGGCTCCTGCATAACTCTAAGCCACGACTCGCTGCGTCTGTACAAGCGTCGCTCCAAGTCCGACTCGGCCCTGAATCGTCATCACCATCGTCATCATCATCAGCTGGATAACAACAACGGTAGCAATAGTACCGGGCGACGTTTGACCAGCGTCATCGCCGACTCGTCGTCGTCGTCGTCGCACCAGCAGTCCGCAAGTATCGTCAGACCTAAGTCGAGCCACAGTCACGTCGAGATATCGTCCATTCGTTCGACTAACGAGCAGCAGCATCGAAACAGCCGATATCAACCGCAACAGCAGCAGCAGCAACAATCCGCGCGACAGTCCACCGAGAGCATCAGTCATCATTACCGACCACACGTAGCCGCGAGATCGTGCATCAACAACAAGCTCGACCGGAAGAGCAAGAGCATGGGCGATCTGGACTGCGACGACGACGACGAAATGATGAACGACGATGACTGCATGATGGAGCAGCAGACTACCTACGCGAGCTACGAGAGGGACAACAAGAGGCGATACAAGCCCGTGCCCAAAATTAGATCCAAAGAGTCGTTCAGGAGATTGAAGCCGTCGCTCATTTTGGTAAGTCGAGTACGCGCGGAAGTAGTTGTTTATTTGTCTCGAACTCGTGTACATAAATATTTGTGTCTTGTTTTTTTTTGTCAGCCCAACGCGAGCTCTCAGGAGCGACTAGCCGGCAAACCGGTACCGGCCAAACGTCGCATGATACAGCCCCAGACATTGACGACGACGACGCCGCCACCGCCTCCGAGCCAGCTGGACAGCAGCTACGACGATCTGAGCTCGTCGGCCGAGCTCGACCTGGACCGCAGCACGGCGCCGAACTTCAAGTCCCTGCTGAGGACGCCCGACAGCGGCTCCGACGAGTGCCTCCAGTACAAAGCCTTCCCGACGGCGAGATCCGCGACGACGACGACGGACGAGTCGGCCGCGTCGTCCCTCGTCCAGAGCCCCATCAGCGGACGAATCTACTCGGCGTCGGTGGTGCAGGACTGCAGCAACTTGCTGGAGAATCTGGTGGATCTGCCGGCGGGCTGGAGGCAGGCCTACGACGACGTGGCCAAGCGCATCTGCTTCTTCAACGAGCAGGGCGACAAGGTACTATCGAGCAGCTCGGTCATTAACCGAGAGCGCGACGATATTGACCGTCTGTTGCTTTTTACGCAGTGGTTCTCGTCCAGCGACGCCGAGGGCAAGATCTACTTCTTCGAGGAGAACAGCAATCAGTCCTCGTGGACGTTGCCGCTGTCCGGCAGGCAGCAGCAGCTAGCCGCTACTACTACTACCGCGACTACTACTAACGTGAATCGAGACAACCTGAGGCCGAAGGGTGTGACGGGCGTCGTTGCCGATTGGCCTCAACTTTTCGATGGAAACATGGTAAACTTTTGAGTTTCGTGATTTTTTTTTGGGGGTGACATTCATATAGAATTTACTAACGTTTACCCGATGGATTTGCAGTGCATCTTGAAGGAGGGCATAATCAATAAAACCAAAATAACGACGGAGAGCGGCAAGAAATTGAGAAAGGCCTGGTGCAACTCGTACGTGGTTTTGACCGAGTTGTTTTTATTGTTTTTCAAAGATGCGAAATCTTTCGCTGCGATGGTAAGTTAATCATCTATACATCTCTTTTAGCCATCGATAATCCTGAGAAATGTCCATTCTTACGAGATCTCTTTTTTTTCTGTTTAGAAAATGGACCAATCGACGGGAGCCAAGCCTGAAATATCTGTGGATTTGAACGGTGCCTTCATAGAACCTGTGGATAAATTAAGTAATAGGAAAAACGTTTATCTTATTAATACCCTGCTGGGACTTCAAGTATTGATACAGTCGGACAATGCGTCGTCCATAGCCGAGTGGTATCGAGAAATACTTAATGCCATCCAAAGGCTGGTAAGTTCAACACGTACTTGAATTTAGATTCTACGAACGATTCGTTGCAATTTTATAACTTTTTTTTCTTTGTCATTTTCAGCCATTTAGTCAAGGGTATGGGAAACTTTCCTCATCGAGGGAATGAAAGATGGTTGTTGAAATCGTGTAGTTATGTGTATCTACTTTATTCCGATGAAAATTCGTTAACTTTCCAAAGTCTAGGTCTTATTGTTAAGAGAAAAGAAAAAAATTATGAAATGACGTAAATTATATAATTGTACAATGTTATCCGAGTATTTTTATATTACTCGTTATTACAAAGTAATGCTTATTTTTAAATTTATATGTATACTTTATGTTAAGCATAAAAATCGAGTCTTTTAAAGTATGTTTTTTAAAAAAAAATAGAGGTAAAACTAGGTAAATTGTTATTACTGTATAGAGATATTATAAATGCATTTTAATGAGTATAAAAATAGTGATTTTATTAAAGATATTTTTTTCTGCTTATACACAGAAAAAATTGTTTTCTTTTTTTTTCTCTCTAAAATATAATTAACTTAATCGATGTTGACATTATAAGTATTGCTGTTGCATAAATTTAATTACATAAAGAAAAGTAAAACCAAATTATTGCCCAAGCATCAATGCATTTTTTCTAAAACCACGAATAGCCACCAAACGTCAACGTTTAGTCTCACAAGCACTTGGCCAGAAAATTTGGCCTTAAACATGGAAGAGTATACACAATAAATATTTTATTGAAACCTATCACAAAATCTATTTTTTTTTTTTGAGTATAACAACTAATTAAATATCTAAATACTCGCTAACTTCTACAAGTAATTTCAGTGTTTTTCACTCAGATACACGATACATAATCTCTTACGTGCCAAAATAAATACTAAAAAATCTAAAATACTATGTACAATTTTCAATAATTTCAAAAAGAATCACTCATAAAAATTATCAAAGATCACCCGGCAAGAAATAAAAGTGAAGATAAAAAGTAATATTGCAACTCCCGATTGTTAAAATATAAAGATTAACAATTCCCATGCACTTTGATCGCATAATAAATTGGTAGTCGCTGGTCGTATCGTTCTGTAGCGATACCACGGCAGTAATGTCAAGATTCCTTGTTGAGTATCGTACGTAAATCATCGGGTAGAGCAAGCGTCATCTCATTGAGTCGTTCACGTATCATCTCTTGCACCGGAGAGTCTACCGGTACCTCATCGAGGTTACTCTTTTCCAGTTTTTGACGGATGCGTAGAATCATATCGACTATTTCGACTTCTTGCTTATCTCTGACCCATGATCGTAAATCCTAAAAAAAAAAAACAATTATTCAGAAAAATTATAAATTATCTGAAAAATCATCCACGCAACATTACTTACGGCTTGTGAAAGTCTTTCAAGCTGAATAGCTTGTAACTTGTTTGTAAGCTCGACGTATCTTGCTTGAAACCAGCCTGAAAAATTCGGCGATCTAAAAAATCTTCTATAAAGACCAACCCAATCACCTTTGATTCCAGTTGTTAACTGAGGTCCTGCGTTATTTAGCGTTGCCAAAAAATCATCAGGATTAAAAAGTTGAGGTATTGGTGTAGCCTGAAATATTATGAACTTTTAGTCAACTTCAACAACGGTATAAATTAAAGTTAAACATTAACATACTTTGAACGGAGATATAGTTTTTTGAAGAGGCATTAAACTAGCTATGTATCTTTCTAATGGAAACATAAAACTTTCTGTCAGTTCTGTTAAATGCTGCCTAAGCAGTGCAGTTTGTACTTCTCCTGGCCTTCTCAGTTGAACACCTTTGAGCAATTTTTTTAGTATAGCTTTATCTTTATTTAAAAAAGGCTTATATTGAGTATAGAGTCCAGGTTTTGAATCAAGAACCTTTAGACCCTCAGATCTTTTTGATTTGTACTTTGGGCTTTCTGTGAATAATAATTCAAAGTTAGTTTTCTTTGATTCATAACGAAAATTGAAATAACTAACAATGCAATAAAACTTATACCTCCAATACCGTTTTCGGCAACGCGAACGATGTGTGGCCAATGCCTAAGAGTTTTGGCAAAAAATGGATTCGTTACACCTAATATCACTGATGGTGGACTCTGGCTGTCCATTGTATATTCTTTAAATTCGGAATCGTGTATTGTGAAATAAGGTCGGTGATCAGCACAGTATTTCAATGGTGCTATCATCCTAAAAAAATTTAAAAATTCATGAACAAAACTTTTTAAATATGGGAAGTTACATTTTCAAAAAATGTCAAAACTTACGAAGTTAATGTATGAACTATATCTGAACTCGTAGTAGGCGAACTTGTCATGACAACAATTGGTTCGCTTAACAATACTAATTCCCATAATAAGTGCACATGCGCAACAACACTAGATAAATGTTTGAACATATCATTATCATAAACTGAAGTCAAGAGTAAACTGCGAGCAGCTGCTACTTTAGATGGGGCAGATTCCCCAGCTGCTACATTTGGCACTGATGTTTTGAAGGCATGGTTTGGAATATATGTCTGAAATATAAAAGTTCTTATTTAATTTTAGATCAAGAGTAGATAGTAAAAATACAATCCATATGACATACTTGAAACAACACTCCCAACAACGGTAAATGCACAATCTGACCAGGTACAGGAGCAGGCCATCGACTAATTTCTTTAATTATTCTTTCCATGCAAGTTTCACCACTATCAAAATATTCTGGAGCAACCAGTGCACATATTTCAGTGAATAAATTTACAAATGGAAGCCTTGTTACGATAACAATACTCTACAATACAAATAAGAAACTTTCAGTGTTTTACATAAGTATTAATTTCGATAACAGAATATTCTTATAAATTACCTTTTGAAAGTAACCCCTAGGAAGATTTTTATCTTTAACTTGACGGAAATACACATAGCCTGTGTAATAATCTTTGTCGGTTTGTAGGAACATTGGTGATTTTTTATTATATTCTTTCTGTGCTGCAGTTTCTTTGAGAAATTTGGCACTTTTCTTTACCCTTACATGATACTGAGTATCTCCCATGCATCCTGAGTTTGAATCAGGAAAAGCCAAGTAACAAATATTGGTTCTTTCTTGCTCCAATAATTCAACATCATCTGGATAAATTGCCTGAAATATGATAATTTAATTATAGATGACATTCTCATTTTTGTTATAAATATACAATAACATAAAAACTAAACCAAAGTGTCACGACAGAGTAAACTTATAGGTAAACACCAACTCGAGATCTAAACAAGATTAGAGTACATGTTTGGCTTCAAACCATCTTATCTCGACACGATGGCAAACAAGCAGAAGGTTCCAAGCGATAAACCTACCTCGATGACCTGTCCCAGCTCGAGATCAAAGGTGACAATGCAGATGCAATGTATCCAATTGTCAAAAGCCTCCCTCAGCTTTTCGTTCTTGAACCAGGCTTGTGAATTTTTTTGTGTAGCACCAGAGGCCTGCTGGGTGGCATCGTTGTCCACCCCCCGCAGGTCAGCAGCACCACCACCGTCGTCGGCATCCTTGGAGCTGCTGCACGGCTCGGACATGATGATCGATAGAGGATATATAAATAGAATATATATCGACGTTGGTCAGAGCACGAGCTGAATTAGATCGATGCCGAGGAGGAGGAGGAGGATGCTGCGTTCGAAATTCACGTAGATTTCCGCCGCGCTATATCCCATTATTATTTATATACGCGTCCGTATGTGGCGTATTTTCAACGAGTATATATCATGACGTATGGTGCGGAGTGTATGCGTGCATGTGACACCTATTCCTTAGACACGATCGAGAGCACGGGCAGCAGCAGCAACAGCAAACTTTTAGTTCACCAGTATTTTCAATCTGCGCACATTTTCGACGAGTCTCGGTAGCATTGGCAGACGATACGAGGCTGCAGCAGCAACACGGCCATTCATCTTTTTATTGAAAACACACAGTGCACAGATATTTGTATTGTGACACGGATGGGGNGGGGGGGGGGGGGGGGGGCCAAACGTGAAGGTATTCTCTTACGGTATTTACTTGCGTGCCTCGCGGAATAGACAATACTGCCTCTGTGTGCTACTTCTTCGATACATGTATAGTTTAGGTAGTATATCTATATCAAACAGTATTTCTCACAGCTGAGCAGCAGCAGCGAACTGCGGGAGGCGAGAATTCGCTCCTCTCTTTCGAGTTTCGCTGTATATTCTCTCTGTCTCTCTCTTTCTCCTGCCTGGTGTGTTGCGCATGTTTTTGTCTGCTGGCGCTGCTCCGATTTTCTTCCGCGTTTCGACTCGAGTCTCTTACGTACATACATAGCACTGACTGCGTGACATTATGATTATACCCGCGGAGTGCATGTGCACTTTCACGTTGTTGTTGTGCGTTGGAGCGTAACCGTCCACCCGCGTAAACATCGCGAGTCGTTTTTCAAATGAATGGAACGTCCGTCGATATCGATCATGGCTCGCGTTACGAACTCCACTGTTATCGCTTAATAATTAACGCGATCAAATAATATTTTGTGAAGTTAATCGTTGTTGTTTTTTTTTTTATTACCGTGCGTGAAGCTACCTATATACAGATTTTGTTATCGTCGCTGTCAGTAGACGGTAAAACGATAATTTGAAAGCGTCGTCGATGGTGCTTTGATTTAGTCGACGCTATCGAGAGTACGATTTTAATTTTAATTTTTGTGAAAGATCAGCTTTTAATTTTTGCGAATTCGTAACCTCTGCGGATTGGCGATTATGGCGGGAAAGGAATTTCAAATGTCGGACGAATTGAAGAGAAGCTACTTGGCCGCTTATCAAACGCTGCGCTTTTCTACGGAAAATCGCCAAGTCTCCGATGCCGAGACCGCCGATGTTATGCGACGATGTCTTTTTATCAAATATGCATCCTGCGTAAACACGTACGTTTTTTCATTATTTTCGCATTTACGTCACTTTTATTCAAAAATCATATCGTTTACTTTTTATTTTACAAGGCTCGGCGACGATGCAGCTCTCGCAGTGTTTGAAAAAGATTTACAGAAGTACACGGATTTCGTGGACAGAGCAAGCGGCTTGAATAATTATTGGAAGCAATTCGAATCATTGGACGTCGATACGGACAATGATCCCCAGGACTGGACAGACATTCCAAATGACATCAATGAAACTTTGAAACTCAAAACTAAGTTGCCTTGTGCAGATGATCCAACGCAGCCCTGCAAGAATCTACCTTACAATGATAGAGACATTGAGAAAATGATGCAATTGTGGAAAAATGATGGAACATCGCCAAGAACAAGGAAAATTCCTGCCAAACAGAGCAACGTTCATGATGGAGGCAAGCAACAGAAATTGAATTTTTCAAATTTGATCAAGACCGCACAGCCAGCTGTTAAAAATAATTTAGAAAATAATTCTGGACCCGATAAAAAACCAATATTACCACATTTAAGAGCTCAAACAGTATCTGGCAATTCGAATGGTTTGGGATCCGATAAGAGACCAATTTTACCACACTTGAGAGCTTCATCAGGTCATACTGACCCCAAAAGTTCTGGATCCGATAAAAGACCAATTTTACCACATTTAAGAGCTCCAACACTTTCTGATCCAAATGGTTCTGGATCTGATAGAAAACCACTCTTACCACATCTAAGAGCTTCATCACAATCTGAAGCAAATAGCCTTGGATCTCAGTCTAGGCCAGGCTCAACTTTTCCACCATCTTCTCAAGCAAGGTGGCAAACATCTAATTCCAAGTATGTAAATATTGAACAAAAAAGTCATGGGATAAAGGCTAATTTCTCTTATCAAGGAAAAAATGATTCCAATTCTGTTGAAAGAAAATATGAAAGACCAGAAGTTGGAAAACCAAATTATTCTTACAAACAAGAATCTCATTACAATGAACGAAAATATGATAAATATGAAGATAAAAAATCTAATTATGGTAATAGAAATGAATCCAGGCCTATTGAAAGAAGAGAAGAAAAGAAAGAAGATAGTAGATATTCTGGATTCAAAACCGCTAGAACAGAATTATCGATACAACAAGCTAAGAATAATAACAGAGGGCAAGGGTACTCAAGACAGCCCCAACCACCAGTTAATAATAGCCGGCAACAGCCTGTTAGCAATAGGCAACAACCACCGGTAAAGAAATCACTTGGTGGACGAGCATTAAATTCTCCGTTTGTATGCCCTTTCAAAGAAAATCAACCGAAAGAAGAGGAGGAACCTCCAGAACCAACAGATGAAAGACTGAAAAATATAGAACCTAAGATGATTGAGCTTATAAAAAATGAAATCATGGATTGCGGTCCACCAATACAATGGGATGATATAGCTGGTCTAGATCATGCCAAAAGAATCATCAAAGAAATTGTTGTGTTTCCAATGTTAAGACCAGATATTTTTACGGGATTGAGAAGACCGCCAAAGGGAATTTTACTCTTTGGACCACCTGGAACTGGAAAAACTTTAATTGGCAAATGCATAGCTTCTCAAAGTAAATCTACATTTTTTTCGATCTCGGCTAGCTCTCTAACATCCAAGTGGGTGGGAGAAGGTGAAAAAATGGTCAGGGCCCTCTTCGCCGTGGCCCAAGTCGAACAGCCATCGGTAGTTTTCATCGATGAAATCGATTCGCTTCTATGTCAAAGATCGGAAACTGAACACGAGTCGTCGAGAAGAATGAAAACAGAATTTCTCGTACAATTGGACGGTGCCGCAACCGGTGACGAGGACAGAATTCTCGTGATTGGGGCGACAAATCGGCCTTACGAACTCGACGAAGCTGCTCGAAGACGTTTAGTCAAACGTTTGTACGTACCTCTACCGGAATTAGAGGCAAGAGCTCAAATCGTTCACAGATTGTTAAGGTCAGAGCGGCACGACCTCACCGACGAAGATATCATCAAGATCGCCGAATTAGCCGAAGGTTACTCCGGTGCAGATATGACGAATTTGTGCAAGGAGGCCAGTATGGGTCCGATTCGAAGCATACCGTTCGATCAGTTGGAAGGGATCAGCAAAGAGGACGTGAGGAAAGTTACATTCGTCGATTTTCAGGAAGCTCTCGACTCGATTCGTCCGTCCGTCTCCCAAAAAGATTTGGCAGTTTACATCGATTGGGATCGTACCTACGGTACTGCAAGTGTTCAATCGAAATAAATAATAAGTTTGAATCACAATTATAAATAGAAACACACTTTCGTAGTATTGTAATTAAAAGCTCGAAGCTTTCGTTTTATTTATAAAAATTACTTCTTAAGATTTATATTTTTATACTTGTAATAAATTGAGATCAAAACTTTAAGTTTGTAAAAAAAACCTGAATACAATTTTTTTTAGAAAAATCACAACAAAATCATTATATTCTAAAAATTGATTTGCTACAAAATAAATTAATATCTACTTTCTGAATATCTGAGAAGTTCATTATAAAGTATAATTCTAAGTATAAATTAATTTAATTGAACTTCACGCTAACAATAGAATTTTTAGTAGCTACTATGAGTCTTTGATCTCCAAATACTTCTGTTACGTTAACAGAAACAATAGGTTCACTAGTTATTTGTAATTTTTTGAATTGAGAATTTCGAAAACTAAATGTTAGTAAAGATTTTTCATTTTCCATTGGATATAAGTACACATTTCCTGTAAAAAAAAACACATGATTTTAGATAAGATATCATTTTATTACAATTCATTGAAATGACTTAATAATTACCTGAATCTAATCCTATTATTAAAACTTTGACATGATAATGAACTGCTGTAACTACTCCACCTAGAAGTGGAAAAGGATTGCACAATCTCCATTTAGATCTGTTGACTGAAATACCTAGCTTTCCATATTCTAAAAGAAATTTTAAATAATGATTTGAATCTTAAATTAAGAAATTATCATTGTTATAGAAAATAATAATCTTAGTTACCTGTGACACAAAGTATGACTCGTGGATTGAATAAGTAGTAATTTCTGACATATTCACTTGCTTCTGGAGTTCCAATACGCTTACAAAATTCAGGTTCGACTTGTTCATTACTTTTTGGACCAATTTTTCTCAAATCTATTTCCACATAGATACCCTCCTCAGTCCATAAGCACAACTAAAAGATGACAGTAATTTTAAACATCGTTATAGTTACGAATTAAATAATTTTATCTTACAAAATGTCTGTAAATGTTCATGACAGCAGTTTGTCCAAGACCAGATCTTGCATCCATTAGAGAAAAATTACATTGCTTTTGATTTTTTGTATTGTACAAGTGAAACTTATGAGGAACTTCGGTATTAGCACAGTAATATCCATAGCCAGAACTGCAAAATTTATTTTGAATGTAATTGAAATGTCAATTAATTTAATCTAATTGCATACCATATTACAGTTCCACTTGCACGTGTTATCGGTTTTTTTTCTTTGAAAATCCACATTCTGTTCTTTCTTGATAACGATGAAGATAGAACTATTGTTTTATTGAATTGTTCGCCTGAAAATTATTTTGTACCACACGAGTATTAATATTTTCATAATGAATGAAGAAAGTATTTTTGTAAAATAAGTACCCGTTTTAGTTAACTTTAGAGCTGTCACTTCTTCAACTTGATCAAATTTGTGCATCAATCTATCGTTCTCTATATTGTAAACATTAATGAATCCATCATTAGATCCAACAGCTACAAGTTCACCTGAAAAAAAAAATTAACATCATTAAAAACGCTCGATTTTATTTCGAATAATTTATTTGATTCAAACGCACCTAGAACAGCTATATTAGTGATTCTTTCTTGAGGACGATTCTCCGGTATGGCAGGCAACACTTTGATCGTGTCAACTTGGAGCTTTTCAACGTCTTCCCACGTAATCCAAGCTTTATAAATCGTCATCCATATCTTGGATTCGAATTTCCGAGTTTCGTAATAATTTTCTTTGTAATCGGGATCGTAAATGAGAGGAAACAGTACCGAATCCTCGAGGAGAATGTACCAATAATGTTTTGGAATGCTGTTTAAGCATTGCCAATACCAAGCATCCGAAGTCTGCAAAAATGATTATGAAAAATCACGATCACGCGAATTCGAATTTGACCATTAAACGCGATCAAAGAGTGCACAAACCTGCAAGTGTCTCGCGATAATCAGTTTCCATGTCTTGCTGACGGTTTTCAATCGCATCAACGATTTCGCATCGACGTTGGCCAAAATCTGCTCCCACAATTCCACGGGAAACATTTTCTTCAATCTTTACTCTCAACGATCGTGAAATTGAAAAAAAAAAAAATCCGAAGTCGAACGAGCACCGAGAACGGAACAAAGGGATCGCGCTTCGAAATACGTGCGCTGCTGCTGCTGCTGCTGTACACTGCGACGAACTGGCACAGTGCGAATAAAGACAGTTGACGGCGCGCCGGATGATCGCGAGCTGCGTCTCAAAAACTCAATTGCTTATCATACCCGTGCGAATGGCAAACCATAGCCAATGCATCGTCTACTGCTATTTTTCTTACTAGGTGTCCGATCAAAGAGTTTTAACCTTGTCAGCACAAATGTTGTGATTATTACGAAGAGCCTACGGGACGCAACGAGAAAACAATTCTTAGAAGTACGTTTCGGACTCGTATGTACTACGTAAAGTGCGATTTCTTTGCAGAGGGATACCTATAGGTACTTAAATGAAAATAACTGAATGAGAAAAGGTAATGAAAAAATATATTTAGTTTATAAATTTTATACAAAAGAGAGATAATATATTATCAAATTTGTTTTATCACATAAAAATTACAATTTATTTTACAACTATATGATGTATCCGTGACAAAAATAAACCTATCAATAAATATTTGTAGAAAAAATGTATCACTAATTGTGTGAAGTAAACTTTACATATTTATAACGAAATTGCAGTCTCGTCTCATCGATCGAAGAGCAGAGTTCTCGGCTTCACCGGATCCTTGTCGGCCTTGTGCAGCAGCTTGAACAGTCCCGTGCCGACCGGCACCGGTATACCCATGATAATGGACTCGGACACGCCGCAGATGGCGTCGGTCTGCCCGTAGAACGCCGCGTCGAACAGATGATCGGCCGTCTTCTCGAACGAGGCGAGATTCAGCACGGACTCCTTCATCTTCGAGAGGCCCTGGCGAGTGATGCCCAGTACCTCGCCCCGACTCGTCATCAGGTCGGCCACGAGCATCGGATGTCGCCGATCGATGCTCATGCCGTGATTCTCCATGACGAGCTTGATCTCCTTCATGATGGTGGCGCGGGCCGCCTCGATGCCCAGCGTCTTGAACACCTCGATGGTGTTGTTGGAGGTGCAGCGCTTACCGAGCACGCCCCGGGTGGCCATGACCTCGCGCATGTCGTCGCCCTCGACGAACAGCTTGTAGCCGCCCGCCGTCGAGTCGTCGCTGTGAATGACGGCCCGGGTCACCGAGGCGATGCCCTTGACCGTGACGCGGGGCAGCTGCTCCTTGAGCACGGCCAGCAGCGTGCTCAGGCTCAGCCTCGAGTCCATCCTGTCCGGATAGACGGTCAGCGTCTGTCTCCGCGCGTTCACCTCCACGGCCTTCTCGGGGATCTTCAGCTTGGAGCCGCACACCGACTGGGCTATGCTGTGTATGTTGACCTCGAGCTTCAGCAGCTTGACGCGCTCGGCGTCGATCCTGAGACGCAGGTAGCAGCCGCGCGGCCCCACCACCTCCTGCACGCAGGCGGTGATCTCGCCGAGGCTCGTCTTCTCGATGCGTCCCTTGACGCGTCGCGCGAACTCCGGATCGCGCTCGTTCTCCAGGTGGGCCGTGATGATGGGCGTGCTGATCTTGGCGCTGGCGTTGATGATCTCCTTGATGCGCGGCACGCCCTGGGTGATGTTCATGGAGGCCACACCGGCGAAGTGGAACGTCTTGAGAGTCATCTGGGTGCCGGGCTCGCCGATGCTCTGCGCCGCGAGGGCACCCACTGCGGTGCCCGGCTCGATGCGCGCCCTCATGTACTTCTCCTTGCACGTGTGTATGAAGTCGACGAGCTGCGACACGGTGAGCCGCTCGACGTGACGATAGACGGCCGCCTCGTGGCCGGGCTTGTTCAGGTTCTGGCGCATCTTGGCCACCCTCACTGCGGTCGAGCGCAAGAACAGCGTTATCTCGTCCTTGAACTCGCTGCTGAGGCAGTCGTACTCGCTGGATCGGAGCAGCTCCGCGGTGGCCTTGTCGATGCTCGGCCCGTCGAGCGACTCCTCGTCCGGCCAGGCGTTCCTGGCCCGCACGTCCTCGAGCACTCGCCTGTAATCCACGGGGCAGTCCTTGCCCTCCATGTAGCTGGGGTCCATGGCGTCGCCGCCGTAGAGCTCCTGCACGATGTCGCCCACGGAGTTGCGCACCGTCATGTCGTAGTGCAGGCACAGATCCTCCAGACTCTTGACGAGCCTGCGCTGCATGTAGCCGGTCTCGGCCGTCTTCACGGCCGTGTCCACCAGGCCCTCTCTACCGGCCATCGTGTGAAAGAAGAACTCGGTCGGACTGAGGCCCGAGTAGAACGAGGACTCGACGAAGCCCCGCGCCGCGGGCAGCTTGTCGCGCTTGGCGAAGTGCGGCAGTGCCCTGGCCTCGAAGCCGTTGGGCACTCGGTGGCCGTTGATCGCCTGCTGGCCGACGCACGCGATCATCTGCGAGATGTTGATGAAGCTGCCCTTGGAGCCCGACAGAGCCATCACCAGCGGACTGTTGCTCGGGTGCAGCTCCTTGAGGCAGATCTTGCCGGCGTGATCGCGAATGACGGAGAGCTCCTTGAGTATCATGGCCTCGAGGGTCTCCTCGGCGCTGCAGCCCGGCTGGCTGGTCAGCTTGCCCTCGTCCATGCGCTCGATCAACTCGTTGCACTTGGCGTAGCCGCGCTCGAGCAGCTCCTGCTTGGCCCGAAGCAGACTCTGGCCCGGCCGGACGTCGCCGATGCCGATGGAGAAGCCCCGATTCATCAGGTAGTAGCTTGCGACCCGGGCCAGACGCCACATGACCCTGGTCGAGGCGTCCTCGCCCCAGTCGCGCAGCAGCACGTAGAAGATGTTCTGCTTGGAGCCCGAGCCGAGGCTCGACTTGTCCATCGTGCCCGCGAGCAGCTCCGAGTTGCGCACGATGACGTACGAGTCGTTGATGCAGAGCTCCTCGCCGCTCGTGTAGGCCTTGCCCTTGGCCCGTAGATTGGCCTTGATCGGGCACTTGGGATTCGGTCGGATCATCAGTCCGAACAGCTGCTTGCCCGTCCACAGAACCATCGGCTTCATAATGGCCGGCGGCGGCAATTGGATCGTCGTGCAGGCGTCCTCGCCGCACAGAATCTGACCGATCAACTGGCAGGCCTGGGCCTTGTTGAAGAACGCGTCCTTCTGGGTGAGCAGATAGGCGCCCGTGATGAAGTCCTGAGTTGCGGCTATGACGAGCTCGCCGTTGCGCGGCGTCACGAGATTGGCCTTGTCGCTCATCAGCACCAGTGCCTCGGCCCTGGCCTCCTCGGTCTGCGGCAGATGCAGATTCATCTCGTCGCCGTCGAAGTCGGCGTTGTAGGGCGTGCAGACGCACTCGTTGAAGCGAAACGTCCGATCCCGCAGCACCTTGGCTTTGTGGGCCATTATGCTGAGCTTGTGCAGGGACGGCTGACGATTGAACAGGACGACGTCGTCGTCGCAGAGGTGGCGCTCCACCGTGTCGCCGTAGCGCAGCTCCTGAGCCGCCCGCCGACGATCGCCGTACTTGAGGAACTTGCGCACCTTGGTCCTGCCGTCCACGACGTAGTTGGCGCCCGGGTGTAAGTCGGGCCCGTTGAGCACGAGCCCACGCAGATACTCGATATTGATCCCGTTGACTCGCTCGGGATAGGTAAGTATCTTGGCGATGTGAATCGGCACGCCGACCTGCTCGATGCGCAGATTCGGATCGGGCGAGATCACGGTGCGACTGGAGAAGTCGACGCGTTTGCCGGACAGATTGCCGCGAAAGCGGCCCTGCTTGCCCTTGAGACGCTGCACGAGGCCGCGGCCCGTCTTCTTCGGCTGCATCTTGAGCGGTATGCCGGACATCTCGCTGTTGACGTAGAGAGCGCAGTGCAGCTGCAGAAATTCCCAGGCGTCGTTGTACATGGTCATCTTGACGCCGCGCTGACGATGATGACGGATCGTGTCGTTGAGGAACAGTATCTCCGACAGTTTCATGGTGAGATTGTCCTCGTTGGTGCCGGCCTTCATGTCCGAGGCGACCGTGGGCCTGATGGATATCGGCGGCACCGGTATCCTCGTCAGTATCAGATCCTTGGGCAGACCGCAGTCCGGGTTCATCAGCAGCAGCGGTATGTCGCGGGCGGGTATGCGCTCGAACAGGCCCAGGCATTCCAGCGGATTCAAAAAAGTCGTCAGACCGGACCTCACCAGGCTCTCCAGTTCCTCGTTGTTCTCGATGGCGTCGTCGAACTCCGCGAGTTTGTCCAGCACCAGCGAGTCCGTGGGCTTCTTGTTTCTGTACTTCATGTGGGCTATCTTCAACAGGCCGCCTTTCTTCACCGTACCGTTCAATTCGCCGCAGTGCGGGCACTGGGTGCACTTTTGCACCTTCTTCAGGATCTCTTTGCGCAGAACTTTTTTGGACAGATAGCACAGATCCGGTTTGAGAATTCGGGCCAGAAATTTCTGCTTGTCGTTAGAGTCGAGCAGCACGCAGGAGCACTTCTTGCATACGGTTTGTAAGATATTGATGATCGATCTGAAGTAGCCGACGTGGAATACCGGCAATTCCAGATCTATGTAGCCGAAGTGACCGATGCACTCGCTGAGATTCTTCTGACAAGTGCCGCAGGCTGTAGCGTTCGTGCAGATACCCATTCTTCTGTCCAGCAAGCCGTTCGTTATGGGCAAGTGGTAGTCCTGACTGTACAGACTCGAGGCGACTACGTGCAGATGGGCTTGCAGCTTCATTTGGTGTCGACTGTCGATGCCGAATCTGACGTGAGATATTTTCTTGGCCAGATCGGTCTCGCGATACAGTTCCTTCACCATTTTGGGCCTATTGGTTCGTTGAAACGTCAAGATGCAAAAGAAAGTTTCCCGTCTCAATTATCTCTCCGCGGTATTTGCTGCATTTCACGCTCTTCTTCGCCCAGCGAATCCCATGCCAAAGGGGTGCGAGTCTACGAATCCAGCATTTTCGTCAATAACGAGATTAATCGTAAAATACGAAAGGTATATTTACCTGGATATTCACGAAATTATTCGGTCTACACGCGACTTGTTGTGTATACACTGTGCAGCTGACTCTGGCTCGCGCGCAGTCTGCTGCCGGTCGTTCCATCTCTCTCTCGCTTCGCGTCTCGCGATATAGTATACCATATTATATATTCTGCAATCTCGCAGTGCACTCTCGCGTGCAGAATTCGAGCGACGACGAGAGCGCGAAAATATTATCTCGCGAGTTTTACAAGATTATCGCATTGATTGCACGGATTGCGGATCGTTGCTCCGAAATTGAGCCGAGCGCACTGTGTGAATTTAAAAAATGACAGTAGTGCCCACTGACTAATGATACATTGCGTCTGAAAACGAAAATATTTTTATAATAAAAAATATTTGAGTAGATCGGTGTTCAATATTTTTATAGGCAAAATAGGGCAATAACAACCACTGTGCACAGTGAATGCGTTAGTGAATTGTTTGTATTTGGAGCGATTTTTTGACTGTATTATATCGATCCGTCAAACTCCTGCAATTGCATCGGTAAAACAGTTGAAGTTACCTATATCTATCGTTTTATAGATATATATATGCCTTACTCCTAGTCTTGCTGCTGTGCGCATATAGCAGCTTATAAAGAGAGTGTAAAGTTGCATGAACTTGAAAGCGACGATGTGATATCGTTCTACCGTTGTCTATATTCGCGTAGCAGCCCAATCATTGGCACGTTAATGTACGTTGTTACGTTTGTATCGACTCCCCCGCGCGCGTACGCTGCCTAGTGCAGCCGATGCGCTCGAAATTACGCATCGCTCGACACGTCGGGTGCAGTTGGTTACGACGACGAGATTGCAATCTTCATGCTCCTCGACTGCTGCTGCTGCTGCGACGAAATTTCATCGGGAAGAAGAAGAAGAAAGCCGTGTCGTCACGTAAGATGTTTCGCATTCGACGCCAAACATCATGAGTGAAACTTCTCTTCGTAAGAGCAGCAGTAGTAGTGATCATCTCGATCCCACACTGTGATATATAACCGAAAGAGCGAGAGAAAGATAGAAAGAGAGAGAGAGAGAGAGAGAGAAGAACACGTTGGAGGGCGAAGATGCCGAAGACGTTGATGCGGACGACGAGCGGCTCGAACGATATCGCATTCAGCCTTCAGTCTTGGGCATCCAAGCGAACTATTGCAAGAGTTTCGTTAGCAGACGCTGCTGCTGCTGCTACTACTGCTGTTATTGGTAATAGTAGACGTTGCGACGACTGTGGCACGGCCTCACCTAACCCTGCCCGAGGATTTTGATATTTGTATATTTGTATTATTATTATGTGTCTCGTCGACTCGTATGGTTGACCAAAAACGACAATGACGAACATGAAGGATGACGACAATCGATCGCCGCTGACATCACAAACGAGTGAGTTTAATCGATTCGATCATTTTGCCAACTCTCAATGATAATTATTATATCTCGGTGCCTCCGATATTAAACCAGCTGACTTTTCGCGATTGATTGCAGAGAGTGGTGAGGTCGTGCTGCCAAACGGCCAGCTGAGCAAAACAGATGGAAAAACCAAGCTGACCAAATGCAGCAGCAGTTTTCCACTCATGAAGCTGTCCTCGTATCTTTTGGCCATCAGACCATGGTCACTGAGTGCCTCGCTGATACCCACACTGCTGGGCACTGCTCTGGCCTACAAGCTAACTGGCTTAGCTGGAGTCGGTCTGATAACTCTTCTGCTGACTCTGTTCACCGTGGCCTGCGTTCATGGAGCTGGCAACGTAGTGAACACTTACTTTGACTACATCAAAGGAGTAGATAGTAGAAAAAGTGACGATAGAATATTGGTTGACCAATTATTATCGCAAGACGAATTAGTATCATTGGGAGCATGGCTCTACACGGCTGGATGTCTTGCATTTGTGTTACTAGCCATGATATCTCCTGCTAAAATGGAGCACTTGGCTTTGGTTTATTTTGGAGGATTGTCATCTTCGTTTCTGTACACTGGAGGAATTGGACTCAAATACATAGCTTTGGGTGATGTTCTAATACTTATTATTTTTGGACCCATATCCGTTTTGTTCGCCTTCATGGCACAGACGGGTTATGCTGAATGGAATACTATGTACTATGCTATACCCCTGGCTCTCAATACAGAGGCTATTTTACACAGTAATAATACTAGGGACCTAGAGAGTGACAAACGTGCTGGTATAGTCACACTTGCAATTCTCATAGGGTATACTGCGTCACATGTGCTTTATGCTTTTTTATTGTTTGCACCATACATAAGTTTTGTTGTGCTGGCACTGCGCCATTCAGTTTGGTTCCTGTTGCCTCTTGTAACTTTACCCAAGGCTTTCAATATTGAAAAGAATTTCAGAAATCCAGCCACAATACAAAATGTGCCCAAGCATACTGCCAGTTTAAATCTATATTTAGGAATACTATATATTATTGCTTGTTTGCTCACGGATCGACTTCCTTATCTGAGGACAGCGTAATTAAATTTGAGAATTTAGAGACTGTTTAACATTGTCGGCAGCACAATGTTTAGTGCATAGTCATGCTCAAGAATATTGAATAACTGAAAATGACTAATTAATATCAAATTTAATGAAAAAACTCTAACTGAAGAGTGATGATAATAATAATTTAAATGACACCATGTATATCTCTTGAATTACTGAGACTGATGTCTTAAGGTGTAATTTTTTGTATAGAAAAAGACAAAAAAACCTGTAATAATTGATACTTGATAATAATGTTTAATAATATAAGTTATTTATTTTCCAAAGTGTGTAAACAATAATAACTTGAAGCTTTGAAAAAGCTTGTATTTTATTACTGAATTGTGAGTCAACTATTGAGGGTGACCAAGACAGTGACAACTATGTACATTGCATATTTTTATTTGATAAGTACTTATAGTTTATTATTAACATAATTTTATCAAAGAGAAATTGTAAAATATTTTATTCACATATCCGAGTTAAAATGTAAAATGGAAATGTTCAATTATTGTACGGAGTATATTAACTAGAGACAATTTATGTTTCAACAATGACTGCTATTCACCAGTGAATGACTTAAGTATACTAAATCAAATAAATATTATGAATATTGAGTAATTTTAATTCATACTATAATTATCCTTTCTGAAATAGTTGAGAAAATTGCGCGTCATTATGACTTACTTTTTATTTTTTGAGATTGTTGAATATACAAAAAACTTTGGAGCTAATTACTTCATAATTTAGAAGATAAAACAGAAACAACAAAGTTCAGTACAGATTCACTTTATCATCACATCTGGAAAAAAAACTCGTGATGTTCAAAAATGTGTTAATTTTTGTTAATCATTATTTTATGAAAAAATTTATCTATACTTTTACTCAAATTAAATTTGCATTCGTTACATCCTTGAACATTGTGCCAATAAAAATCAAATCTTTACTTCATGAAAATGGAAATAATGCCGGGTCTAAGAATCATTCATGATAAACGTTGAAAAATGTCCACATTGCGCGTCTTAAAGAACACAACATTCAACAGGTGTCAGAGAGCCCGCGAAGGTGAATCTCCATAGCTTTATATAGGAGATTTCTATAGCTCCGCATTCATCGTCTGACCCGTGCGCCGTGATCACACAGCGGCTCAACTCGGAGAACTCGCGGACATGACATTCGACTCGAAAGTCGAAACATCTGCGGAGCCTCGACTTTGTTTTGACATGTTTTGATTTTTTTTTTTTTTTTTGTTTACCAAGAATTTCACGGGAAAAACTTGTACAAAGCGAAGAATTGTTTCCACCGCTGGGCGCACTGGAGAGTTCATCTCGAGCGCAGTTGTAGGTAGCGGTGGTCGTGTGCGCGAGTGCGCAGAAAACCCGTGCGCAGCTCTGCATGTAAACAAACGCGCGTGTCAGCAGGACAGATCGAATTTCACTCGTGCTTTGATACTGGTGCGGTGCTTGCATATTATAGTAGTCGTCAGTCGCTCTCGTAATCGTACGGTGCACAAGGGTTTATAGAGTTTGTAACTGAAATTTAGTCTGTGATACGTTTCGCATAGTGATCCAAAATGGCATACGTAGCAATGATAGATCTGGACCCGGTGATCGTTTGTCCTTACGACGAGAATCATCGTATAGCCCGATCCCGATTGCAAAGACATCTCGTCAAGTGCGAAAAGGTAAGAGTAAAGTTTTGAAAATGACATTGGAAATCTTTCGTCTAGTTTCCTCGTTGAGTGATATTTCGTATCGTCTCTCCCGTAGAATTTCCCACCCGACTACAAACAGCAGTGCCCGTACGACGCCACGCACCGCGTCTTCCAGGAGGAAATGGTCCAGCACGTGGAGGAGTGCCCGATGAAAATGCAATACATGGCCTCGTACAACTTCGGCGGCAAGATACCGCCGATCGACGACGAATTGGAAGCCATCAAGGACGGCGACGAGATGTGGGACACGGAGGGTCCAGGAACGCCCGGTCAAAATCCTTTCAACGAGCCGACTTACGGTCCGGTACCGGTCAGACAGATCGCTGGACAATCGCTCAGAGGGTACGAACGATCCTTGTCGCACGAATGAATATTTCAACGGAGAACGATTTGTTTTAACTGAAATTTTTATTTTCAGAAATGCTTTGATAGCTAACAAATACGGTTCCAAGCTGCGTCGTCCGTATGGTTATTCCGAGTCGTTCATGATAGACATCGATAACAAAGTGCAGGATAGCGACACCGAATCCGTAACGAGCGATCGTGGCATCGGAAGAGGCCAAGGTCTCATTCCATCCATACGTGGCTTGAGCATCAGAGGAAGAGGTGTGCCAGGGTTATATAGAAGAGGAATCAGAGGAAGAATTTAGTATTATTAATTTCATTTCTTTTTTAAACAAAAATGACGTACCTGCTAAAAATTTGAAAAAAGCAGTACTGCAGTTTCTAAGTGCACAATCAGAAGAATGTATCTAAAGAGTATTTATCTTCTACTTATACTTAAATTAATTCTTATGTTAAAGAAATGTATTTTATATTATTTTATATAAAACATAAATGAAATAAACAAATTATTTTGATAATAATAGTTATCAAAATGTCAAAAGTGTATTTAAAATTATTCTTGTTTATTCTTATATACTTAAATGTTGAACATGATTATGTACATATTCTTGACGATTTTTTTTCTCCATATTTCGTTCCTGTCTCCCAAATCGAACTTAATTAATAATTCTTATAGTTGACTGATTAAATGAGGCAATAACATTTTTCTGCATAATTAAGTATCACGTTATCTAAATCACTTATTCATTTTCTAAATAATATTTAACATCTTTTATGAACAAGCAAGATGATAGTTTATCTAACATCACGTTTTGGGTTTTGATTAATTCTTTTACATTATACAGATTCTGTTGGTCATGTTTCAAAAATATTGTAGTCAAATTTAGATAGATCATAAAAAAAAAAAAAATAGAAATAATTTTTATAAAGTTTTACTGTATTAATTTTTAGTGATTAAAAATGTGCAATTGTTATCTTCCTACCTATTCTTAATTTTTTATAGTATCAAAACAATTCCAAATAATTCTGTCACAATCATCAAAAAATTACCTCAATCATACCAAATTTTTAATAACTAACCAATTCATACTTTGAATTTTTTACAGCTTGAGGAGAATTATACTTGAACATATTCTTCACCATTTATCCAATAACATGAAAAATGTACAATAATTTTTAGGTACCCAAAACATACATATAATTATTTATCTGTACTTTTTACAACTTTTCATAATTTTTTTCTCCAAATATCCTTAAAAATGGTTTGAACCGTAGCTACACAAATATATTTGTTATATTCTTGTACACAATATTATCCTAAAATCTTAATATTTACATAAATCTAATATAACTATATGTATATTCAATTCAAATAATATTGGCAGCTCGATAGCTCTAATTGGCTTAAAACTTTTTCACCATGTTTATGAAATTAATTTTTAAATTATAAACAAGCACTACCACGAGAGATCACGCACTAAATTTTAATTTAGCTCTTCTTGTTATGATTAGTTAAATTTTTTAAAGAAAATTAAAAAATGCACTGTAGTCACCATTGCTTTTTAAATCTGTTTCGCCACTGTCAAGTATTATCGAATATATATTATGAATTCGGTCCAGTCTTGAATTTTTTAAATTTATAATTTTTATGCATTAGATGTACTCTTTTGTTGTTTCCAATCAGATATTCTTTGTTTGAGATCAGTTTCTGTAATTCAAAACAAAATATATTTAGATATGAATATTTGTAAAGCAATAAAAGTTTTGGTTACTTCTACTGTACTAACCAGGTTGAAGCATGTCTTCACTGAGAGGTTGCCGACTGAAGGGATCCGTTGCACTGTTCAATAGATGTCGTATGATAACGTCTTTATCCATTATGATACCAGATGGCAGTTTTACTGGCTCCTCCATAAGTGTACCCATTAATGGATCTTTGAACTCATCTGGTGCGTCATTGTAATCTTCTTCCTTTGCTCTATTTTCACACTGTATTTTGTAAGCTTTCTCTCCTAAAGCTTTAAAGCGTTCAATTTCAGTCATGGACTTTATGCCTGAGCGCTCGAGCTTGCTTGCTGCTTCTTTAAACAGTTCTTGTGAAAAAGATCTCTGTAAAAAAAATAATAATAAATACAGTTTTAATATATTTTTGAAAATACGAATAAAACTATAAAATAAAAAGCGAGCTCATTAGTTAAATTTACCTCATCACTTGCTAAAGCACCAGCGAATTTTTCACAATCTAAATGTAAATATATATCAACAATATGTCCAAGAAGAACTCTTGGTTCCCATCCATACTTTTGTGGGTCTTTGACTTTCAAATTTTTACATTTTGATCCGCACAATTGTTTTAGATTGAAATTAAGCATAGCGCTGAGCCGTCCAGCTAATTCAGGTCTTAAGAAAGGCTCGGTAATTTGTATCGTCAGGTAATGGAACATCGTAACAGTTTCTTTAGCCAAAGTTAGATAAGATCTAGCTTGTCTTTCGTCAGTGGCCAATTGTCGAGTGCGAGACTGCTGCTGTTCTTGAGAAAGGGCATTCCAAGCTGCATGCTGATCAGACATGAGCTCCTGAACTTCATGTATACGCTTCAGAGATTCCAAAGACTCGTCTAGCAAAAATGTTGTGTCGTTCATTAGCATGTTTATGAATTTCACAAATTGTTTTCCATTCGAGCTTTCGCGAATAATCGACGTTTGATGAACAGGACTGTCCCACATGCCTTTCAAGATGAGCGAAATATGATAGCGAATAAAGAACTTGTCATAGAATTCAGATGACGCTCCAGTCGTCTCGACATCCGTGTAAAACTTCATCAAGTTCGGTGCAAGTATCATACTCGACAATGGATGACTCATTATTTGTTTTTGCAAAGTGTCTGTTCGGCCCTGTATAAATTAATATAAAAAATTATTATTAAGCTGATAATGAATAAGCTGAAAATCCGTCTGGGTAATTATACAAATACTTACATTAACGCTTCCGACAATCATGAATAACACTTCAATTAATTTGGCAATCAAGTAAGGATTACGTATATAGTCTTGGGCACAGATCGTAACGAGTAACCAAGTGATCATAACAGTATCGGTATAAGTGACTAATGTGGTTGTTGCATGTCTGAAAAATAAAAAAATTATTAAAAAAGAAGTATTGTCTAACTTAAAAAAAAAACAAATATAAGTAATTTTATTACGATAAAATCAAATGATAATGATTATTCAACTTACTGCAAAGAAAACAGTAAAAATTCGGCAATGTCCTCGATGTACCATTCAGGCAAGGCAGTGAATTCTTTTGGCGCTTCCGTACGGCAGTTTAGAATGTTGCTAAGATTACTATTGTAAGCCAAATCATGCACGTTATCAACACCGGTTAATGCTCTAAGCAAGACCTCGGCGACAGTAGTATAGAATATCAAAGAGCGCTTGATCAATTGAGGATCGATTAATCCTGCATCGGCACAAGCTTTGGATTTACGTAGGCGTTTAATTTGACTTTTCCAACGCCTCATCAACGCTTTGTTAGTTTCTTCCAGACGAGTGTTTTTCCACGAAGACTCGGTGGACGTGAGCTCTTCCACTAATTTTTGAAGATCGCGCATGGTACGCTGTTTTTTAGTGTACTTATGGAAAGCTGGAATTAATGCGATATGATGGAAATGTAGAGTTAAGAACCAACACTGTGTAGGAAATTTCGCAGTAGGCCACTGATAGCCATCATTAATTTTCTTCGCAATCCATTCTTCTGCCTAAAATAAAATTTACATATGATAGAATTAACATACACATGACTCAAAAATTAAAATTAAAATAGCCGTTCGGAAAAAACAGTAGAAAATAATTTATTGAACGATTCAAAAAAATTTTCATGAAAAAGAAATCTTACTTCGTCAGCAGAGGTTTTCAATCTAGTGATGTCTCGTTTAAGCGACAACAAATTTTTCGGGTTGAAAATATACATGGTATCGACTGTGTCGAGTTTTATTTTTTGTGACAGGATTTGCATTACTGATAGAATATTTAGACAAAATCCGTCACCAGCTAAAAGGTGTTCTTCTGTTTGAATTTGTGATCGTTTTTCGTTCAATGAAAGCAACGATGCAAGATATTCCAGAACTTGATCTCTGCATGACGTAGTAGCGAGAAGGGCGTGAATAATTTTGTGTAAAGACAATCTTGTACTTTCTAACTCTTTTTGAATTAATTGTATCATAGATTTGTCATTAGAGCCGGTACCGAAAAACTTCTCTGCCACCTAGAATTAGAGATTAAAAGATTACGTTTTAGAAAATTGTATCAACCATTAGAAATAAAATTTCTTACTTTGGGTTGGTCTTCAGCAAAAGTTGATATAGACAAAAATGGTCCAAGGAATGAAGTTCTAGCTACTTCACGACCTTTTGCTGGGGTTACCAATACTGGTGAAAATTGTTTTTGTTCGATAATTAATTTACATAATGGTCTAACGTTTGATGGTCCACATTTAATCTCAATTAATTCATCTAATGCCCGAATGGGAAATCTATGAGTTGGTTGGACTAAACTACCCTGCTGCATTGTGAGAAACAGACTTTGTAGTAAAGGATTGAAGATATTTTTAAATTCTTCTTCATCCAAATAAGTGCTGTTGACCAGTTGATGCAAGAATCCCCTTGGTAATGTTTGATTTAGAACAAATGGAAGTAATGGTGAATAAAATGGTGGCAAATCTTTGTCTTTGTTTTCAGTAATTGGCACATAGCCTTGAATAACAAGACTTGCATATTGAACACATTGTGCGCGTATCGTTGATAATAAATCTGATAAAGGTGGTACACTAGCACGCTGAAAAAAAATTAAAAAATTTTAAATTGATTTTGTGAAAGTGAATTTTTCATAAAAACCATAGTTCATACCTTAGCATTATTTCTCTCTTCTGTATGCACTCTTGCATATGACTCTAAGAGATACACTAAAATTTTTGGAGGTGAAAGCTGCTTTTTATTATCTTCATTTTGACTATCTTTTGCTTCATCATTGCTTGAATTAAAAGGGTCAAATGATCCTGGACTGATCAATGGGCTAGTTGGACTCTCTTTACAATCAAGCATAGCATCTACTGCTATGTCTTTGAGTGGATCTTCCCCAGAAGCAAATTTATGAAACACCTCTATTATAGCTTGGCTTACAATATCGGATAGATCTACAGGAATTTGTTCTTTGCTACAACTTGAAATTGCATTAGCTGTCTCAGGCAGGTAAATTGTGCCCTCTGTAGTGCCTTTCCAAGACACACACAAAACTCTTGATATTACAGAATGTAATTGCTCTACTGTCATTTCACCAGTACTTGTAGTCTAAAAAAATTGAATGTGCAATAAAATGTCATTATTTATAATAATATTATCATATTATCATTTGATAAATACCCTTGATCTTGGAGTCATTTCTTTTTTATCAGAATCGTCTACTTCCATATTTTCTATTCCCGAGTCAACATCAACCCCAGATGAATTCATTTGCTTCTTCGAACATTCATCTACCTGCATGGGTTTTTCTGTTATTTCCGAATCTTGTGAAATGGGAGGTGGCATCTGTGGCATCTCAACATCTTTTGTTGGTGAAACAATAGCATCTGGAGCATCTGGCATAGGTACGTCAGGACTGCTCAGTGCCTGGTCTCCATTTTCAGATGAAGTGGAAGAACTGTTGAGGCCTCCTAAACGTGCCAAGCGCCTTCGCCTCATCTATAAACGTTTGAAAAACGCAATGATAAATTGAAATCCTGTTCAAGATAATCGACTGGATTTTCATGCGGCAATTGATTTTGAAAACCGCGTGGATTAGTAGGTCGACTTTTGGAAAATGATTCGAAAATCTAACCGATTTCTGTTTGGAAAACTACCTGAAACTTCCGTTCCAACCACGTGGATTTCTCTGTCAACTTCAAGTCCATTTCCAAACGGAAATCTAATTATTATTTTTTCAAACAAGGAAAATTATATCTTGGCAAACGCGATTGCCACCTGTTAAGCGCGAAAAGCTTCGCGAGAATACGATGACCGTGCCATTCGAGCAGCAGATAATATTTAAATAAAAAAGCGACAGAGCCGCGCGCGATAGAACGATTCAACCGTTGTCAACATTATTGCAGCGGATACGCGTTTGAAAATCGCGAGAGAGAACACACCTCTCGAGGATACATCAAATAAGCGTAATAAAATCAGTTGGCGATCTGAATATTAAACGGCGATCGTAGTGCGCGCGTACATTGGAAGCATTGCGGCCTTGTGTGCCTCGAAAGAGTCAATTAAAGAAGTTATATTACCGAGAAGAAAAATCTCGACTCTATTTTTACACGCGCGCACATTGCTCGGTGCGAATCGAAAGAGACGTCGAGAGTATAGTCTCTCTCTTTGAAACAAAGAGCGAATAAAGAGAAGTAAAGCGCGCGCGAGTCACACACACTTGCCTCGGACTCATCCATTGTGCGCCGATTATTTTGTGTTTTAAATATAAAACAAAGTGAAAAGTGCGTTTGGACAAAAAGTGAAGTCGAGTCTTGCATATATCGCGCACGGGAGATCTCGCGAAGGCTCGTCTCGTGTTCTTCTCGTGCTTACATAGAGAGAGTGAGAGACATTTAAAAATTTAAATCGCTCATTATAATTAGTCCGACATGCGATAGGTAGTAGATACAACGCAAGAGCGAAACAAACGAGCGTCGAAGGTAAACACACAGAAATCGCTCGTACAACTCTCTCTCTGTCTAATAAAGAGAGAGAGAGAGAGCACAGAGCGATTTAAAGGGACAGTTATAACAGACGACCGAACACAACACAACGAAACTTACCTCTTCGGGAGTTAGCTCGCTCATTATGGATGGCTGTTGATGCTGATATCTTTAATAACAATTGCACTCGGTCCTCTCTCGATTCCTGTCTCGGGGGGGGACTCGAATGGTTTTTCTTGCGTATAGGCCTCTGCAACAGCGTCGTGCAGTCGCGTCCTTTTTTTTTTGGCTGCTTTCCTCCTTAGTTCGACGTGTAGCGAGTAGAGCCTTTCTCTGTGCCGTCTGTCTGCCTCGGGCTTCACCCCCTTGTGTATCCTCTGGATAAGACTCACTCACTCTCTGCTTCAGCTTGTGCCGAGCAGCGCCTGTGTTTCCTAATAACAAATGTCGAAAGGCTGTGTTATCACTGTTGTTACGTATATGATGTGTATGTTGATGCGCGCGTACGACGATCGACTCGTGAAACAAAAGGGTGTTGTATATATGTAACACCACGAGGACAGCAGCACCACAACCGAGCTGCTGCTCGGTCAGCTCGTCGCAGGGCTACGATATACCTGATTTTTAACGGACCCGAGAAAGAGAGATGTGCGAGATGCGTGCAGATGTGTGTGCATACAGATATAGGTGCACGTATAGATATGTGTGGTGGTATATACACAACAGCAACGAGCGTGAACTCTGCCGTTTTGTCCGTGTGTCGCAGATATACAAGCTTACAACGAATGTATATGAACGCGAAGGAGAGAAAAAAAAAGATGAAATTCTCGACGAACGAGATAGATATAGATACGTACGGGTGAGAGGCAGTGGCAGCAATAACTTCGGTCGTCGTTGAACGAGAGAGCCGAGGACCCGCACAGCAGCAGTTGTTCTCTCGAGAGCAAGCAGTCGAGGCCTGCAAGCAGTAGCTAACGAACGCACGCACACACACAGGCTTATAGCTGCCAGTAGCGCTGTCTGACTAACACTGAGCGAAGTATCGTGTATAGGCAAGTTTGCGTGTGGTAAATACGCACACACAGCGACAATGGGAACTGACCACGGCGCTGTGATATATACGTACGCGTTAACCTGTACACTCGTGTGCGTGCGGGCGCACTCACACATCGAGCGAGCTTCGAAGGGGCTCGGAACGAGTCAGCAGCAGCAGTTACTGTCAAGAGCCAAGAGTATCTACGGATGGAGAGGGAGGGGGGGAGATCGTATACATTATTATCCCGTGGTAGAATCGTATGGCGCTGTGCTCGGCAGCGTCTCGCTACTGTGTGGCTTCGCGAATGTTGATAAACTGACCATCGAACCATATATACACGATCAAAACAATTGGTGTTATGGATGGAACGCGAGATTCGTGGAAAAAAAAGTACTCGGAAGGGATGTATCTCGCGGAGGCTCGTTTGAGAGTTCAACTGCCTCGGTATTAGAGAACTGAGCTATGAGCCAGCTGTACGATATACAATGACAAACGCTTATTTAGCATGAATCGTAGGTGGTGGTGTGCGGCGACGACGACGACGATGAATGACGATGCACTTAAACCCATGCCACGAACCGATGTAAATGCGAATCTAATATATATGTGTGTGTGTAGGTATAAATGTGAAGGCCTGACAAACGAGAGAAAAGAGTGCGAAATGCAGCTGCGAATTAGCACGGAAGCGAATGCATAATGTGGACGTACAGTATACTCACTTATCTTTCCGTTGGGTAGCCTCTCGATGTATACATAAGATATGTTAAATGAACGATAATGCAACGATGCCTCGGAGTGATGAAACTTCAAAACTTCGCTGATTTCGAGAGCTGCGAGTTATAAAGCAGTTTCGGTTCCGTTAACGTGTCCACAATCGCCAAAAAATCTTGTACCGTAAGACGGTCGATGGATCGTAGCCAGCAGCAGCAGCTTTTTTTTTCTCTTTAATAATCCTATGTAGTCGCGCGTGGAACTTTTTCGAGTTTATTGTACGACTATTTTGAGAATGGCAAGTTTCGTCGAGAGAACACTGACCGTTCGAATTTCCCGCTTAGCGCTCGACGATGGCTGTGGACATTAGATGCGCGTCGAGTTGCGACTTTTCTCCGTTGCGGAGCACACGATATTCCACGTCGAGCGCGATTCGTCACGTTTTCGAAAGAGTGCCCTCGAAATCGTTGGAAAATTCAAGAAAACTACAGACGTTTTCTTTCGAATATCGACCCGTTCCCAGAATCGACTTGTAAAGATCGATCGTTCGTGCTTCGTCGGGCTGCTCGAAGGATCCAACGGCGCCGAATTTCGAAAATCGATTGAAAAACCAGGACGGTTACGCTTACCGCGGTCACGCTGACGTCGAGAATTTTCTCGAGTTTACTTCTGACGCGACACGACACGACTCGTTTCTGTCTCGCGCGAGCCAATCCATCAACCGTACGCAGCAGTATTAGATACAGCAGTGAAAAAGGGAAAGGAGATTATCGTCACGTAATATTCACGTCAAAACGCCAGGGACGAGAGAAAGATCTGGGCGAACTCAGCTTATACAGCAGCGCGTTCAGTACAGTACAGTAGCATCCACGGCTAGAGAATCAGTCGAATTCGATCGCGCAGTGCTTTAATCGAATCGCGTGGCTCTTCAGATACATTAGAAAGTGTCGATAGAAAAATTCGAGTGACCAATTTTCCATCGTCTAACGTTCAACAATATGTCCATGTACGGTCAATCGCCTCTCGGCGATTTGGAAGACGATCCGATCTATGGGTGAGTTCATTCGTGTGCAATTTGTTTACCCCTACGCGATAATGTTTACTAATTAGCCCATCCGTACGCGAGCGCGTGCGGATGCGCTTCTTGCATCTCGTTACGACTTTCTATTCTAACCGTACTTCGTCAAAACTTTCCGTCGCATTTCTCGACACGTGAAAAATTGAAATTGTTCAATAAGTTCGTTGTCAGTTCTATACTTTAAAGTACATTAATCAATGCGATAAATTAATGTTTATCCTATAATTTTTAAAATATCAAGAATACATTAAAAATCAATTACAAACTTTCACTAATGACATCATATATTTCAGCGCTCACATGCAGTCGATGCAGACAATGCAGCAAATGAACAACATGATGAATTCTATTTTACAAAACCCCTTTGGAATGATGGGTATGGGAGGCATGGGTGGCATGGGAGGTATGGGAGGTATGGGTGCTATGGGCGCTCCTGCACTGATGGATGTTCGTCCCCAAAGTGCCATGCATCCAATGCAAATGTCACCATTTGGTTTTCCACTCATGGCATCTATTGGTCAAATGTTTTCTAATATGGTAATGAAACAACGCAATTTTTCAATTCAAAGCTATTTAGAGAGTTTATTTTGTTGCATTTACAAAAATTGTAATAAATTGATTGATTTTAGGACAACATGGGAGCTATGGTACAAAGTAATATGGGAAATATGGGAAACCCAAATTGCCATTCATTCACCAGTAGTTCAGTCATGACAATGACCAGTGGTTCTGACGGACGACCACAAATATATCAAGAATCTACGTCAACAAGGGTAGCACCAGGTGGAGTGAAAGAAACAAAAAAAACTGTCAGTGATTCACGTACTGGTATTAAAAAAATGGCAATCGGTCATCATATTGGTGAACGAGCACATATTCTTGAACGAGAACGAAATTATCACAGTGGAGAGCAAGAAGAAAGACAAGAGTTTATCAACCTAGAAGAAGGTTATTATTACATTTTTATTATAACTTTTTTAATATTGTACCCTAATCAACCACATCCCTCTTGAGCCTGCGGCTTGAAATTTTTTTATATTTTTTGCTGGAGAAACTAAAAATTGTTACTTGCTTTTCCAGAGGAAGCTGAAACTTTCAACCACGAATGGCAACAAAAAGCCAAACAAACAATGGGTGCTATTGGTGGAGCTCCTTACAGACAAAATCTTTATAGACCCCATCAAAATGAACAGTTAGCATTGCCTGGCACAGTTCCTAGGTGAGTAACAATGGAGTACAATTATTTTCTTTAAATTATTTAATTTATACATAATTATACTCTGTAAATACTAGTTATTTCTCTGTACTTTTAATTAATTTATCAGCAAAATCATATTTTGTATGTGAAATATGACTTCACTATATCATAGAAAATTGAAATCTGTTTGAAAAAGAAAATTGTAACTTCTCTTTATTGTAAAAAAATGAGTGATAGCATGCACCTTAATGTATGAAAACTCATTGCGAAGTAATTGATTTTAAAAGAACTGAAGTTGACAGACACTGCATGCCTTACACAATGAATTTAATTTAGAATATTTAGACCACTGTAGCTGTCATAGCAATAGAACAACTGTATGTTTCTTTTTTAATGTGCACTCATGTTAATCGTTTGTAATTTTTTTTGGTACTCTTTTTTTTGGGGTATAATTCATATTGCACCCTTAGTAGTATGACTAGTGAACAAATTAGACAATCGCAAAGACCTGTAGCCCAACCCAGACATCACCAACGAAGACCTGAACATCCGCGAAATCAATATCCTAATGGCGATGTTCAACGGTAAGTATCCAAATTTCACTTACTCTGAGCAAATTTTGATGATATTTTTAAACCATATAAGCATTTTAGTTGATACGAATTAGCCTCGTAGCTCTCTCAATTCAGCTTTATATTATTTTTTTATCTTTTCGCCTATTATCGTTTGTTTGACTGTCAATCCTCGATCGTTTGCCTCAAATATTTCTACCTCGGTAGCAGCTCTACTACATAAACACGGTTTTTCGAAGATTCTTACTCTCTCAAATTTATGATCGTGCTCGGTGCAGCTATAAAATACCGGATGTTTTTCTTGGCCTCGTAGCTTTAACGGCATTCCCCGGGTTGAAAATTTCGTATATTATTTTAGCCTTTATATGAAAAAAAAAATTTTTTTTTGCTCAAAAGTTTACTTTTAAAATTGTCCGTACGAAAAGATTTTTATCGCAGTTGTTTTAATCGTATTAATATCTTTTGAAGTATCGATCAGCGATGCTCGAATAAACAATATTACAACGCGGCTATCAGAATCCGATTAAAGAAGATTAAACCGTTTACACAGAAGGTTACTCTGACGTAGACAACGATATTGAATTATTAATAATAATAATAATAAATCGAGCCACGTCTATTCAATCTTTGAATTTCCTATGTAAATCGAAAAGTATAAATAGAAAATTCGAACGGAAAATATGATTTTCGCGTCGCGCGCAAGGAAATTACGTAAAGGACGCGGCGAGGATGGATTTAATTTTCGACGTACGAAAAAGGGTCGATAATCTTGAAATATGCACGCACAGAGCAGCTCGCCGCCGCCGCCGCGCGCACACACAATCATCGTCGCAGCTGTTTTTGCGACGGTATCGCGCGCGGCATTAGTGGCTTCGGGCACACTCGCGGTTGTATGCACAGCATATAATGCAGCATGATGTACAAACACGCGACGCACACACGGACACACGTGCATATGTAGACGATGAAATGCACACGTAGAGTATAGCCAAGGCAGAGCTCTCGGAGCGAGGATGATGAGATATGATGACCCAGAAACTAAAATCTCTCTTTGAGCGCGCTTCGCTTCGAAAGTTCGATTTGGCTTTTGTGCACGATACAAACGTGTACATCTTCGAAGGCATAACTATCCGTAAAATCGATGTTTTCCTTTTTATTGAATTCATGCATGTGCGTTAGAGAGAGAGAGTCGAAAGTTATCGATTTTTCGTCACCTTTGCGGCGGCGACGACGGCGGCACAAAAAAAGGTGTCGAGGTCCTTCGAATCGCATATATCCACCTGTATATAATATGTTAACTTCTTTTTGTCGCTGTCAAAATATAGCGCATATTGCACCAACGACGACTCTTGATTATTAATTATTATTTTTTTTTTAGAAATGATTGGTGTTGTGCTTTACGCAATTTATCGCCCCAGCTTCGAAAGATGCTTTAGCTGTTTTTACTCTTGCTTCTTTTTTTATATATATATAAAATCCTAATAGCTTTATTACGCATGCTAACGACACGTACAACACTATAATGCATATATAAGTGGTTATCACAACGCTAAATGTTTTTACCGAAACACAGGAAAAAAAGTCGGATATACATTTGTAAAAATGAGAATCGACATTAGATTTTTTTTTTTTTGAAAAGAGAAACAAAAGCATAAAAAAATATAGAGCAAACTTTCACGATTACGATAATTCGATACGAATTTCTGGGGATCGAATTGATCATAGTGTTTTTTATCATTGTGTTTATTGCAGGTACAGCTACCACTAAATTAAAAAAAAACCTTAATTAAAAAGCGCTGACTCGTTACCGAGTTCTATAGTAAGTACTTGCAATAATAATAATAACTTATCATTTTTTTTCATATATACGTCTGTTTTCGACCCTTCTATATTAGACCCTTTATGGATTTGTTTATTATATCTTGGATGTCACATCAGTCGACTCGTGTATACGTGAATATTAAATTGTTCCTTGGTAAATATATTTCCTTGTTAAATTGTTCATTTGCCAAGGGGCTTATAAACACGTATACAACTTTTATATACGAAAATCAAAACTGTCGTCAGTAAGAAAAGAGAACATTTTCCTATTTTTACAAAATGTAGAATTTCAAAAGCTTCTTTTGGTCACAAGTCATTATATTCATTTTTTTTCTGTTTTGTTTTGCACGGTACTTATACATCGCCTCATTGTCGAGCATCACGTATAATATTATATAGCCTACAGCCAGCCACATTATTATATATTAATCATCTGTGTAATTAACAGGTTGAGAGAGAAATGGGTGCCGTTATTAACGATTAACTCTCCCCCTTGTTTTATAATTAATAACAATTATAATGTCGTTTTTCTGTGCTTTTTCGTGACTAATTGTCTTTTAATCCGTACACTTATTTTACGACTCTGAACCTGTTGACGTAAAAACGTTTTATACTTTCGTGAGTACACAACAAATCTCTTTGCCATTTACCATGGGTTTTTCTTCTTTCATTAGAAAAGTAATCATTTGAAACTATAGTTTGTAACAATGAGAATTATTCTTCCATTATCAACGAATAAGTTGATAATCACAAAAAAAATTTTTCATCACTCTCATCGTATATCACATTTGAATCATCTATAATATAGTTACAATTCTCAGTAGCAACTTTGTAAATATTCCAAATTAAGCCCTGAAGAGACTATCAAAAATTACGTCTTGGATCGATGGTAAAAGTATGTAACCAAAACGAATCTCCTTATTTTGAATTCGCAGGACTAACACAGAGACCGCGACGAGCAGCAGCAGTTCCAGGGCGCACGACAACAACCACAGCGATGACGACGACGACGAAGAAGAAGCCGAGACCATTGATTTAACCAAGGAATCCGAACCGATAACGAGGTCGTCGTCGTCCGTGATCATCGAGGAGATCACGGATGAGCCCGAGCCCGCCATATCGACCTCGACGACGACGACGACGTCAGCGTCGGCGGCTGAGGAGGTAGTGCAGGTGGAGGAGTCAGCGACGACGACACAGGAGAGCAACAGCAATAGCTGTAGCAGCACAAGCAAAAAACGCTCGCTTAGCCCCGACATCGAGGAGATTCGCGACGAGCCGAGCAGCAAACGACAGTCTTACGGTCTGCAAAGAGACGACGACGCCTCGACGAAAGCCGATAATAATTAGACTTATTTAGCTTAGGCCGCGCCGCTCTCCTTCGTTCACATTTACGGGCAATTTTTACGTTGACAAATCGCGCGTTGGAATCAATTGGTTGAATCAAACAAATCTTCGGCAAACTCCTCGATATATAATTATGTTCCTTCTGCATTCCGAATTCAATTAAGATAATAGCGAAACTTCTTTGAACATTATTGTACGAGTCGACAATGCTCTTCGACGACTTTGTGTACCTTGTTATTAATGTACTTGGAAAGTTGGAAGAGATTTCTCTCGATTGCGACACTCCGAATTATCGTGCACGAGGTCATGCATAATTTTTTTTTCCTGTTTTTCTTTTCTTTTTGTAATTAAAGGTGAAAAGGCGAGCCGAAAAGCTATGCGTAGCGAGCGCTCGCCCGCACGAGACACGATAATTACTAATTTTAGAAGAACACGAAAATAATAACTTTAATAATTAGCAACTGTCGCTGTGGTTCTGTGTATGTGCATTTGTGCGCGTTGCGAATTGGCAAAGCGCAATTATATTTCGCGGTCTTCTCTTTGTGAATGAAATCCAAGTAAACGTTTGCCAATTTTACCTTATCATTGTGTAAAACTTAATTCCGGTGAGAAAAAAAATCTTTAAGGTAGTATTATTATTATTATAGAAAAAAAAGTAGCAAAGATAATGATTCGAATTTAAAAAGTGATATACTAGGATGTTTCTTGAATTAGCATGAATTAATTTTTCTAATTTTTAGATCTGCTGATGTATGAGAATAGCGAATCTTGAATTTCGAGTTTGTGCATCACTTTTTCATCGTATTTGTTTTTCTATTATAAATATTAAATATGTACACCTTAAAATAAGATCACTGTATAATGTCATAAAAAAATAATTAAGCTAGAGTATCATGGTCGAAAAGAAATATTCATTTGAATTTTATCTCGAATTTGGAAATTCATACACAACTCTGTAACCGTTAAGTTGACTGTACCCAATCGAGTTTATAAGAGATAAGGAATGGATTTTTAAGTATTAATCTAAAATCTGCTGCATAATCATCAATGTACTTTTTAATCGTAAACAATAAAAAAAAATAAAGAAATTATATCTTAATTCTGTCGTTCTTTATGATTTTTTTTTATTATGTGAGGGTTTCAAAAGAATCCAATTCATGTTTTTGTACTAATTGAAAGTTTATTTTCAATCAAAATATAGTTATACAGATTTATTAATCTTGTCAAAAAATGTGATAAGCCCATTAAATTGTGGAGCACGGTAAAAGAAATATAACCATACAGTAGTCGTGTCAAAACTAAAAGCCTATTATCAAAACACTATAAAAAGCGTAGATTATCATTATTCATGTAATGAATAGCAAACAATCAAAATAGTGAACAAAAGTACTCGGCTCGGAGTTCGAAAACTTCAAGTAATATTTAGTTTAATAACATGTTTCCCTGCACCACAATATTAATCAAACAAATAGCAATAATAACAATAAATAAACAATCGAGTCAATAAAAGAATATCAAAAAACGTAATAAATAGTAGAAAATAAAAGTAAGAGGAAAGCTAGCAAAGAAAATGTAATGATTAATGGCGTTCTCTTTGCACCCATCATCTCGCTGAGGATGATTAGGCATTTGTTAATTGTCCTTGGCTAAGGTGTTGATTTTAGCGTTGATGGCGAACAATTGCTTCACGAACGCGGAGTCGTGGAGCATCTTGGCGAGCGCAGATAACAATCCCTCGAAATCCTGTAGCGGAATGTTCATCTGGCGTGCGCATTCCGTGATTATCTCGGCCTCGTCGTTGTCGAGTTCAATCTGGAAACGAGGAAAAGAAATTAATATCGATCGATCGAAGTGCCTACGCTGTGAGTCATCGGTATCTATATAGAAATCGATATAAGAGGAGGAGACACTCACCTTGGTCAAGTCTTGAAACTTGCTGAAGGAGATCTTGGCCCGCTTCTTGCCGCGTATGGTCTGATGGAAGATGTTGAAGAGCGGCTGATCCGACGTGACTTTGAAGTAAATGCCAGCCACGAGGTGGCCCTTGAAGTCGCGAGCGAGCAGGCTACGAAAATTGTAGACGAGATTGCGGCGCTCGGTGACGTCGATGGCGGTCAGGTAGGGCCTGGCCACGTAGATGAGTGCCACCTGGTTGCTGGGATTGTTTAAGGCACTTGTGCTGCGTCGGGTCTTGCGCTCGTGCCACTCCACGTAGTCGTTGTCGGTCGAGCACAACGTGTAGTGGTACTCGGTCTTGCCGTCCTGGTCGTCGGTCTGCGTGAACCAGCCCGTATTGGGGTAGGCCTTGTCGTGCATCACAGTGATGACGCGGGCGATGTGGTAGCCCGGATCCAGCAGCATGACGCCGCGGCGGCCCGCGATCTCGATCTTGAGGCAGACGAGGATGTGCTCCTTCTCGCCGCTGTCGGCCGCGGGCGGGCCGCCCACGTAGCCGGCTACGTCGCCGATCGTCTCCTCGCACGAGACCAGGTAGAGGGCCTCGGCCAAGCCGGGGAAGCGCTGGTCGAGGCACTGCACGCGGCGCAGCAGCTCGAAGCCGAGGCCGACGCACGTGTGCCGCTCGGCGACTATGCGCGGCTGGTACTTGCGGTAGTAGTGCTCCAGGTTGCTGGGCTCCCCATTCTCCTTGAAGTCTCGATAGAGTCTGTTGAAAAATATAAAGTCCAATTAGTAAACGGTTACTTTTTACATCGAGGCAAAAAAAAAAAAAAAAAGAAAAAAGAAGCTGTATGTGCGTTACCTCAAGACATTGTCGCACGTGTCGTAGCGCAGCTCGCGCAGCAGACGCTGAGTCTCAAGCTCAACGCTGCTGGCTAGTTCCTCGTACTGTTCGACCGTATCACAGGTCAGGGTCGGCGACTCGTAATGGGCCCAGACGGGCAGGGGCAGGGGCGCGCCCCTGATCCAGGGTCCGCGCGCCAGGCCCCGCTGCGGGCACCATACTTCCTGTTGGGCGGACTTCTCGAGTCAACTCGGCCACTCGCTGCCCCAGCGACCGACCGTGGGCACGTAGCCATGCTCGTCCCTGCAGCTGCTTATCGGAACTACAGGGCTCTCACCGTCTTTATTAACTTTCTCTCGCTCTGCAAAAGTGCAAAATGTGCCATGAGTACACGATGAAACGGATTCGGGTGATGCAAACGTCGCCGTCGTCACCGACGGACGACGAAAACATTAAAAGAAATTAACGCGACGAGCAGAGGTCACTGGTCTTCCAGGATACGACTGCGCGCGTGACTCCGAGTCACGTATCTATATAGGTATATTCGAAAGTACACTACGTGCGCGGCTTTGTTTACATCTGGCCGCGCGCGCTGGCCACGAAGAAAATTGGTCTGCACATGAGGCCACACGCTCAATGATGGCCGACGACGATTACCATCGAGGACGTGCATAATATAATATATCCACGCATACACACACACGACCTCTCGGAAGTGAAACTGAATTAATCATCGTCGTCGTGAATAAAACGGAGCACACGCGTCGTCGATGCATTTCTCGGAAAGAAAAGAGTAGTTTTCGGTAAATCGAGACACGTCCACTTAATAACACGATGACGAAGCGTGTCGTTTCGGGAAATTCATCGTAAAAAAGAATAATGAAAAGAAAAACGAGGAATGCTGCCAAGTCATCGCGCGTCGAGTTTATAATTGATACGTTTAATTAAGAAGAGTGTATACCCTTTATATCGAGTAAAACGTTTGCGCGAGTGTCTCTGCTGCTGTGTGAGTCATCTGGCGCACGATGATATATACGTATAGATCGTGCACACCAACACACTCGGCACACAAATAGTAGCAGCAGCAGCAAACGATATATAAAAAGGTTATTTAAAAACGCTGCTATATGCCAGAAGGCTTACGTAAGTCTTCATCGAAACTCGCGTCCGCGCTTTTCGCCTGTCTCTGTATAAATAAAATCCGCGAGAGCACACGTATATAGCCGCGGGTAATTGCGTCGTGCGCATCGTCGTCGTATACGTCGCGGGTTGCATCAACACCGACACGAAAAGCAAATTGGATGAATAATAAAACGAAGGGTTGAAATAACGGAGACCTCGAGTACTCGTCGGAGAATTGAAAAAAAAATGGATGCGAACGAAACTTACCCATACAACGAGCGCACCAAACAAATGAAAACCTGTCGCCCTCTCTCTCTAGCGCTGGTGTGTGTTTCTTGTCTGCTTTGACTTTTTTTCTCTCTCTCTTCTGTGTTGTGTCGTCGGGCTTCTCTACGGGTGTAGTGAGCTTACCGAGACCCGAGCTCGAACTGAATCGCTCCGTGGTGGCGCGAGCCTCCTTATATGAATTCACTCCCACCAGCGGTAGCAGCAGCAGCAGTAAAGCAGTACGCGTGCTCCGAAATCGGACTACTGTGTCTCACTGTGTGTGCGTAGTCGAGAGCAATGAAGAAGAAGAGGGGATATAGGCTCGAAAGCCTCTATATACTGTTATTATTGTTACATTAACTGGAAGTCTTCGTACACGTGCACAGCCGTATTGGCCGTTTATCGCCGGGAAGTTCCGGAATTATGATGCTCCGTCTCGCTCTCCCATGACGTACGTACCGTACGAACTCTCATATATTTATCTCTCGGATTTTCATAGTGGGGGCGGGTTTACAATGACGAGGAAGAAGAAAAAAAAATGAAAAGAAAAGAAAGGCATGTGTCGTCGTACGTACGGACAGCTCATACAACTCAACGCGCGTATGTGTGTTCTACGTATACACACATGTCTAATTGTACAGTATTTATTGTCCTATGATTGTTATTGATCGTCGCAACACAGTTCGATGATATCATCGATTTTTTCAGCCGTGCGCGATAAAAAAAACGTCTGTTATACATTCGTTTCTTTTTTTTTTTTTACAAAAGAAAAACTCCCGGTTGAGGAGGAGAGGGAGTTTTGTACCGTTTTTACCTCGTTGAAGCTCGCGCGGAATTTTCGTTACCTAATAATACACACTTACTCGCGCAAACACGCTTTTTCGTGCGGAGTTGTTTTTTCCCTACATTTTTTTTGTAATCGGGTTACGTTTATGGACGAGGCTTTGAAGAAAAAAAAACAGGCAACACAGCGGCTAACTCTAATCAGTGTTCATTGTCGTTCGTCGCAACAATTTTAATTAGCTTACGTGCGTACTCTTGGGTGCACGCACACATCTCTATATCTCTGCGGGGCAACAGCTGCTGCTGGTGTTACGAAAACAGATTCGATAGTTGCGCGACTGCATACATATAATGACGATATCGTGTGCGCCTTATACGACTCGTCCGAACGACGAAGAAGAATAAAAAAAAAAAAACAAACAAATCAATATTTACAAGTCGAGTTAGCTATAGCTGTATAATAGCGAGAAGGAAAATATTTTGCCTCCGATGCGTGACTCTGCGCCAAGTCGAAGTGCGCGACGATGATAATAATAATGAAAAAAAAAAACGCTTGTTTATAAGAAGACTGCGTCTATCTCGCAATCGTTATTGTTCGTGTAATAACTGTACATGTGTGTGCGGTACAATTGCAATTGCACAGCTCATCGGGCGATTTAAAAGGCCGCGGCGTGCGGAGAGAAAGATCAGCTGTGTGAACACACACATACCTCACACACGCATACATATAGAGACGTGCTGCAGACGCGGAGACTCGGTCGGGTCGTTTCTTTCGGTCTCTGTACTACGTATAACATGCTGTACACTCGTGTGTCATGTGACCGCAGCGAGCCGCTCCAAGGTCGAGGGGGAGACAGTCTATATGTGTGTGTGTAATTGCCCGCTGTCGAAGCACAGAATGCGGACTTTTCGGGTTTTACGCCGTTCGCGAAATTCGAGGGCGTATTAGCACCGGGTCATTGCGTTTTTTCCTATTCCAATTCTCCCCTAAATTAATACCGGCTTTGTTCGTCCGAGTCCTTGTAAACGCGGTTAGGGTTTCTCCTTTTTGGGCTTTTTCTTTCGTCGTCTTTTTTTATCTCACCTCACTGCTCGAATTACTTTGACGTCTGCGAGAGATAGTGTGTAATAAATCGATTCGATGTGTGTTTATATTAATTCGCGATTAATATCGTCGAGATTTATTTTATATAAAGTAATACACATTATGAACGATGGAACGCGTCAGATAAGACCTTTTCTTCTTTTAAGCGACGCATAAAGCGCATTATTTCATATTATGCCGTTTATTAAAACGAGATAACGAGGACATTTTTTTTCTTTTTTTTTTTTTTTTTTTTTTTTGGCAGCAATCATTGTTACATATACGGGGAAAAGGAAAAGAAACGTACTTGAGCGCCAATATCGATCTCGACGTCGCAGAAGTACACATATGCCGCGCTTGTTTGTATCGGAAGGCCCGTTTTATTGATACTTATATACGGACGATCGCGACTGGATACGATTTTTCGAACTGGCGATGAAAATTTATCGTTGTTTATCGTGCGCCGAGCTAATAACGAGACACGTAAGCGATTATCCAATGTGCAGAATTTTCCCGCAATTTCGCGGAGTGGACGGATCGCTTGTTTACACGAATGCAGATATACTGTACTCCCTATTCACATTAAAGTTCATGAATAAAAATTAAGTAAACAAATAAACAAATAGGGAATTTGACAGGTGTCATTGTTTTCATCGTATATCGATATAGAATCGAATCCCATCGAATCTGCTCCATAATACACAACGTATGGCTGACGTATTTAATTTTTTCCCGTCGCACAGATGTACGATTTCTTTCATCAATATACACACGACCTCCCCCCGCAATTCCCATCGCGTATTTATACATACATAGAAGAACGTATATATGACGTCTGGGAAGCACGCGGACACCGTCCACGAGACATACGTTCGTGCGTAAAATAGCTCCGACTCCGTCGGTCGAGCGAGTCAATATACGTATTAAAGCGCAATACGTATATAGTTGCGTAACGTTACTCATCTGTATAATATACGGTTGATATTTCAATGTATATACGACAATTATTATGCGGCGCGTGAGCAAAAAAAAAGAAGCGATAAGATTCTCATTCTTCTGTATAAGTGAAATCCGATGATGTTGCGTGTGTATCGACTCGCACACGCTCGATTTAGTCCGCTGTATAATCGTGCGTATATGTATAATAATAATTGTCTCTCTCTCTCTCTCTTCTACGTGCGCACACGTGACGCGCGCGTGAAAACACGTGCATCGACCTCGATGCGCCCCGCAACCGATGAGTATATCAACACCCGATCGCAACCGTATACAAGCACGCACGGTGTATTTTTTATTATATACAGAAAGTACACGAGAGAGAAGAAAATTATCATATAGTACATTCTACGCAGTGTTACGCCATACATTAATTGTCTATTATTAATGCGTATATAGACAATCGAGATCTGCTGCTACGACACTTGCACGCGAGTCACGTTTTCTCGATTGGCATTTTATCTCGCATCTCTACTCGATAGATAGATATACATAATAATCGAGCTTGAGTGTGTGTGCGTGTGTATGTGTATGCAACGATTGCGGCTCTGTAGGTCTTATCAATTGAAGCTCGCTGGAACTGCGCCGCAGCAAAAAAAAGCTTCTCTTTTCCACTGCTCCGGAGCTATTATATATAGCAACAATAGCTGTATAACTATGTAAGCAGACGCTAGAGCTTGTCTGTCGATTTCTCATTATAATTAAGATATTTTATTTATAAAATCTGCTACATCAGCCAAGATTTAAAATCGGCAATTTCTACTTTTCTGCGCCGTTTACGGTCGCGCGGCTGCGATTACACCTCTCAAAGGTCGACGTCGAATTATTATTGCCTCTTAAAACTTTGATGTATCGATCCGGCCGGAGAAAAAAAAATATCCCGAGAAAAATGGAAAAACGAGAGAGAAAAATCGGCCGATAATACGGCCCGGAATGTGGGCATATACGGTATACAACACATCTCTCTCGCGCCACATCAATAATCTCCGGCATAAAACATTATTAATTAATAAGCGATATACACGAGAGAGAGAGAGCCGTAAACGCAAACGACCGATACCGCCTGGCGTGTATGGTAAATAAGTCGCCCCGCCGTGGTTTTTCTTTTTTTTTTTACTTTTTCGCGTAGGACTTATTGGAGTCCTCGATGTGCGATTCGAATCGCGCCTGCACTGCAGATCGCATCGAGTAGTGCGCACGGACGCCCGGGTCGGGACTCTCGAATACACGCTTTTTTTTGTGTCGAGTCGTGTGGCACGATCGCGCGTATCCGTACGGGCGTTGTATGCGTACGATAAAATAGGTAAGAAGAGAGTCGGAGATATAGCTTCCGAAACACGATGATACAGAAGCAGAGAGCATTACTCATCGTCCCCGAGTGAAACGCACATTTTCGACCGATAATATTTTCTTTTTTAACATCGTGACAGTATGAAAAACTTTGCGTCGTATACGCACAGCTCTCATTTTTCAACGCACGATTTTTAGCCTATCTTCGCGACCGATCGTCGTGATTCGCGAGCACGCGTCTTTGTGTTCTGAAAAATTCGAGTTTCGTCTGACTTTTTTTTTTTTTATTGTTATCGTAAAATCGGGGACTCGAAGCGTTCGATCAATGTTTTAAGCTTCTCGGATTCCAGCGACATAATATTATAATCGTCGATATACGTTGTAATAATTCGCACGCGACGAAGTGCCAACACCATTGTGTTACGAAAAAGAGAAAATTCAATTTTCTCTGTATTCATAACAATTTATCAAACGATGACGTTTCGACAAATTTCGCTTCAGATCAGCTGCTGGTGCTGCTGCGACACGATCGAGCTGAGTCCAAGGGCATCGTCTTCATCCTCGTCGTCGCAATCATGGCGTCGCGTTGCGCCATCAAGCTCGGCCTGATCCTCCACCTGCTGCTTCTGCTCGGAGCTCGGGCGCGCAAGATCAAGCACGTCAGATCGGTGAACCTCCAGCTCGGCGGCGACGACGGCCTCGGCCTCGGTCTCGAGATTAACAACAACAACAACAACAACAACAATCCGACCCCGAGGCCCGCCAGCTACGAGGAGTTCGAGCACGACGTCGTCAACGTGCCCGGGGGTGCCAACAACGAGGACCTCGATCGGCTGCTCGAGGGCGCCATGACCATCATCGAGAGCGTCAACGTGACGACCAACTCGACGGCGGCGAACGTCAGCTGGTCGTACACGGGCGCCCATCCGTTCCAGTTCAACATCGGCCTGTTCCTCGAGAGCGGCGTCCTGGTGCGCGAGTACGTGGTCACGGCGAATCGCACCGGCTCCATACTGGATCTCGACTCGTGCGCCAATTACACGATCGGCGTCAAGGCGTTCGGCAGCAGCTCCAACGTCATGTACGCCAACTTCGTCACCGGTTACGCGCGTGAGTATATATTTATCAACGTCATCGATTAATTCGTCGATTTTCTTAATGATTTCCTTTTTTCTCGAAGCTCCGATACCGTCGAAGAATTACGAGATCGCGGCGACGGGCCCGGACTCGGTGCACGTCAACTGGAATCCACCGATTCAGGCCTATCAGTGTCTGCGCGAGTACGAGATCCATCTGGCGCTGCACGGCCACAGCGACCTCGAGAGCGTGGCCAGTTACTCGGTGCGCGAGACCGAGTTCGAGTTCAAGCGGCTCAACGCCTGCAGCAAGTACGACGTGCGCATCTTCGCCGTCGACACCAAGTCCTACGTGGGCGAGCTGATACGCGTCGAGACCAATTACACCAAGCCGAAGCGTGAGTATATATAACGACAGATCTCATTTGTCCCAAAATCCGATCGTTTATTTCAGATTGAAAAAGTTTTGAGTTCATGAGTTCATAAACCCATAAAAGTAATATAAAAAGTTTCATCTGACTAGATATTTCAACTGGTTTTGAATTTGAATAAAACAATTTATAAACTTTTATGAATTTTTAAAAAATTGTATGTGTCCAAAAAACCCACCTTTTATTTAAGTTTTTCAAAGTGTACAAAAGTTTTTAAAAGTTCATAATATACACGCTTACCCCAAAAGTATAAAAATTTATCGTAAAAAGTCAAAATCGTCTAATTTATTCTTTTATAAAAGTATAAAATAATGAATGTATACTTTCAGTAGTGTAAAAGTAAAACTTTATACTTTTAGTAAAGCTTGAAATGAAGATTTCATACTTTTAAAAACCCAAGTGTTAAATAAATGTTTTCTTATTTAATTCATAAATTCCAGTAAATCATTGAAATCTGAACATGGCTGATCAACGTTCAATAAACAAAATAAATACATTGAAAAAACTCTCCAAAACCTTTTTATTTTAATACTTTTAAGTAGGGCTGTGCGAGTACTCGATTTTTTGAGTACTCGAGTTTTTTCGGGTTACTCGCAATATATTCAAGTTTTTAGTCAACAAATGTTGAATTAAGAGTCTCTAGAAGAAAACAATTTAATAGTACCGCATTTCATCACACTTATAAGCACGTACACACAAAAGGAGGGGTCTAGAAACTGTTAATTCATTATTTATTTACTCGATTACTCGAAAACTCGGATACTCGCACAGCCCTACTTTTAATAGTAAAAATGTTAACATTTTATAATTTTATAAAAGTATAAATTAGACTGTGTCGACTTTTTACAATAAATTTCATATACTTTTGTGTCGAGCTTATAATCGAAATAAATTAGACAAACGATTGATAATCGCTTTTTGTTCCACGTCGCAGTACCTCGAGCCCCGGAACTGAGCGCCGTGGCGAGCTCCGTGAAGAAGAACTCGGTCTGGCTGGCGCTCAACGCCCTCGACACGACGAGCAACTGCTCGCTCACCTCCGTGGCTGCGGTCTGCAGCTTCGTCAGTACTCAGGGCTCGGGTTACGAGCTGCGCGACGCCAACGTCACGGTGGACGCGCCCCCGCCCGGCGCCACCAATCTCAGCCAGCTGGAGATTCTCGTGGAGGGTCTGAGCCCGTACTCGCGCTACGTCTGCCTGGCGCGCACCCACAACGAGGCCGGCGCCTCCGAATGGAGCGAGCCCGTGCTCGTCGAGACTCTCGAGGATCGCACCTCCAAGCCCGAGAATCTCAATTACTGGCGCGATCAGAACAATCTGATGTCGTTCATCTGGTCGGCGCCGAGCTACAGGCCGAGCCTCATCGTGGCTTATAGGGTGAATCTCACCTGGTTCTCGCTCGAGGCCGGCAGCAAGTCGCAGGCGCCCGAGAACAAGATGGCGAGTTACATGGTGTCGGCGCCCCTGAAGAAGTTCACCATCGTCGACGAGATACCGAACTCGCACTACGTGTTCGAGGTCGAGGCCATCTCGGTGTTCGGCTCGAGCGAGCCCGCCAGGGCCGAGTTCAACAGCGTCTCCAAGCCCATCGATCCGACGACGACGGCGAGCCCCGTTGCGGTGGCGGCCAGTCGGGACTTCATCAACGACGTGGCCAAGCGAGCCAAACTCGCCGAGAAGGCGTCGGCCGTTTTTCTCAAGAAGTTCAGCATCAAGTCGTAGTAGAGAATGTTTTAGACTCGATTATAGCAAACGAGATGTGTCGTTTTTAAAAAAGAAATAAAGCGAAGCAAATTGATGAACTTTTTTTTGCAAATTTATTTGATCGAATAGTAAGTCGTTCATTCATAGCCACCACGCAAAATGTGCAACAAATTTTCGTTCTTTATAGTCCAGTGCAAATGGATATTTTCTACCAAAAATTAATAGTAGCGAGCGACCTACACCACCTTGTAGAGGGTGTCTGCGTGGGAGCATGTTGGTGAGTTTCGTTTAGAGCGCACGGTATACTTTTGCTTATTGGATCGAAAAAACAGGTTTCGCACAGTTATTCTACATTATAAGAGCTATTTACTTATGCCAAATTTCGTTTCTAAGATCTAAAAATTGGACCAAAAACCGCGTTTTTTCATACGTTTCCCTATTTTTCTCGGGAAGTACTTATCCGATCAGGAAGAAATTGAATTTGTTGGAAAAGTTATTATATTTCCTGCATTTTCACTCTTAGGGGCATTACTGTAGCTGTCATAGTTTCCAAAATTTATTGGAAAAACCGAAAACTGGACTCAAATTTTTTAATTTTTTGTTAATAAAAAAAAAATTATTGTACAAATCGCAACGAAACTCACCAACGTATCCCCACAGACACTCTACATGATGGTGTAGATGATCATTTCACAGCAGGAAATCAAAAGCCTAAAGAAGGTAAATCAAAATAGAGTACAGTGCGTACCAACCGACGACTCGCGCAATTCGAAAACAATAACGAGAGCTTTTACTAATTTTCAAGATAAATGTAAAAGAAATTTTTGGGTTTGAATCAAATTATTCAATAGTTTCCACCTTGGTTTTTTTTCAAATAGAACATATTGTTAATCATATACATATTTTTAATTATCAATTAAATTATCATTTTTTCTCGCTATTATTAAACGCATTATTTTTGGAACCTTCGCGTACTGTCTGTTGGTGTAATCTTTGCTATCTTCACGGACTTTTTTTATGTGCAAGCGACAATTTTGTCCGAATTTTTTTCGCAATAGTCTCATGCCTAATCTTTTCAACCTTCGTGAACTGTTTTTTGGTGGACATACAAAGTCAATTTTTGTCCGAATTTCTGTTCACACTTGTCACATGCATGATCTTTGCGACCTTCGTGTACAGTTTTTTGATGTAAGAACAAGTGCGCTTTTTGTCCAAATTTCTTCATGCATTTGTCACATGCGAAATCTTTAAGACCTTCGTGAACTGTCTTTTGGTGGAGATGCAGAGTCGATTTTCTTCCAAATTTCTTCTCACACTTGTCACATGCAAAATCTCTAACATTGTCATGTACGCTTCTGTGGTGTAAAAGCAAAATAGATTTTCTTCCAAATTTCTTTTCGCATTTGTTGCATGCAAAATCTTTCCGACCTTCGTGTACTATCTTTTGGTGTCTGATAAATTCCGATTTTTCTTCAAATTTTTTATCGTACTTATCGCATGCGTAATCTCTACGACCGTCGTGTACTGTCTTCTGGTGATAGAGCAAACCATTTTTTTGTCCAAATTTCTTTTCACACTTGACACATGCGTAATCTTTCCGACCTTCGTGGACTGTTTTTAGATGAAAGAGCCAATTACATTTTTGTCCAAATTTTTTTTCGCATTTGTCACATGCGTAATCTTTACGTCCTTCGTGTACAGTTATTTGGTGTACGAGCAAATTCGATTTACTTGTAAATTTATTCTCGCACTTGTCGCATGCAAAATCTTTCCGACCTTCGTGGACTGTCTTTAGGTGGGTAAGTAAACTCGCTATGCTTCTAAATTTCGTTTCACATCTGCTGCATGCGAAATCCTTGCGACCTTCATGTACTGCTTTTTGGTGCTTAATCAAATGCACTTTTTGTTGAAAGTTTTTACTGCACTGATCGCATGTGAAATCTCGGCGACCTTCGTGAATTGTCTTTACGTGGGTTAGCCAATTTGATTTTCGGCCAAATTTTTTCTCACACTTATCACATTCGTAGTCCTTGCGACCTTCGTGTACTGTCTTTTGGTGTCTGATCAAATTCGATTTTTCTCCAAATTTCTGTTCACACTTATCGCATGCATGAATTTTATGACCCTCGTGGACTGTTCTTATATGCGAGAGCAAACTATGTTTATTTCCGAATCTCTTGGCGCACTTTTCGCACAAGTAATCTTTAAAGATTTCGTGGAATATTGTTTTGTGCTTGAGTAAAGTCGCTTTATTTTCAAATTTTCGCTCGCACTTGTTGCACGTTAAATTCTCGCGATCTTTGTGTGCTAATTTTTGGTGCTTTAACAAACTCGAACTTTCAACAAATTTCTTTTCGCAATGGTCGCATGAAAAATCATTGTGGCCTTTGTGTGCCGATATTTGGTGTCTACTCAAATGACTTCGAAACTCAAATTTCTTCTCGCATTTGTCGCATGCAAAATCTTTTTTTTCACTGTGAATTTTGTCTCGATGTGTTATCAGGTTTGATTCGAGTATAAATTCTTCCTGACAAATATCACAAACGTATTTTTTGTTGCCTGAAACAACAATGTCCTGTTCACTTGACTTATCTTTCGAGGCAATTTTCTCGGATTCCTTATCACTTTGATCCATTTTTGTGCTTAAATTATGTGATGGGTTCTTCAAATCAGAGCCACAGAAAATGAATGAGTGAAATTTATTTTTGGGTGTTATTGCTTGTTTCTTTGATTAAGACAACATCAGGGTACTATTCATGATCACGTTATATTGTTTACAATCAAGGTACCGATTTAGCCGCTTAACATTGTTCTATTAATATTCAATAAAATTTCAATATCTAACTTGACAACGATTTCTTTGAAGAGTATTTTTAGCCTTCTAAAATTATAAAATTCTAAGAAACCCTCGACAGAACAACATCGAGTGCATTAAAAAAACATCGTTTAAATAGATTTTTATCAACATTTTTTGAAAAATTACCGCCCCCGCGCCAAGGTGTGATCGACGTGTTTCATAACACGCCACTGTTTTTAGCTCCCGACGAATGTCGACTGCCGATTAATTACAGCGAGGAAAGCAAGAAGCCAAATGGCAGGATGTCTTTATTTCATAGTCTGCATCACTACTGGTAATATAATAAGGTAAATGAAAGACCTTCTTTGTTTTACCTTCAGACGAAACCTTCGCGAACTCTTGCTACTTGAAACCAATCCAGCAAACGAATTGCACGGCTGACGATCGCTTAAAATTTCATTTGCTGCTCACGAAATTCAAAATCATTAACGAGAGCTTTTACTAATTTTCAAGATGAATTTAGAAGAAATTTTGGGGTTTGAATCAAATAATTAAATAGTTTCCACCTTGGTTTTTTTTCAGATAGAATATTTTTTGTTAATACCGACCACGTCTTTCGTATTAAAAAAAAATTCGTCGGGTGTTTGAATGCTTGGCCCCTTCACAGTTACGAACAAGATGCGGAAAAAAACTTTAGGCAGATCGTTGCATATGTAAGATGGTGTCAGTAACCAAATAGCCAAAAAACTCATCAGAGTAGTAATTAGTAATACGCGAAATCTCAAAACACTACAATCTCAATATGCAAAGATGTGATGATAGTAAGATGCTCGAGGCTCAGGTAATACACAATCACTTCAGCTAAATTTTTATTGAAATTTTAGAAAAACGTATGCATGAGTATCTGTACACATTTTCAGCTATCAATTAAATTATCATTTCTTCTCGCAATTATTGAATGCATTATCTTTGCAACCTTCGTGTACTGTCTGTTGGTGTAATTTTTGCGATCTTCACGGACTTTTTTTACGTGAAACGCTCTAATGACAATTTTGTCCGAATTTTTTTTTCGTAAGAGTCACATGCATGATCTTTGCGACCTTCGTGTACAGTTTTTTGATGTAAGAGCAAATGCGCTTTTTGTCCAAATTTCTTCATGCATTTGTCACATGCGAAGTCTTTAAGACCTTCGTGAACTGTCTTTTGGTGGAGATGCAAATTCGATTTTTGCCCAAATTTCTTCTCACACTTGTCACATGCGAAGTCTTTAACACCTTCGTGAACTGTCTTTTGATGGAGATGCAAATGCGATTTGTGTCCAAATTTCTTCTCGCACTTATCACATGCGTAATCTTTACGACCGTCGTGTACTGTCCTTTGATGCGAGAGCAAATGATGTTTATGTCCAAATTTCTTTTCACACTTGTCACATTCGTAATCTTTGCGACCTTCGTGGACTGTCTTCTGGTGCAAAAGCAGATATTGTTTATAGCCAAATTTCTTTTCGCATTTGTCACAGGCGAAATCTTTCTTACGTTGGTGAACTGTCTTTTGGTGTCTCAACATATCTGACTTATATCCAAATTTCTTCTCACATCTTTCACATGCGTAATCTTTACGACCTTCGTGTACAGTTATTTGGTGTAAGAGCAAATGCGCTTTTTGTCCAAATTTCTTATTACAGTTGCGGCATGGGTAATATTCCTTGCGACCTTCCTGTACTGTCCTTTGATGCAAGAACAAACTCGATTTACGTGTAAATTTACTCTCGCACTTGTCGCATGCCAAATCTTTCCGACCTTCGTGTACTGCTTTTTGGTGCTTGATCAAATGCACTTTTTGTTGAAAGTTTTTGCTGCACTGTTCGCATGTGAAATCTCTTTGACCTCCATGGACTGTATTTTGGTGTCTAATCAAAATTGATTTTTCTCCAAATTTCTGATCACGCTTATTATCCCATGCATGATTTTTATAGCTCTCGTGGACTGTTCTTATATGCGAGAGCAAACTATGTTTATTTCCGAATCTCTTGGCGCACTTTTCACATAAGTAATCTTTAAAAACTTCGTGAAATATTTTTTTGTGCTTGAGTAAAGTTGCTTTATTTTCAAATTTTCGCTCGCACTTGTTGCACGTTAAATTCTCGCGATCTTTGTGTGCTAATTTTTGGTGCTTTAACAAACTCGAACTTTCAACAAATTTCTTTTCGCAATGGTCGCATGAAAAATCATTGTGGCCTTTGTGTGCCGATATTTGGTGCCTACTCAAATGACTTCGGAACTCAAATTTCTCCTCGCATTT